CATACTTATTTAATATCAACATTTGATATTTGCCCTTTCTTCAATTTTTAATATACTTATCAAAGTATTTCAACTATTTTAAACCTATCTCATTATTTATCTATTCATTAAATATAGATTTAATAATCCAATTCATAGGAAAATCGATTTCGATATACCAATTAAAAAGATAAATCTATCCTTAAATTATTAGAAATAAGGCAATAGTTTTATCCTCTTTATTTCCATATATTATTATTATAGTTCATTCTTGATTATCTGGTTATACTATCTTACTTTTACTATTTTGTTTAGTATTAATTATTATTATTATTATATATATAATTCCTATTATAAAGTCTGTTTCATTAAAATTATAGAAATCTTTATTCAAAATACTATATTTCGCTTATATATTTATAATTAATTGAAATTATTTTTCAAAAAGCTTAGAATCCTTATAAAAAACTTTTTGAAAATTATAAATATAATTAAAATATATCTTTAATTTAATTCAATACTTTACAAATCAATACGCCTAAAACTTCCTAATATGTTTCATACTTTTTAATTTGAGAATATGATTTATTATATCTTCCACATTTTTAAGTTTAAATAAAAAACCTTTCGAATTTATATCAAGAATATATTGAATAATCACTTTCTTTTTTAATTCTATAATCTTATAACAATTCACTCAAATCTCTATATACAAAAGTAAACTATCTATTTTATAACTAATTATTATATAAGATATATTATATAGTTGAGCAACCTATTAAATACTTAGTTTTTTTGTTTTTTTGAAAAACTTCAATAGCTAAAAGTAAATGTGCTTCTTTATTTATAGATTCTATAATAAATGATTAATGAAATATATATTGAATATAAAGAGTATAAATTAAAATGAAAATAACCCACTCGGTGATATGACACACTCGGTATTAAACTACGTTAATTCTATTATACACTCTAAAAAGTGTTTCAAGCTATATCGTACATAACTTTATAATCATTCTTTATACATGATCATAATTATTACCTATATAATCCTTCTACTTCATTTAAGATGAAAATACATTGATTTAAATAATATAAGACTTTAAGTAATCCGAATCTTCCTTAAACAAGCCCTAAATCTTTGCCCTAGTATTCTTACAAATCATAAATCCTAAAAATTCGAAAAATCCCTTCTTTATTCTTTCAAAAGATTCCTTTCCACCCTTTTTCTAATACTCCTTTCTCTTTATTATATATTATCTATTTCTTGATTGATAAGATTAGTTTTATATTATATAAAAATATCAAAGAGATTAGTAGGAAAGTAATTGAGCTTCTAAAAAGGAATAATTCGAAGAGATAGGATCGATACAATCTATAGATTGCTAGAAAGTTAATAATTCAATCTTAGCTCTATAGATTCTAATAAAAGAACTATAGATTTATAGAGGGCACTACATACAGGTATTAAATCTTCGCCCTCCTATTATAATTAGTAAAAGTTTCTAATAAAGAATTTTAATTTATTTTTGATAATTTTAATTGAAAAATCATCGCTGATTTCAAATTTTTATATAATTCTTATATAAATTGAAAAATCGATATCTTAAAGCTTTAGATCTTTACTTAAAAAAAAATCCTAAAGATCTGAAATTTTCAGAATAAGTTTAAAATGATCTAGATTATATATATATAAATTTTCAATAAATTCTATTTGTAAATAAAAAATTATTCATAAGCTAAAAAAGCGATTTTTGGTGTAAATGAGTGGCTCAAAAGAGGAGTGGTTAGAAAGTAGAGTACTCGACTTATAATGAAAACTTCTAATAGCTTCTATGCTTATGAATAAGATCGATTCAAATCGAATCTTGTAGAATCATTTATATTATAAAAAAAAAGTACAACTAACTAATTTAGTTCGTTTTATTAACAATCTTCTATATAATTTCATTTTATTCTATTCCATTATAAATCAATATAATAAGAGATATAATGATATAATATTAATCATATTATACATATAGTAATCATCAATATATCTCTTAATTAGTAGGATATTAATAAGTGATTTAGTATACTTATTATAGAATCTCATAATATTGAAGTTTCTTCTCAGAGTGTTTTGTATATATAGATAACTGGACGGTTACATGGATTTTGAATTTTGATGTTTAGAGGATCAGAGGGTTCGCAGTAAATGATAGAGAGGTGGTGTAGAGACTTTGATGAGAATGAGGATTAGAGAGCAGAAGGGAGAGGTCAAGAAGGGGTAATTAGGAGTTTAGAGGGGTTAATATGTTTAGATATCTGGTTGAAAGAAGGTGCAGGGACGTAGATTGGAATCACATGAGGGAAGGAAGTGGAATGATAGGCGATTTGGTTTTTGGATTTGGAGGGATGATGGGATAGAATGGAAAGGGTTGGATACGACTGGATCATTTGGGATGAGGTTGAATGGGATTTGGGATTCCGGGGGATAATGGGATAGAATGGAATAGGGGTGGATTCGAATACTCATAATGAACTTCACATACATGTGAAACTCATATAATTAATCTATCGATGAGGATCAATATGATATGATATGATGTTACGATTCGATGTGATGCAAGTCTGTGTATGTGTGTGTATGTTTACATTCAGAATTCAAGAATACTATGTAATCTAATCTGAAATAATCCGATTCCACCTAACCTGGCTAAATGTAGTTGATCCTAGAATTGAAAACTTCATAACCAACTCGCTTTGAAAAACTTTTCTTTTAGGGTATCATGCGCTGCTTTCGCGAAATTGGAAATGAAGTCGTTTTGCTGAATGACTGGAAGACTGACTGGCTGCAAGATTGACGATTGAAGTTCCGAGAAGAAGGAAGTTTAGATGTTCTTCTTGCCTTTCTGTGCGGCGGTGGATGCGGAAACGATACGCCAAAGACGGATAAACATATCGATGGCCATTACGATTGCTGTAAGGAGTTAGTTCTCTATTCTATTATTCTTTGTTGAAGGGAGGGAGGAGGAAAGAGGAAGGAAGAAAAGAGGACAGTTCCTCTATATATATATCATCGTTGTAGAAAGAAAAAAACACTTACCCAACAAAATATAAGGACCATAAAGTTTAGTTAAATCAATCTTTTGATAGCGTGGAATGGGCCAGTAAACGTATTCGTGCATGCAGACGAGGGTGGTGAGGAAGGTTTCGAGGGCGTATGGAAGAAGGATTAGAGGAATGCGGGGGGAATCTAAAGGAAGGGGTTAGTGGATATTATGAGTTGAGAATTCTTCAAAAAGTGGAGGGGAAGGGGGGGGGGGGGGAATTGGAAAGAACAGAGGGAAGAACAGGAAGGGGAAATAATGTAGATGTGTTGATATGTGTGTGAAGGATAGGAGATAGGAGGAAAGGAGATGGAAATTTGAAGGTTCAGCCAATGAATATTTCAAGCAGCTGAAGAAGAATTGACGTAACAACTATGATAACGCATTTATGTCTGTGCTACACACTAATGTAAATAGATATCATATCATATAGTAGCAAACGGGCCTATCTTGAGCATTCCAACTTTCTCTTTTGCCCTCTCTTTTCCTACTCTCCCACCAAACCCATCCATCAAAACCACTCAACTCTCATCACACAAAATAAATATATGAAAAAACATACCTCTCAACAATCCACGAATAGCCCAAAAACTAACAGGTAAATGAATCACACATTCCAACCAAACAAATAGATTGAAATAGATGGGTGGTGAAACGAAGAATAAATCATTGTAGTTGGCGATGTGGGAGTTTTTGATGGCGGTCAAGAATGCGGGAGTGAGAGAGGCGGGGTAGAGAGATTGGAGGTCCATTACTAGAGGAGAGGAGAGGTTAGTTAGGGGGTTTGAGAATGGGGGTCTGAAGAGGAGGGGAGGAGGGGAGGAGGGGAGGAGGGGAGGAGGGGAGGAGGGGAGGAGGAGAGGAGCGCGGAGGAGGGGGTGATGAAAGGGGTCTCTATATTCCATTACTGGTCTCAGAATTGAGGAAGAGGCAATGGACGAAAATAGTATCCCCAAAGTACAATCCTTCAAAAATCACATTTTAGAGAATAAAAACCATAGCTTACAAAACAAAACCGGCATATGCAAGCAGAAATAGATCAAATAGAGAAGATCCAATTTGCGGTCGAGAATTGAAGATGCCATTTCGAATACTGTATTGAGTTTTTGATAGAATAGGTGTGCACGTATGTTGATGTATAGTATTTCTTCAAAGACGGACTAGAATCAAATGTATCGTGCTATTCTTCTGGAGTTTCGAGGATTGAGAGTTATTAAGAGTTTGATATTCGACCTCGTTGTGTCTTGAAATATCTCGAGAATTAAGGAAATCATCACGCGAGGTACCGTATAGTCACGTGAACAGGTGTGGAAATCAAAGGTCATTACCGTGAGAGATTAGATTTTAGTGAGATTTGTGTGGAACAATATCTTTTCTTCCATTTCACTAGAGATGAGTGAATGATTTCAATGAATGTCAATTATTATAGTCAATGAATCCATCTTATTTCATTTCTGTTTGATACAGATTTCATTCCACGTTCTTAGAATGTTTCAGTGGCATCTATGCGTTATTGTATGGAGGGTTCTATGAGAGATACTGTGGTTCTGGTTACTCAATTGTAGATGTCTGAGTAGATATCCAATGACTAGCTATTCTGATAATGTTTTGCTCGATTACTATTCTTTTTCGGCGTCGTTTGACATGTATGTCATGTCCCGTGTTTGGATAACCTCAATTGATGATTACTGAACCAACTGTATGCAGGATCAGTAATCATGTTGAAGAAGATGTTTAGTAAACATCTTCTGATTTCATTGAAAGCATCAATCAAATCAATCGTCTTGTTTCAAAGCTATAGTATCTGCATTTCTCTATAAATTCACAGCTGGCACTGCAATATCTCAAAATCAATACTCAAAAATATCACACTCTTCTTCTCCCCTTTCCTCAAGCAAGCTTTCTAAATATACTAAATCTTCAAACAAAATGTCATCTCATCAAACTTTCAAAATCTTCGTCATCAGTGGTACAGGTGCTCAAGGCATTCCTGTCATCAAATCTCTCGTTGCCGATAAAAAATACCAAGTTCGAGTTCTTACCCGGGACACCACATCCACTCGAGCTCAGCAACTTCTCGCTCTAGGAAATGTAGAACTCTTCGAAGGTACATTTGCCGATGAAGAGATTCTTCGTGCTGGCTACAAAGGTTGCGATGGAGCATTTGTTAATATCGATGGATTTAACACGGGTGAAAAAACGGAAATGTTTTGGGCCATTCGTTCTTATGAACTTGCTATTCAGGAAGGAATTAAATTTTTCGTCTATGGAAATCTAGACTATGGATTGAAGAAAGGTGGACGGCAGGAAAAATATCATGCTGGTCATTATGATGGGAAAGGATGAATTGGCGAATGGATCTTATGGCAAAATCAAACTAATCCTAATGGAATGGGTGCCGCATTATTTACCACGGGTCCGTATATCGAAATGGCCATTTCGGGACAAACAGTCATGACACCTAGTGTCGAAAATGGTGTTGTAACATGGAGAGTTCCATTAGGAAATGGCGCAGTACCTCATGTGAGTTTGGAAGATTGCGGACCATATGTTCGATGGTTGTTCGATCATCCAGAGCGTAGTAATGGCATGGATCTCCTTGTCGCTATTGCCAATATCTCATATTCTGAGATGGCCACGGCGTTTGGAAAGGTTACGGGTCATCCGGCGCAATATATCGATACTGAATTCGATACGTATTTTGAGAAACTTGGACCAATGGCTGATGCGCCGGCGGGATTTAATGCGGATCCAAAGGATAAGGCAACGATGAGCATTAGAAGAAATTTCACGGGTTGGTGGATGCAGTTCAGAGATGGGGTGTTGGAGAGAGATTATAAATTGTTGGATGAGATTCACCCGGGGAGAATTAGAAGTGCAGAGGATTTTTTTAGGAGGGAGGAGGAGAGGTTGAGAAGGGAATCAGGGGGGAAGACTGGGTTATGGGAGAGTGTGCAGAAGGGGAATTTGAAATTTGTTTTAAAGTTGTCTGAGGATGGGAGAAAGGGGAAACTTTGAGGGGAAATAGTCAGTTGTTGAGAGGGCGGGGCGCTTCTGTGATCAACTTGGAAGATTTTACTTGCGGGAACTTTTACACCACTTTGCTTATTGTTCAGCAAAAGGAAATAGCTCTGAGAAAAACAATTCGTGTTTTGGGGAATATTATCATTTTTTGTTCAAGATCAACATTTATATGTCTAGATGCATCATTTCTCTTAAAATTCCCGACCCAATTTCCCCTAAACACTAAGCACATCTATCTCCACTCAAAAAGGACGAGAAATATTCACACCTCATCTTCCATCTTCCATATTCTACATAATACCATACCCCTACATCATCATATCACTCAACACTTGTAAAACCATCACACTTCCATACTTCACCCATCCTAGATCACCCCCACTCCAAAACTTACATGTAAAAATACATCACACATCGTACCGCCTCTCTCCCCTAGTCATCTCAAATAGCATGAATGGTTATACTAGTTGTATTGTATTGCTCTGTATCTCCTAAAGTAGCTAGCTAACTAATTAACTATAACAAGTCAAAAGAATGAAGCTTCCTGATCAAACAAAATAAGAAAATTGATAATGAAACCGCGAACTGAGAATAAGAAACGATAGAATGACAGGATATAAAATAATTACGCATCCTTTGAGATAAATTATAAGGCCAAGATATGAGGGAGGCAGGGTAGATGAATTTGGAGACCCTCCTACTCTCCATGGAGTCATTCATTGCATGTGATATTGCGAGGGATTACCAGAAGATCACTGCTGTTATCTTTCCCATCTCTTTCCCAATCCCAATTCAAACACACCTAATCCCCATACCCCATCCTCCCCTCTCCAAACCTAAACATTAGTAATCGGCGTCCACCATCCCGGCTGCCCCGCACAATTCGGATTCGCACAGCAAACTGGCGTCGCCTTTCCATCCCCATTCGGCTTGTTTCCAATCGGCATTGTCGAGCAATCATCTGAATATGGATGCGGAATGGCTGTGTTGTTTTTGCAGAGGGTGCCGCCGGTGACGAGATTGCGCTCGCAGCAGAAGAAGTTGCACTAGAGGTTGGGGAGGGGGTCAGAAGGTGGTTAACAGGAGGGTAGAGGGAGGGGGGAAGATAGAGAGGGAAGGAAGAGAATGGAAGAGGATACACACATTTCCTTGAACTCCGCCACCGCCACCATTCATAGGAGGTCCCTGGGGGATAGAAAGAACGAGAGTGCTGAGGAGGGAGGTGGCGAGGAGGATTTGAGTTGGGAAGTACATGTTTATTGACTTGCTTTTTTGATTTGGGGAGTCGCAGGAAAGAGATACTATGGAATAGTATAGTATGGTATTGTATTGTATGAGCAGTAAGTAATTTAATTCTATCTGAAATTCTGAATGATGTGCTTTTTGTGTGTTTGATGCGAGGAAAGGGGAGATATATATAAGTGTTTTCTTTTCTTTTTCTCCTTTGCCTTCCCTTCCCTTCTCTTCTCATCAACCCACCCAATGCCTTCATTCTCCCTTTCCCAAAATCCCCCACATCGCACATTCCACTCCTCTTCCACACAGCTTCCATCAACTCCAACGTTCACATCACATCGCATCTCAGAGAAACACCAGACAGACCCAGACCCAACCGCAGAAATAGAAGCAACACATGTTTTTCCCACATTCCGCGGAGAAAGCCGAGAGTGAGTGATATTTTTCGAGTCAGATGAGTGGTGATTTCGATTTCGCGTAGCGAGGAATGCTATGGAATGTGGACACGGCAGACTATACACATTCATCCATTGATTCATTCATTCGATCGGGATATCTGAAATTTCAGCGCATAGAAATGTATGTGATGGGGTTCTAGAAGTTGAGAGATTCGATATCCTTGATTCTGGGAGATGAATTTGCATAGAAAAGAAATCAAGAAAGGATACCAACGGCTCGGGTAAGTTTATGAAATCGCTTTTTCGGGATGGATGGATGGATTCAATGATTGATGATTTTTTTGAGACATTTTGGGATATTTAAATGGGATCAGGAGATCTAGGGTGTCATTTGTTCTTTTTTAGATTCTGAATTTATGGGCCAGGGTCTGGATCTGGGTTTCTCGATCATTTGTACCGTGATTCTCGATTCTAGATCTGGATATGTGTGTATGTATTTGAGGAGGATGATCTATCCAGTCGGGGGTTTTTTGTTTTCGATCTGGTGATTACCGCTTTTGAATATTGAAAGTTGAAGATGGGAATTTTCCGTCATTTCATCCATTCCGCGAGGACAGTCCCTCGTAGGGATGATCTCTGGAATGGGTGTATTCTTCGTGTTTAGTTTTTTCGATTTATTGATATTCATTGATCTCTCTTTAGATATTGTTATTCGTTTGCAATACACAAATTTTTGTTGCTACAACTCCCTCGTTAAAATATCGTTGACTACCAAAAAGTACATCATTCTGTCATTATACTTTCTTCGTCAATATCACTTGTTTGTTTCTAAAACCTTCTCTCTGAAAACCCTCATCTTATTACCATCTCCTACTATTACCCCATTTTCACCATGATAAATTCTTCACTATCGCAACTATTATTTCATTTCGACCTTTTTACCAGTGTCCCTTTCGTGCCCTCACTCCTCCACAACTTCAGAGTCCCAACCGCTCCTCATCTCCCATCCACCCTTCTCGGCAATTTCCCCAACTCATCTTTCCTAAAACAAACTCCCATTTCATTCCATCCCACCTCAAGCGAACACCATAATGACATACCAACATATTTCCACAACACTCGTAACTCCCTAGAAACTATTTACCTAGCTTATAGTTATCTGAACCTCATATACATCCTAGAATCAGTATCATTCTACTCACAACTAACTGATTCACAAGGGCTTCAAATTTCAAACCACCCAGCTAACTCATACGCAAGTCTCTTAGCTTTGATGGTAACACCCCATGTATGAATGAACAGGTAGATGAATAGAGCGATTCGCGAACAGAAGAGGGAATTATCTATGTACAACTTCGTTAATGATAGATTTTCTAGCAACTCGGGAACAGAAAAGAATATACTCAATACATAACACACCACATACACACCCACCTATAAAAATTCCTCTCCGAGATCCAACCAAACCTCCATTATCAATCATACATCCCCCAACCCCAATACCGACTCGCAAACCACTCGCTCAATCTGAAATAAGCTAAGCTAATCTGTAAAAATTACCGAGACCGGTCGGTAAAGTATCAATACATCAGACATCTTTAAATCTATGCTTAACAAAAAATATTAGAGTGAAATTCAGCTTTATGATTTGTGATTTGGAAGTTGTGTATAGATAGATAGACTGATGTACTAATTGGTGAAGTATGATGGGTGTTGATTTAATTGTTGTATGGTTCGTCTAGGAGTAACTAGTGATTAAATCATAAATTGTGAAAACACACTGGATTTCTTTGGTCGTGAGTTCTCGCATTGAAAAGATTGGGATGGAGGAAATGATAGGTCTCTAATTCTGGGTTGGCAGATGATTGGGGAATAACAAAGAAGAAAGTAAGGGACTTTTAAACTCGAAGTTTATTTTTCCGACTACAACTGAACCGGGGGATACAAAATATTCGTCGCTATTCCAGTCAAGTCAAGTTAAAATTCGAAAATAGTTGTGGTTTTGAAGAGCTTTAATAATTAATCTATTAAAACCTCGTATTAAAATCATCAAGGGGTTCGTTTATCGGCGCTCAAACAGCGTTACATGATTGAGTTAGCTACCCACTTTAACATGCGAATTACTAAAAGCGCATCTTGCTGAGCGTATTACAAGTCTGTACTCTGAGACGGATCAAAGTTAATTTCAATCTGTTTGGAAATTGAGTTGTCTGATCTTTTGAGAAATATTTGAAATCTTGAAAGAAGCAAGTCATGTATAGAAACCCTTACTCTCTCATAAATAACACATCATCAAGCAGGCTGACCGGGAATGAGCTCCACCTCATCATCATCATCATCATCATCCTCATCCATAGGATCATAACCATCCATCTCAACATCCTCCAAGTCCGAAACCTTATCAGACAAGTCTGATGAAATTTTCCTCATCTTCTTAATCATATCATCTAGCGTCGATGTCCATGAATCGCAACGCTTGTTGTCTTCTCCATTTAACAAAGATATCAATACTTGTATCTTAGCGTCAATCTTATCGATCGTATCGTACGGATCTTCAGTCTCTTCAGTTACTATACTTGTAGCTAGCTTTATGATATTCGCACAAGTCCTGGCATATCGGGAACTTCTCCATCTGGTTTCCAAGACTTCCGTCCCTTGAGAAATCACTTGTTCCATATACTCAGGTTCAGTGTGGAATTGGTCGTAGGCGTTCATAATAATTGCAATCTCTCCAAATTCCTCATATTCCATTGGATCTTTTTTACTTTTTGCGTCGGCAGGCGAAAATAACATTTGTCGCATAAACTCTAGCTTTTCGTCTATTTCTTCATAATCTCGAGATAATTCATCTGTCCAGGATTTGTGAGCGATCTGTCTGGCAAATCCTCTAAATCCTTGGTTGAACATCAATAAATGATCTTGAATCTCGATGGGAGCATCTCCAGACATCGCCAATTGAAAATAAGTGCCAACAGCTGCACGATGAGCCATTGTAGCACCCATAAGCATATCATATTGCGTCTGCATAGATGTCTTGATGATCTCCGCCGGATCTAGCTCTTTGATTTCCTGTCCTGGAATAGGAAGACTTTGCAAAGTTATAGCTTGAAGTCTGTCCTTTAGACTTTTATTAAAATCGACGATAGCCTTCAATTGATTGGATTGTTGTAAGCTGTTGATGAAAAAGTCCTCATTCAATTGTGCCCTTTTAATCAAATCATCCCCAGCTTTGCAAGCACTTCGTTCATCTGGACTCATATCCTGCTTCGATTTCAAAGTTGTATGCGTAGCTTTCCACTCAACGTTTTGAACCTCGCCATCATCCGTGCTTAGTACATATGCTTCAGGAAAATGCGGAAGTTGAGTAACCTGCATCCTCACCTTACTGGATCTAAGGCAAAGCATCTTGGTACCAAAGATTCTGATAGCATGAAGCCAAAAATCCATCTGGTGAACGTCTTCAAAATGAGTTACTGGTATCGGGTAAAAATTGTACCGAGGATTGAGAGCAGGTGTTTTTAACATTAAATTAGTCGTATAGCTCGCCCAATATACCGTTGGCCACTCGGTCCAGAAAAGAGCAATTGTAGGATACAAAGAGCCCTTTGGATTCTTCTCCCCACGAGTAACACCACCAAGAGCAACTTGCTCCATCAAAAAGCCGCACTCTTGAATCGAGTGATTCTCATAATATGGCTTGGCTAGTTAGTAATGAGGGAATCCTCGAGGTGTCTCAGTAACTCACCTCCGAGCCCAGATTCCAAGTATCCAAAGTTTTATCCTTTTTTGCGCGAATAAAGTCGCTAATGTTGAAAATTGCATGAAAGCTAAAGAGGGGTGTTAAAATACATAGTCATAGTGTAGAGGAGGTATCACTTGCCATTCATGAGTGAGTGTTACGGCCAATCTCCATTGATATGCCAGCTTCTCGGAAGCTGTGATATTAGGTCGCAGTAAAGGTTCGAGGTTGGCGTGGTCTAAAACAATATGACAGTGAAGAATTGGTATACTATCTGGAACTCTCTGCACTCCGCACTTAGTACAGCCATTGAAAGACAAAGTCTCAGACGCGTCTTTAAATTTTAAGAAAGCAAAACTTGACAGTGCATGTAAGAGGAGCTTCTTGCTCTTTTGGAGAATTGGATCATCTGGAGCGAACCCCCTCGACTTGGTGGAAAAAAGCGCCTTGACAGATTGTGGTGTGGCGCGCTCTGGTAGGTTTTCAGGAATTCTTTCAGGATCGATTGGGGTTCGTTCGCCATACAAGAAAGTATCATACTATATTTTAGTTATTAGATAATTCAAAATCGGGTTCTAATGAGTTTACTAGGTCAGCCTGAATGTTTAGTAACAACATTGAGGCAAGTTGAAGAACTGGCTGTAATAATTCCCACACAACATCGTTTTTAGCAAACCATTTTCCAGGTCCTAATTGACCAAGATCATGTGGCTCGCCGTTTGTTTTCCATCGGTCTCTTTTAAAGCAGGGTAGTAATGGAACGTTCAAATCGCTTCCTTTCAAAGATCTTGTCGATGTAATATTCGCATCTAAATCAAGCAATTGCTTTGCTGTAAAGTTATAAAACGCATTCCTCTGTTGCCGTTCTCTTCGTAATGTACTCGCATCGACTGTCCCAGCTCCTGCTCTTGTAATGTGCGGCACGATCGGCGTTAATCCGCTGTGTCTATCGTTCGGTCGTCCCGGGTAAGGGCCATATTTTTGTTTGAATACCGTATCAGGCTCCTGATTAGAAACTATAGGTTTACGAGAAGAGGCAGATGATTTCCCCCCACGTCGGTTTGACATGACTTAGAGCAAGTTCGATATCGAGAAATGCTATCTGGTATGTTAAAAAACGACCGGATATTGAGTATATCCAACCTGTGTGCTTTAGGTGAATGTTCGAATCTTTACAAAGTTATGTTCAAAGGAAATTTCTCGAAGCACCTAACAAAGGAGATTATGAGACCTTCATACTGAAGGACACAAGAAAAAAGAACTTATGATTGAAAGAAATAGAAGGAGAGAAGAGAGGCATCACGAAGAGCTTAACCAAAAGGTATTGAGCATCATTAATCATTATGTATCAAACTACTTCACTTGAGTACATATGATTTTGGAGTAGCAATACACATTCATGTCTTTACTTTTCTGATGATAAGTCAAAGGAAAGGAATGTGAGATTACTCGGCTGGAATAAAAATAGATTTGATTAGTCATCACATCCTGTGAGGTTGCTGAGTTACATACCAACTTGACGTGGTTAGAGTTTCCAAAGACCGTTTATCTCTCCATGATGATCTAGACGAACATCTCGTTCCTACTCTCAAGATAGTTGTTGAACCAATCTTTGCACTGTTTGAATCTTCTGGCTCAAAATCAAGTCGAGATCAGGCAATATCATGATAATGGTGTATACGTATTTGTATGGTATTCCGGATCCCCCACCACTCAGCCCACACCCAACTTCGATGTTCTCCCTTAGAAGTTATGGATCCTAGGAATGGCTGGGCAATGGGGGATTTTGAATACCTAGGTAAGCTTTGGTTGTTACGATTCCCACGTTCAGGCTGATTCTGTTTTTGATATCAAATTCAAATACCAGTAGTCAATGTCAGTTAGAATTTTACACAAGTGAACTTACTCCCCGTTTTCAGTAGGATTTGTGACTAAATGCCCAAAGCAACGGTTACGCATCTCACGATGTAACAAGGAAATACCGAATCAAATAAGTGAATTGTATTAATCTCTTAGTTCAACCAATACAAGTACACACCTACCAACACTAACAACACCGACATCTCACCAAACAGTCTTGTCTGCATCTTTGCGGCGAGGTAATAGATAAATCTCATTTATCACACACTACGCTTACTTTACTCTCTTCTTTGAAAATCCAGCCACGAAAATCCAGCACCCTTTTGCCGATCAATCACCTATCTCCTCCTAATGTGAAACCTTCACACCGGGATGGGTCTTAACCATCATAACTACAGTCACAATTGCGACTCGTATTATCGATATGATCGATTCCTCAAACACTATGAAAGAGTCCAGCGTCAATAGTCCCGGAGCTGTACGATTGATTTGTAAGATTCTTCATTCCATGCCTTATTTATTGGTGTTTCAACTTCCTCGCTGATACCAACAGCTTTTCTCTTCATCTTAATAAACTTCTACGAGCTTATAGCTGCCTTCCAAGATAATTGGACAGTATATAAGTTCGGAATTATTTCTCGATTGGCGGCAGCGGGTGTATGTTGGAGTTTTGGGGGTGAGTGGATGAAGGTTGTTTTTGTGGAATTGGGAACTTTGGTGTTGTTAGCGGGAGCTATGGGGCTCGCTTGAGGAAACAGCTTGGTAGTGGTGTTGAATGGGGGAGGGAAGTCGAGGATGGTGAGGGGTAGGAAAATTAAGCTAGAGTACCAAGAAGTGAATAGAGTGGGAGGAAGGCTGCTGAGGCTGAAGTGCAGCGGCGAAGTGGGTTGGAGCGAGAGCTTGAGGTCTTTTCAGCCCAAATCAGGAGTTATTATTTGTAGACTTGATATTCACTATCATTCATGCGATGATACACTATTTTATAAAGTCACGCGTTCAATTCAGCTAGACGTCGAATCTACTAAATCCATCACATATCAACAGGTAAATATGTGTCCAGACCCAACTGCTACTCTCTCAGATGCGATGATGTATCGTCATTACCCTGCCTTCAGCCCCTGTGCTCCATCTCCATCTGTATCTCCGCCAAACCAGTCCCAACCTATCGCCTTATTGTTACCTGCCCCTGCCACCTCTCTGAGAATTTGCTCCGCTTGGTTGATCGCGACCATTCCAGGCGCTTGTTCACGTGTTCCGGGCATGTGGACTAGTGGTTTTTCAGCCGGAGTTATCACGCTGTGCTCCTGTATTTGACTGACGTGATGCGTCACCACTGGGTGTCACAGCACCAGAGCCACTAGATGCTTGTCGAGCGGAAGAGGAATGCTGTCCACTACCTAACTTGATATCAGAAATGTTGATTAGAAAAATATGAGAGACATACCACTTGCACCATTTTCGTATTGTGGATTAAAGGCAATATCAAAGCAACTCGCACTATTATCTGCTTGACGATCACGGCACAGATGGATGCGGTCCGGTGAATGCGCTGCTGCACTTCCCCGCAGGCGAGGTGTTGAATGCGCAAGAAGACTCTCAGGGTCTCCCCCTAACTCCCGAGCTTGCCTTTTAATCCTGTCAAAGGATTGTTGCATCATTTCACCTGGGAGGTAAAGGGGGGCAACAGTTCACCCTGAACTTTGTTTTCATCGTTGTGGTTACTTCTGCTCGGCATGTTGTTTTGATGTTCTTTGAAAGTCATGGTATTGATTTATGGATGTTGGTAATGAAAGAAAGAAGAATAGAACGCAAGAGCTGGGGAATTCCGAACCCTCAAGTAAAGCTTTCCCAGCATCTCTGACTTTCTTAAAAGCCGTGATATTACTAGAACTCATATGAATTTCCACTAAATCCTATTTATTACTATCCCAACACACATCTCGGAATCAATCATGATCTAGCAATGATTCGAAAACATGACTCTAAACACCTGACTCGAATTTTGACATAGAGGCCTCGGATTTGAGGTTTTCTGGATATTCACTGACAATCTGGAACTTGAGAAAGTAAAAAAGGCTAATGTGGGGATTCAAAATCCAATGTGGAACATATCCTTGAGAAAGTAATGGTTGTCGCTCGAATGCTCAACTCATCTGACAAAATGGTAATCGGCTCTTCGAAAAACATTGGAAGAATGGCAACTCATCGTTCAAATGAGCTCTGGTGAATAATTACTTATCGTTCCATTCATCGAGCAGCACAGAAAAGAGGTCTCCTTTAGCGTTGGTCAACTTTGTAGAGCATCACCAGCTTGAAGAGAAGCAAAAGCAGAATACTGTTATTCACTCCGCGGACCACATCTCGAATGACTGATTATAACCTACAAACATGGTATACCAAGTTTATGAATTCTGTATCCAGAAGAGAATAAGAAAATCATACAAATTGGACATACAAGGACGGGCCCGACGGCTGATCTGCACCCTTTCTCCGCAATCCAAAGCAGACAAGCAATCACAACGACAAATCCCCACTCTTCGTACCGATAGTCACCCAAACACGCTAAACCTTGAAGCATTGTTTCATCTTTATTTTCACATTGTCGCTCTCCCACAAATCTATGGCAACTCTAGTAGCCGGCGCTTGGCAAATACATCGTCGCCATAAATGCAGCATACGTGAATCAATGATTTCGAGACATTTCTTCGTCATCTCCATACTTCTCTTGTATTCCGATTGATAATAGTCTATCAGAGGAAGACATCTACTACGTAATCGTGGACAAATGATCAAATCCTCGGGTTTCTTCCATTTCCCATCAAAAACGAAATAGTAATTCGGGGCTTCATCTTCTAGACCTATTTTGGGGTCGACTAATGCGTTGTACTCTAGTTCTATGAGAACCTTCGTGAAAAAGAGTAGCACTTTTTCCCATTGGCTCAGGTTTGGCTAGAGTAGCTGCGGAAGTCTTCTTAGTAGTATACATGACGGGAGCTTCCCATATATTGTCTGAGTCTTGATCGTGATATTCGAATCGTAGAATGTGTCCGTCTGTGATATAGTGTAGCTTGATGGTTTTAACCAACGACCCTCCATTCTCGCTCCTTGCGGACATGACGATTCCTAACTGAATCACAAATTATTAAAATGAATAATGTCTTGATGAGGTTGTTTCGCCTGACTTACCTCTGTTGTGTGCAAAGACTCCGACATCTTTTGTCGCATGACCGTTATCTCCCACGCGGTTATCTTGTCATCGGGATCTTTCCACTTAATTTGGCATATAAATAATGGGCATCGGCGATTGAGGAATTGTTGCAGATATCGAGGGTCTTTTAACCAAAGAAAAGTGACCACCGTATCGAGTGGCGCCATGGTCTTTCGAGCTGAGTACACGCCCAGTCGACTTTCCATATACTTCTTGACGTCAACAACACGGGGCGATGGCTCTAGTGTTTTGAGTGGGAGTTCCGAGACGTTTAGCAGACAATAAGGCATGACAGTGATAATTAAATATAGAACTAGGAATATATTGGCATGTAGTGTATGATAAGCCTGTTTTTGAATAATGCAGAAGGATATTCCAAGTAACAAAAACAACAACAACAACAATGGGTAACATAAAACTCGGTGAAGAACCAAGCATTGTCGGTATTTCTTTCCGCAATGGTAAACGAGCTGCGAACTTGTGATAAACAGTATGGAAAGCACAGTGAAAGAAAGAAACTCTAAAGTCAATCATCTTAAGGAAAGTACTATCCCCTAGATCATGCAGCCTTACAACTCCAGTTTTCTGGCTCACTGACATCACCGGTGCCATGATATACAGCCTCACTTGGCTAGGCACACGGAGGTCCTTGTCGCAATATACCACCATCGGGGTTCGTGTAATTCGCGTATTTTGTAGCGATGATATCAGTCAGCACGGTACCATTTTCTACCCATGCCATTACAGCTAGCAGGTCATCGTGTTTGGCTTCTTGAAAGCCAGGGAAACCGTGAGATGTTCTGGTGAGGCCGCCAGCTTATTCATCGCCACCAATAACCCAAGGAGCATTCGTTTTAGGAGAGGCCATTGCGCAGTGACTTTATGTTTACAAGTAGAGTACAAAATCATACAAAAATCTGCCGTCCCAGTTATCGGACAGGGCCAATCCGAAACTAAATTGGGAGCTTGCGGAGAGGGAAACGTTCCCTTGTACAATACAACCAGCTTGTGGGACAATCGGCCCCCCTCGACCCGGTGGATCACATATCAAGACTGGGTGTTTGCAAGATTTGAAGTTCTTGAGCGTGTAGGGATAAAAGCTCTCTCCTCCCTCTGTTCAATAACAAGACTTTTGGAGTTTATCAATGGACGGTGATATGTAGGAACAAACTCAGTAGTTATGCATTGCATATCGTAACGACCAAACAAGAAAATAGGTATAAAGAGGCAGCTGCCTTTCGAAGCAGGTACATAATTTCGCCAAGTGAAAAACATCGGTGAACATCTGAAGGATGTCATAACTTCAGAAATCTCTGCTAAATACCCAAAGTACACTTGTCTCTACAGATATTGTGATATTTCTGGTCCCCACAATACATCAATGGCATCCAGCTTTTTCTCCGTGGAGATTTCACGCGTACGTACGGGAACATGATCAGTGTGCCAATGAACTCCGCCCCACGGAAGCAACAGAAGCAACAGACATTGAGCGACGTGAGAAACTCCTGACGCAGGTTACGTACAAGAAAGATTTCGAGAGCCAAACAGATTCTTGAGCTTCAATGAAGTGACGGCTGATGAAGAATGCAATCGGCGTCGGTACGTCCCGAGAATGCAAGCCATGTAAGTGTCTATGCTTCTTCACGTGACCCTAATTTTTTTGGTTTTCAGAAAATCTAAATAATTTTTTTCAGATAACGTAGTTTAACACCAAATAGGCCATATCACCAAGTGAACCATTTTCATCTCAATTTATACTCTTCATATTCAACATATGTTTTATCAATTATTTATTATAAAATCTATAAATAAAAAAGTACATTTATTTTTAACTATTAAAGCTTTTTAAAAAAACAAAAAACTAAGTATTCAATAAATTACTTAATTATATAATATACTTTATATAATAATCAATTATAAAATAAACAATTTATTTTTATATATAAAAACTTGAGTAAATTATTATAAGATTATAGAATTGAAAAAGAAAAAGATTATTTAATATATTAAAAAGTTTTGAATATATTGATTTGTAAAATATCGAATTAAATTAAAGATATATTTTAGTTATATTTATAACTTTCAAAAAGCTCTTTACAAAAATCCTAAGCTTTTTGAAAAGTAGTTTCGATTAGTTATAAATATATAAGCGAAATATAATATTTTGAATAAAGATTTCTATAATTTTGATAAAACAAACTTTATAATAAAGATTATATATAATAATAATAATAACTAATACTAAACAAAATAATAGAAGTAAGGTAGTATAGTTAAGTAATCAAGAATGAACTATAGTAATAATATATGGAAATGAAAAGAATGAAATTATTCTCTTATTTCTAGTAGTTCAAGAATAGGTTCATCTCTTCAATTGGTATATCAAAACTAATCTTTTTATGAACTAGATTATTAAATCTATATCTAATAAATAAACAAATAATGAAATAGGTTTAGAATAATTAAAAAATTTCAATAAATATATTAAAAATCGAAGAAAGGGTAAATATTGAATGTTAATATTAAATAAATATGAAAATTATAAATCAATAACTTTTCAAATATATTATAAAAAGAATAATATTATATATTTATATTTACTATTATATTCAAATCATTTAATTTAATTATTTAATATTAACTATTTTAGTAATCTAAAATGTTTATATAATAATTAAATTAATAAATTTATTAAAGTATATATTAATTATATTTTAAAGATTAAATTCTTTATAATTTTTAAAACTATATATAAAAAATCAATTATTTTTTAGAATATAAAATCAGAATTCCAAAGAATAAATTTAATTCTATTTAATTCTAAAGCTATATTCTCAAAATTAAATATTCGAATTCATATATCTATTCCCTTTTCTTTCGATTTAGATTAATAAATCTCTCAATCTCTTTATAATCTAATTAAAGCTTTTTTTCAATTAATATTAATTAAATCTCAAATAACTTATTATTAATTAAGTTTCTTTATATTTATATTTAAAATTATATTAACTTTAATTAAAAATATAAAAAGATTAGTTTATAAAAATATATTTTTGAATATAAAGAATTATATATTTTAAATAGTAAATAAAATATTAAACAAATATCAATATAAAAAAAAACTTAATTATATTAAAAAGGAATGTTTATTAAATAAAAGACTTTTAATATATTATTTCAATAAAAAATTGATATTTAGATTTAATATAGTAAATATTAAAAAAGGGGAAATTCTAATAAGAAAGTATTTTTTAATTAATATTATAATAAATATGAAAAGATAAATTATAATACAAAAATCTATTAAAACAATATAATGGATTCTAAATTATTAGATTTTTAATAATTTAAATCAATTGATTTAATGGTTATTGAATAATTTATATTTGAAGGTGTAAATTGAGGTGAAAGTAGCCCACTTAGTGATATGGCCTACTCGGTGTTAAACTACGTTATGCAACAAAACAATATCAGGTCCCAAGTCACGGGACCACGGAGCCGTAATTGGCCAGAATCTTCCCAGCATGGGGCGTTGATATTATGTCAGCAAAACAAACATAAAGAATTATTACAGAGAGGTTTTGCTGCAACTTACTGATTCTTGCTTTGGAACATGCGCCAGCAACTCGGCGACATGGCATGGAGGGGAATTACAAGCATGGAGAAGTGAAGAGCTGAATGGGGATACTTAGTCATCTTGACGCCGTCTAGATATCTCCCTGAAAGGAAGGTGTGCTGTGTAGTCCACAGGTACCCAGCCAAGTGTACGTGAAATTAAGTAGTCTGACACATGATACCGCGGATTTCTCGTGTTTTTAATGTTTCCTTGTCATAATAAATTATCTTCCCGGACTAGCGTCATGGATTGGCCGCAGTTAAGAGACTTATTTGGCATTGAGCTAGCTAAGGTTGCCTCTAAAGTTAGTTCAGATGAGAATAATCTACATTGCGGTCATACAAGAAAGGATGGCATGATCATAGCCTGACATCAAGGCTCTCTTTGCCCTCAGAATTGCTAATGAGCATGTTAAAGAAGAGGGAATCTTACCAATAGATTCCTGTACAATATCAGCCGACCCGTTCTTCGCAGTATCTCTACAGAGGTGCAAGAGCCAGAATTTGTTTCATCGCCTTTTTGTCGGATGCTGAATTATTTGAAACCACTTCTAAGGTCTGGATGGCTCATGAGGTTATCCTCGTTATAAGGATATGTCGATCCCCGAGAAATTCAGGCATGAAAACAATCTATTTTCTTAGAACCTTGATATTAGAACATCGTCAAATTTCTTGGGTTTAGAATCACATATATCTTCTTGGAGTTAATTGAAATATCAGGATATATTTTCATATAATAAGTATACCGGCATTTTAATCAGATTTAAAAAGCTGTCACGGAAATGGACCGATCGAGACTAAGCGGAACTAAATTACTACTGGGTCGAGATTAGTCGGATACCCCTCTCCATCTTAGAAAGGACCACAATAAAGGTGTCTCCATAGACATATTTTGCTTCAGTGAGACTGAGAACTTGCGGAAAAAGCCGTTCCACGATATACATAACATGGGACAACAATCCGCAGAATTTATTGATGGCATAGAACAGAATATTCCAGCTCTTCATGAAGCCGAGAATCAGTCTTGCGACAATGGCCTCTTTCGATAAACGCGTCCAGTCTCTTCGCACAGCGGTTTGAGCAAGATAATCAACCTCTCCCAAAAAATTACACTCAGGGCCATCAACAGGGATGGTATTTTAACAGTAAAATCCTTTTGTTCTTTCTATGTTTGCCCTTGCTAATCAACGCGGTCCAGGCTCCTTCCACTATGCTAAGGCTATTGGAGATGAAGTTGAAAGACCTGACGACACCAATTCTGTGTATCGGCTCGCCTCTGCCACCAAGTTCATCACTACCATTGCTGCAATGCAGTGCGCCGAGAAGGGACAGTTAGACTTGAATAGTGATATAGCAAAAGTGCTACCAGATTTCAAGGATCCACAGATCTTGACGGGCTTTGATGAAAAGAATGAAGCTATCTTCAAGCCCTCTGCAAAGCCTTTTACCCTTCGGTAAGTGATGCTCCTGTTTGTTTGATTAAGGCTTTCGAATTTTACTGATAAGATGGCAAGTAGGCACCTATTGACTCACTCCAGCGGGATTGCCTATGTATTCATGGATCCGCTGCTAACTCGCTACCAAGAGTTGCGGAGAACACACCATCTTTCGCCGATCGAACCAGCGTGAGTTGACTCCTTCTAACCGCTAATACAATAGCTTACCGAGCGTTGTAGGCAGAGAAGTTTCCTCACCAATTTCTTATGTTCGAACCCGGTGAGCGGTGGGTATATTCTCCTGGCCTTGACTGGGCTGGCCTCGCTGTAAGTTTGGAGATATCTAATATGACAGTCTTTAACTAATTCGCATCGCGAACTGTAAAGGTTGAGCGAGTCACCTCTATGAAGCTTGGCGAGTATATGCAACGCTATATATTTGACGTCGTTTCTGTGAAGGATACCAATTTCCATCCAGAAATGCGAGAAGATCTGCAAGCTCGTAAGGCCAGAAGCTTGGAGTGAGAGAGCCAGAGCCTGAAAGAGCAGATGAAGCCTGTTTACGCAGAGAATACTTTAGACGATTTTGGAGGGGGTGGCTTATTTGCGACTGTTAACGATCTGCTCAAGATCCACCAGGGCGTTCTGACAGCGAAGCTACTGCGGCCTGAGACTACCAAGGAGATATTCCAGCCTCATCTAGAAAATATTGCAGGCCTCGATAAACCAGAGGAGTACTCCTCGTCGTCCCGCAATGCTTTCTGGAATACCGTTCCAGATGACGTCCCTGTTAACTTTGGGATTGGAGGTCTGATAAATACAGCTGCGGTACCGAAATGGCGTGGAGTAAAGTCGCTTACCTGGTCGGGTCATGCAAATTGCTACTGGGTAGGCACTCTTTCTAGGGAATGAACTCAAACTTACTGTTTCACTATAGTGGATCGATCTTACCAATGATATCGCCAGCGTATACCTTTCTCAGCTTTCACCTACCGGAGATGAGAAAGCCATCGAGCTCCTAACTGAGTTTGAGGAATTCGTATACTCGATCTTGAATAAGTCTTGATATTGAAACCAAATGGGAAATTACATCTCGTATTAAAAGTAATACAGATTAATATGTCATTACATATCGGTATTTCCCTTTTGATCTAATATTATAATATCCTTATATTCGATCATTTGTATCATCCAACATTTCTAACAGCACTCTCAACACTTTCCAGAGCCCTTTCGTACATCGGCACCGCCGTGGCGCATTTGACTCGCACACAACTTCTCGAAACACGAGACCAGGCTTTAATATCTGATGTTGTCATAGTATAGGGACAATGGGGATTTCATACATGACGTGTGCCCCTATTAAAAATGTCCCCCCGGTTTCTTCTTGGATCTCCCGAGGCCATTCCAGCTTTCGGTCATGGTGAAATCGTTGACGAATGCGCCACTGAATATATGCATCAATCAGCGTGCTTTAAATCCAAACTTACTCTGTTACTAGAGGTTTGTAAGCATTTTCGATGCCATCTGACCGATTTGTGACGAGGATACACAGGGTCTCACACTTCTAACAAACCATCTCTTCATTCAGTCCTGCGAGTGCTTGTTCTGTGCATTTGTCTTAGGCTGCGCAACGAGTTCCCGCGGGGCAGATAATAGCCTTGGCGAATAATGCAAGGAATATTTATCATGAAGGGAATGGTTCAAAATCTGAAACATTCAATTTACAAATTATTTGAGGTAGATTAAGGAATCGAATGTTGATGTGTTTATAATGATAATTTCTATCAGCGCATTACTTATAATCAATCGGAAGAGATTTTATGAATCTACAAATGTGAAAATAGCATATTCCGATCTATACCTACAATTACATAACATGGAGTACAATTCGGTCTTGCTAAATACTACGAATTCACGAGTGATTTACTTGCATTTTACGTGGTGCGGGGGTTTCTGCAACAGTTAAGGATCCTCATTTTTTTTCAATTTATCCAAGGAACAGATTTTTATTCTGATTATTTTTCCTCCTCTTGTTGAATACCAGATAGCCAAGTGGTATCTGCATGTAATCATTCTTCACCCGATCCCAATCTAAGGGCAATCAAACGCACATCTACACCCCCAGAAATTCGTTCCTTCTCCTATCCCGCAAGCACATCCATTTTTTCCACCCCAAGTCTTCCCTTCAAACTCAAACTTTGGAATTGCCTCAGTAACTAATTGGGGAGGCTGAGCCCATCCATTAATCGAAACGCTCATGGGAGGATGGGCAGATGTAACTGTCACAAATTGATCAATATTGTCGCTTATCAGGCCTCCCTTTTGAATGCATTTGTGATCGTAGATTCGCGCCTCGGAAGTAAATCCTCCGTTGAAATTTGTGTATTCTTGCCATCCGAAGGTACATGTACCAGGGCCTTGAGTGACGCACAATTTGTTGTCGCGTTTTGGGAGAGCTTCTGTTGGGAGGGCGATGACAAATGTTCCTGCTAGAATGGGGAGGTATGTGGAGAGCTTCATAGCTATTGTTTGTTTGTTTGGTTTTCTTGTTTGGTTTTGATTTGATTGTTTGAGAGTTGTTCTTTTGTTCTGATTTGTTTTGTTTGAAAAAGGAAATTCGGACGTATACATGCGGATCATCCTGATTCTTATGTGAACACTCTTTGCTGTTGTTCTCACTACACAAAGGCTTTCTCCATGAAGAAATTGGTTGAAGGACGAGTCTTTACAACTATTTTGAGCCCAGTTATTACAAAGAGAAATTGGGAATGCCTCAAAGGCCGTCGCACAGATCAAAGGAACGGAAACTACAAGGTAGAACAACTGGTTATGCCCAAGTCTACCCAAAGAGATTCTTTGTCAAATCTATTTTGTGAATCCAAGTTAGCTAGCACAAGTGGTAAAGTATTGTAAAGCAACGATTTGAATTTCCATTATATCTCTTGCATGCTTTGTAGAAGCCCTAGATCCTTCCATCTCCCCATAATCCTCCATCCTTGCTCAATTTCAACACGGGCATTCAAATGGACAGATCCATGCATATCTTGCCCCTTTATCGGGGAGATCATTATATTTCAAAGTACAAGCCTCTCTCTTATCGCCGTGGCCATTCTCTGAGGGACCACGTTGGCCGTCTTCTGACATCTGCCCATTGCTCTGATAGAGAGGCATGAGGTACTCTTGATTTGTCGGGTCCCACTTTTGCTTGATCACCTTGTTCAGCTTCACAATATTGCATGTCCTAAACTATAGCTCCAATTTGAAGTGGACTCTTGAGTTGGAGCTTCGCCCGATTGTAGTATAACACAGTTGGTGTCGATGATGAAGGATCTAGCGCTGGCATTGTCGCCGTTATCGTCACTGCTAAATTGATAGACGTAGGTGCAGGTCTTGTCACCGAAAGCTAGTTGTTTTTGGGCGCAGAGTTGTGGTGTTGGTGTACTTTTTGGTGCTGGCTTGTGACCGCCGCGGTGACCGCCGCGGGAACCGACTTTTCTCAGGAGATCGGGAACTGGCTCGGCATAAGAGACTAATGCTGAGATTGCTACGATGAATGCGATAGCGAGGTACTTCATATTTGTTGATTTGAATGTTGTATTGATAATCAGTGTCGAAAAGTGTGGAATTGTTTGTGAATATTATGTCGTTTGATTCAGTTGATTGTTGGGTTCTGAAAGTGGATGTTGCGGAGTGGTTGATAGAAGGAATACCGAAGATGTTTATGATGAGTTTATGCAATTATATTGAAAGTTCCTGGGTAATTGTTCTCTGTGATGATTCCTTTGATGAGAAAGATTCGTGTACACAAGTGATGCAAAAAGCTTGAGTCACTGTAAAGGCTACCAGTCATAGAATTGTGTATGACTGTTCGTGTATGAATCGATCAGTCGTTTCGAGAAACGTCGAATTAATTTTTCATTCAGTATGATCGTAGATAAAAAATTCTACTTCTTGGTTTATTCTTAAATGCTCGACAGGTAAAACATTTCGCTAGATTTCAAGTCACAATTATATTTACAATTCTGATATTTCCTACATAGACCATTCTGCTCTCTGGTGCTATCCATCGCATCCATCACAGATCTATCCATCCATATCTAATATTTTCTATTACTGTCACTTCAATCCTGTAGTCTTAGTGCGGTTTGCACCAGACAGAGCAACCCACCATTCCGCTTTCGGTCCCTCGCACGCAAAGGTACAACTACACACATTGTAATAAGCTCCATCATATTTCATAGTCTGAAACCCACAATGCTCACCACCCTCAAAATTCGCTCCATACGTGAACTCCGGATGCTTGTTTGAATCTTCTCCGAATATCGAGAAATTGGAAAGCAACTTTGGCGATGTGAGATTGATGGGATATTTTCCCATATTTTCTTGGGTGATGTTGGGTTTTGAAATGAAGGTGCAGTTTTTGTTGAATACTCTGGCGCGAACTGGTGGATCTGGGAGTCCTGTCGAGTTGTTTTGCCACATCATTGCGAGGCTGCAGGTGCATCCGTTGCTGTTGCAGAGGGGACTTATATCTGAAGGTCGTGCGCCATTGACTTGGGAAAAGAAGGGGAGGATGGCGAAAAGAGTGATTGTGAGGAAATGCATGATGATGTGAATGAGAAGATTGCCTTTGTGTTGCAATTTCATACGATTTGATAAATAAAGTTGTGTAATCTGCCAAAGACTTTGTGCTACAATAATGTTGATATCTTTCGAAGAAAGATCTCGAGGATGGTGAGCTCAGTCCTACGTTGAAATGGTCAAGTCAAGTGTCATGCGTGGTGTCAACGCCTCGAGTCATTAATATGACTGCCACTAGAATCTCACCATAGTCACAATTCACTAATTGACTCGATTAGTAGAGAAAGAAGTCATTCCTCGTTCGTACTCATCATTTCAATCACACATTTTGAGTAATGACTAGGCTGCGCAAAAATAATCCGCGCCGATGGGTAATCCGCGGATTATCCGCTTCGTGGGCTACCTATCAGAGGTTCTACCTGCTCTACGGATTATCCATCTTGATTTAGAATAATCCGTTTTGTTGTGGATTATTTGTAAATTATTTATAGATAATTCACTTATCTGTGAATAGATGGATAATTCGTAGATATATGGATTATTCATGAATTATTTGTAAATAACTTTAAAAAGTGAGTTATAATTTATGAATAATTAGATAATCTGTAGGTTTTGTTCAATTTATGAAGCTATTTGTAACTTTTTATATTAATTTTTATACTAATTTATTATGTAATAATCTCTATATCTACTAATCTATGAATAAATAGATAATCTGTAATTAGGTTATAATCTACTTTCGCTTAATTTTTAAAGCTATTTATACTATATAATAATTTATATATTTATGAATAAGTGGATTATTTGTAAATAATCTGCGGATTGTTTATTAATAATCTATATATCTATAGATTATCCATCTATTCATAGATATAACGTAGTTTAATACCGAATAGATCATATCACCAAGTAGATCACTTTCACCTCAATTTACACCTTTAAATATAGATTATTTAATAATCATTAAATCAATTGATTTAAATTATTAAGAATCTAATAATTTAGAATCTATTATATTGTTTTGGTAAATTCTTGTATTATAATTTGTCTTTTCATATTTATTATAATATTAATTAAAAAATACTTTCTTATTAGAATTTCCCCTTTTTTAATATTTACTATATTAAATCTAAATATCAATTTTTTATTGAGATAATATATTAAAAGTCTTTTATTCAATAAATATTCCTTTTTAATATAATTAGGTTTTTTTTATATGTTAATATTTACTTAATACTTTATTTATTATTTAAAATATGTAATTCTTTATATTTAAAAGTATATTTTTATAAGTTAATCTTTTTATATTTTTAATTAAAATTAATATAATTTCAAATATAAATATAAAGAAACTTGATTAATAATGAGTTATTCAAGATTTAATTAATATTAATTAAAAAAAAGCTTTAATTGAGTTATAAGGAGTTTAAAAGATTTATTGATTTAGATTGAAAAAGGAAAGGGTAGATATATGAATTCGAATATTTAATTTTGAGAATATAACTTCAAAATTAAATAGAATTAAATTTGTTCTTTGAAATCCTGATTTTATATTTTGAAAAATAATTGATTTTTTATATATAATTTTAAAAGTTATAAAGAATTCAACCTTTGAAATATAATTAATATATATTTTAATAAATCCATTAATTTGATTATTATATAAACATTTTAGATTATTAAAACAGTTAATATTAAATGATTAAATTAAATGATTAAATTAAATGATTAAATTAAATGATTAAATTAAATGATTAAATTAAATGATTAAATTAAATGAAATGATTAAATTAATGATTAAATTAAATGATTTAAATATAATAATAAATATAAATATATAATATTATTTTCTTTATAGTATATTTGAAAATCTATTGATTTGTAATTTTCATGCTCATTTAATATCAATATTCGATATTTGCTTTTTCTTTGATTTTTAATATACTTATCAAAGTATTTTAATTATTTTAAATTTATTTTATTATTTGTTTATTTATTAACTATAAATTTAATAGTCTAATTTATAGAAAGGTTGATTTCGATATATTAATTAAAGAGATAAACTTATTTTTAAACTATTAAAAATAAAGAAATAATTTTATTCTTTTTATTTCCATATATTATTATTATAGTTCATTCTCAATTGTTTGGTTATACTATCTTGTTTCTACTATTTCATTTAATATTAATTATTATTATTATTATATATATAATCCTTATTATAAAGTTTGTTTTATCGAAATTATAGAAATCTTCGTTTAAAATGCTGTATTTTGCTTATATATTTGTAACTAATTGAAATCAATTTTTAAAAAACTTAGAATTCTTATAAAAAGCTTTTTAAAAGTTATAAATATAACTAAAATATATTTTTAATTTGATTCAATACTTTACAAATTAATATACCTAAAACTTTTCAATATATTTTATACTTTTCAATTTAAGAATATAATTTACTATATCTTTTACATTCTTAAGTTTAAATAAAAAAAATTAAATTTATATTAAGAATATATTGAATAATTACTTTCTCTTTTAATTTTATAATCTTATAATAATTCACTCGAGTTTTTATATATAAAATAAACTATTCATTTTATAACTAATTGTTATACAAAATATATTATATAATTGAGTAATTTATTGAATACTTAATTTTTTGTTTTTTTAAAAAGCTTTAATAATTAAAAGTAAATATACTTCTTTATTTATAGATTCCATAATAAATAATTAATAAAATGTATATTAAATACAAAGAGTATAAATTGAAATGAAAGTGGCCTACTTGATGATATAGCCCATTCGGTGTTAAACTATGTTATAGGTTATTTATGAATATATGAATAATCTGTAAATAATCTGTAAATAGTTTATAGGTTACTTGTTCAGATTTTTGGATTATTTGTGTTATAATGGATAATCTGTAGGTTACCTATTGAGGTCATTATCCACCCTGCGGGTACTCGTTGCGCAGCTTAGTAATGATATAGTCACTGCATGTCAGACAGTCACCATTTCTGATCCTTGATATTTGATGTTTCTTAAAGTCACGTATTTGTTATTCTATCTGTCCAGCAGATACAATACCCATCATATCTATAAACATTCCCTATTACCACCAAAAAAATACAGCTCTCTCAGTATCTCTTGGGAACTTTGAGACACTGAGAAAAACTCAGTCCATTCCCGGTCAGTCGTTAAAGAGAAAGTGACAATTGTATGAAGACCAATCAGGTCCCGTTTTCCATCCGCAATCATCTCTGCCATACTCGACGTTATTATATTTGAACACGGGTTTACCATAGCCAGTAGCTCCAGTAATAATCAAATCGCTGGGATTTTTTCCCTCCATCTTAACGGTGATTGGTCCGTTGGGATCCGGCTGCTCCATGGAATTTTTGACAATATTGCAATCTCTGTCGACAATTTCAAGATCTTTGGGCTTTCTCATAAGAACCAACGCGAAATCTTTCCTTTCGGCTTTAGGATCCATATCCCAGCGCATGTACAAGCTCCAGCAATTCACTGGAGCCGTGCAGCCATCAGCTTTATTTCGCGGCTCAAGTGATTGAAGGGGTCCGCTTGTTACGAGAGAGGTGTAAAGGGAGATGGTAACTAGTGTAGTTGCAAGAAGATACATGGTTGTGGTGTGTGATTTGAATGTTTATTGATATGGGGAGATCTATGCATATCGTCAATTACTGCATTTATTGTTTGAAGAGGTTTACCTACCTCAAGTTGTTTCTTTAAAGTGTTTCGAGAGTTGGTTGTGATGTGCTTGAGATGTTAAAATGTCCGAAAGCTTTGTGTTTATTTTGCGTTTTGAATGGTCAAGCTGGGAATCGAAACCCTTTTTGTTACCGATGCATCTTCTAACCGAGTGGTTATTGGCAAGGATCTTTGAGTGTACTCGAGTATGTTTCATTGCATGATACTCATGATGAGTAAATGATAATGGTCACTCATTATAATTGAATACAGTCATCAGTGCTGACCAGAGATATTCATACTGGGCTTTGGATGATCCGTATCGTTGTAGATGGGCGATGAATGGAGAACTATTAAAGCGGAGACCTGTGATATATTATATTCAGATCAGGTACGATACATGTAATAAATAGAAGACTAGATATAGCACTTCAATTATGACAAGTTGCTCTGCTTTCACGACTCCATGGAACTATTCTTCGTCTTCAATTCTAGAGCGGTGCCGATGGAATCGTCGTTGACTCAGGACACAAAATCGCCTCCAGTCACTCATTCAGAATTACTGTTCAACGACTCACTACATTTGGAACAAGGAAATTCATCACACTCATTGCAATAATCTAGTCATACCTGATCCGCCTCTCGAACAAAAGCTAATAGACATCCAACTCGACCGATCCGAATCTTGTTATCACAAAAATCATACATCTCGACTCTTCGATAATCCCACGAGCAAAAACGGCATTCATAGATCTCGAACGTCACTAAACACCCATTCGAGAAAAGAAACAACTCTCAGTAAGCGTAACATACAAGAATTAAGACGGAGTTATTGACCATTTTCATAGACTACCTCAATCCAATTCCCATCTTTGACAACTCAATCATGCAACTCTTCACCGTAACCTTTTCCGTCATCTTCACCCTCCTAATATCCATTGTCAACAGCACAAAAGAAAACCTTCACTGCCTCGGTGCCAACAAATGTACCTTATACATGACATGGCCGGCAGGCTCACCCGGCCTCGAATCCGGCACCATGGCCATGCCCAAAGATCTCGAACTTTATGGAAAAGATTGCAACGTCATTGAATCAAAAATGACTCAAGCCGAAGCGAAAGGTCCAATCGAAACCAAATCTTCTTTACCCGAAACCATAACTCTCACTGGGAAGTATCCCGTGTTTGACATGCCGCTCTTTACATATGGCAAGAATGAAGAAGGTGGGGAACATTGCGGACGAGGCGATGATGACTGGGTCTGCGATTTTCCTTGTTAGGTGATGGATTAAATTCTCTTGGTGGACTGGTCCAGCCGATTGTTTGCCACAAGAGAAGAATGAACTAACCGTGTTGGACGGTTTTTGTAGCGAAATCGGAGAGGAGAGAATTTCTAGTTTATGACGAATGCTGGCACTCGTCTACTGGAATCATGGAATGGCAAATGCGAGATTTTAGAAAACAACAAAAAGTCAACGCATGACTTGAGGAGCCAGTCTCCCGAATCTTCATTTGAAGATGTGATATGATGTGATACTTGACTCGAGGGAAAGTTCTTTAACGTCTTTTCAATTCTATTTCGGCACAAGAATCTGATAACTACACAATATTAAGTATTCTCTCAGCTCACGGGGGACGTGATTAGCCGGGAGAAAATTCCCATCCTACCATACTAAAAAAAAGCATAACGCGAACCGTAACACCCACACTAAGCCCACACCTCTGCTCATGAATCGACAATGATCGTCACCCAAGCTACATTCAACACACCACACCGCACCCCTCCAAACCCATCACAAAATCTCCCCATCATCAAACTTCCCCAGCCACCCCCTCGCACATAATTTCCCACAACTGAAACCACGGTATGACTGAATATCACGTGTCAAGCGTACACAGGTTCGAATTCATTACACCAAAATCGCGCCGATAGGAGATTTTTCACGTAGCTACTTCTTTGAAATCTCCGATTCTTGTGGTTTGGATTTAGATAAAAGGAAACAATGAAGAGAAATTAGGTCGTATGCATATGTGAAGTTGTGCGTCGGAAATTTGTATGTATTGGTACTGTTAATTACTGCTGAGAAATGCGTGATGCCTGATGTAATGTAGATATATTGATCCCGGATCTAGCATTTCGTTAGGAGAGAATCCCAACTTATTGTTCTTGCATGTACACCGAATAAATATGCCCGTTTCTAGAATACATCTTGCAGATTGTATTTTGACTGTGTTACATTCATTCGTGGAAGTATCTTTGAACCGCTGGATAGCATACGGAACTTTAGCAAAGAGAGAAAAAACAAAATGAGTATACATAGCCCGCCCATTCCTTAGCTTACATAGAAACTTTAGAAACCTTATATTGCATGTTAATAGCAAACAAACTTGGACTGTGAATGTACTGAGAATGTAATGCTGATATCGACATCGGTTAAAAAGGAGCCACCAATACTCCACGTAGCCATTATTCTCCCCAATTTGTCATCAGATGTTATTGCGCTCATTGTATAGCAGGTCTCATTGATGTTAGTAGACATATTATCGAGACTAAAACTACGCCATTTGTTCCTTTGACTTTTCTCGCTCACTGGCTCCTCTGATCAAAGTGCTCAGATCGCCCACTGGGATTTGGAACGGAAAGTCTAGGGCCGCCAACATAATAGCAAAAAAGATCCACCAGCCCGCTAGCGATGTTACGAAAAGCGTCGCACCAGCCGCAACCTGCAATCTGTTTGCTAATGCCAATTGAGTCGCATCGTTATTGCCGATACCGTTTGCCGTGTGCCAATCCACAGACGACAAAAGTGAAAAGGCAACAACCAATGTGAAAAATATTATAACAAAAACGACATTTGTGCGCAGAGAACAGACCAGGTAGATGAGACACAGGACCGCCATAAAAACAAAAAAGAATCCGAAAGAGGCGTTGAATCCAACTGTTTTCAAGCCGTCGGTTGGGGGTACCGCCAGACGGAGCGTAAAGCCCATATGCGTAGTAAAATGGTTGAAGTGTGGAGGCGAACGTAAGCCAGAAAGCACCGAAAGAGATAAATACCACAAAGGGAAAAGTGTTGCCTAAAACAAATTCGAGAAAACCACCGACGATCATGAGGAGTCCACCGAAGAAGAAATAGGAACCACTGAAGGTTTGTTAGTGAAAATCGAGACACATTGAATAAGAAATCAAGACACGTACATTCCAGCCGCACCGTTGTTACCCGCTCCGCGCCAACCCATAAGATCACACGATAATGGTGATAAAGTAATGAGAAAGCCAACTATTGCTCTACATATTCAGTTAGCATGGAGAGATCTCAAGGCTGTGAGGAGGGAACCCACACCGGAGTAGGATTTCCAAACGTCTTTCTCAAATCACCTTTCACGGCGTTTTGCGGAGAGAGATATATTTTCTCAAACAATTCCGGACTGATACTGATACTACCAGTGGTCTTGATCCTCTGCAACGCATCTTCCGAACCAATTGACATGTTATGAATTTCATATGAATTGCTCCCGTCGCCGTAATGATTGCTATTATGCGAGAAATCTTTTTCCTGTGGGACACCACTTGAATTTGCCTGGGCGTTCTCCGTCGCCATTTCGGATGTAGTTCAAAACAGCAGACAATAACTAATAAAGTAGAAGCTAACGACAGTTCACTAATGTAGGAAAGACAACGAGACGTTATAGAAACATATTGCGAACGTGGGAAGTCCGGCATTATGTACATATTTTGAGACGTACTAAGTTTTCCCGGAATCTTTGGAAATTTCGCCTTCGGTTCCTCAGATTGTGAAGATCAGCGCACAAGAAGAGCTCAAATTGTAGAGCTCTTAAGGAATTTTGGAAAAGCTATCCAGGTCCAGATTAGTGGGTGAACACCAAAGCCCTTGGCTTTGATGAGTGGGAGGTAAGTGTGGAAAAGATATTTTGAGTTAGGATATATTCAGTTTGGGAACAGCCAAGATACAAGCGCTGAAATGCAAATCATTATAGCAACTTGCTTCAATTACACATCTGAACAGGGACATATCCCTCCTAATTGTATCAAGCATCTGATTGCCAACTATTCCGTCTGTGTTAGCCGCAGGCTTTTCATTCTCCACTCGTGATCGATGAGATAATCATGAGAGAGTTGTGCTGCCTTTAGTTCCTCGTTTTACAAGGGAAGTATGGCATGTGCGAATCGTCTCACTTCTGTTGATATGGTGGGTTATGAGTGGCACGATGGGCTTTGCAGTCAAGTTCAAGCACGCTTGGAGAACAAATAAAGTTATGCCTTTGATATGATAAGCCAGAATTCCGGGGAAACTATGCAGACTTTGAGCCGAATTTTAGTCACCAGGAGAGTACTTTGTTGACAACTGATTCTCAAGAGAGCGGATTAGGGTACACAGCTGCAGGGGGATATTGTTGACCGACACCACATATCGATTATGTGGGAAATTGGGTCATTAAGGTGACAGAGGTCGATATAAAGTTCCTCAATATTTCCTCAAGACTAGTGTTTTTCCCGGAGAAAACAGCTCACGAGAGTTCCATATCATTTCTTCTAGAGATATGCTGTCTTTGATTTTTCATGGATCCACTGTCCGGACGTCTTATCATTGGTCAAACTTCCCAATATCCACTCGAAATATCGAGTAATGTAGCATGGTGTGTCTTCACACCCACTTCTTTTCTAGCTCGCATCAATTTTCGAATTCTCTTTCTGTCATGGTGAAGAATTCGTTCGATACCACACGAGTTCTAAAGGCACACACCTATCAATGCACTGTTTGCCAGGAGCTCGGAGTCGGGACACTTCCCACAAGCTGACAGTGGCAATCTGACAGTTTTGATATTTGGTTTAGACTAGGAATTGTCGCCGCCACTCAATCTAGTTGACGAGGGTCTTTGGGTCTGACAGATCAGGAAGGCACTCAGCATCAAGAATGCCCGCCACTCCAAATCTTCACATGAGGGGACAAACTTGTCCTGAAAACAGCCTGCTCATAGCTTAGATTCAATACACTATTCCTACTCCCAAGATAGCAACAACAAGCTACCGCCTCCATCAACTCCATCGCTCGCACTACGCCCCACAACAAAAAAGACAATCAAACATACGAAACATTCAGACAGCCTTTGGAAATTGAAGTAGTATGCGTATGACAAGTGGCAGGGCTTGTCACACGTGTGTACTCTAATACGACCGCAACCATATAATACAACTCCCCAAATTTCACAATGGGGTTCAACCTTCCAGTCCATCCATCATTCGAGTCCTGACTCCTCAGACGAGATGGCCCCTTTACTCAGTCCAGTACGATATGACAGATGATAGATAAGCAAGGTATGATATGATTCGGCTTGAGAATTATTGAATATCCGTCTGTCTGGTGGGCTTTTCGGGAAGTAAACATTATGATTGTACTTCTGCATGTTTGGTAGTAAAGTTTGATGCGCGTGGTGATTGATTTAGGTGCTGCTTTGACAACGCGTCCGTTTATCTTCAGCTTCATCAGCGAGTCTCGTGATCAGGACAAAAAAGAGACTTCTTTTATATCATACTTTTGATCGCCATTCAGAATATCTTTTAGAGACATTTCTTTAAACTTGATGATCTAGTATAGAAGATAAAATAAAGAAAAGAATGATGCTGCAAAAGTTATCACGTGGACGATCATCAAATCATTCAACTACATCACATGTGGGTACAATAATCCCTGACCAGACAACAGATCTTCATCCGAATAATTATGGGTACCTGTTCAAGCACTTCTCCTCAGGTCCATGTCCAAAGTCTAGAATCATATAAACTGTATGATCTACTCGCAAAGTATTCCAATTGGCTAGTACTATAGGAATTTGATGTCAATATGAAGCTGAAGAAGTTTTCGCGCTATATTGTAGAATTCCTATCTAGTAACCTAACGAGAAGTTTAATTCTGATCGACTCTGAAGGTTTTGACCTGCATATACGAATCAACCGCGAAAAAATTAGACAATCAGTCACTCTTCGCTTCCCCCAGTACTCTGCCGTCCCAACAATTGAGATGATTACACCATGCTCAATCCAGACTACCTCATGGGCCTAACACTTCACAGACCATCATCCTTGTTACTCTCATCCCCGATTCTCAATCTAAACTCCACCATTGGACCTTCATGCCAACTCAAAAATCTATCCCAAGTCTGGAACTCTTGCTTCCTCTCCCTACCCCAGCCCGTTCCTTTCTTACCCTCCCCAAGTCCTACTCCCTCCTGAACACTCAATCTCATATCAAACTCCCAGATCATTCGCGCCACCACCACTCTCATTTCCTGATAGGCCAGATATTTACCTATGCAGCTTGTTCTCCCGCTGCCAAATGGGGTAAATGCTTTTGGTTCAAAGACTTGGGATTCTCGCGCATTTCCTTTTGACGACTCGTTTTCACCCTCTTCATCAAGCCAACGCTCAGGCTTATAAACAAACGGATCTTCGAAATATCTTTCCTCGTGATGAATACTGTAGGCGGAGACCCCAACTGAAACTCCAGCTGGAATGGCGCAACCATCAATAACAGCTCCGCCTTTCATTACCTCCCTTGGTATATTGGCCCCAACACCAGGCGAAAGCCGCATAGCCTCGTCAATACACGCCGTAAGATATTTGTAGTCATTCAGCTTTCCCCCAACCTTGATTTCACTGACCTTAGCCCATCTCTCTCTAATCTCCCTTTTCAGACGTTCATAGACGAGTGGGTAATGAAGTAGATAAAAGAGAGTTGCCGTTAGCCCTGATGCAGTGGTATCCATACCGGCTACTATCAAGACACCGGCTTCAGAGATCAATTGTTCTTGAGTATAGATCTGCCCAGCTTCCTGATGCTGTGCAGCAATAATGGCAGAGAAAATATCTGCGTTAGCTAAATCGTCCTTGTGATCTATCCGCCAATCTGTCTGAGATTTGCTGAGAGCAAAAAGCTCCTTTGCACCATGCATGAAAGATGGTGGGATCAATTTTAACAGGCCGAGTTTTTCAATTGTCCGCATGTGCCCTAGCTATTGTTTGCCAGCTTGTTAGTATCTTTCTGGCTTGGGTAGAAGTAGGCTTATTTACCGTGTTCATAGCAAGAGCCGAATCAGACATGAGGCCAATTATATGACGATTTTCCTCATTGTTTAACATTCCCCAATTACGGCTGAACGTTACGTCGCCCATGATATCCGCTTGTAGATATGTCAAAGCCTTTGACATATCGTGGGGGTGTGTCCATTCGCCCACTGACACCTTCCCATTTTTGCCTTCCCGGAGATATTGGGAAAATCGTTGAGTGTTTTGATAGATCAGATTCTGTAGCTCTTGCACCGCCTGCGGATTTAGAGCTTTAACCAGAATCCTTCTCTTGATTGCGTGAAGCTTTTTGTCGATAGTGGTGACGATAGATGGAACTTTGAAAAAGTAGTGATATATTGTATAAAAGTCTGACTTCTGCGTATTGGCAGCAGAGCTGTATATATCTTGAAGAGCGGTGGTGCTGTTGAAAGATAGTCGATTCGGTCCAATTCGTACAATGGGTCCTGGAATATTGTTAATGGTTAGATTATAGGATCAGCAGACTGGATGTGAGCTTTCAGGATCTGAGAATGACTCAGGCAACAACCTTATTGAAGTCCAGTCCGTATTATTGAAAGTAACATATTGCTTACCATAGATTTGATGGAGTCGAAATTCATTCAAATGACGGTTGCCCGTGAGACAGAGATAAATATTGTACCAGTCTGTAACGGAAGCCAAAATAGGACCAGGATATGCCGCTAAAGGATGAAAATACAGGCGATAGAGGACAAACCAATGGAGCACCAGCAATAATAACCACAACGGAGCGTGCGGTCTGAAGCCGTCGAGATTAACCTCTTTCATGAGTCTTGAGAGACCCCTCAACATCCAATAACCCACTGCACATGTCGTCGGTCCGAACAAGAATATTCCATGCCATTTCTGAGTTTTACGACCCGCATGAGCCCCTGACATTCCATTGTTCTCCATTATATAACTGTGTTTCGAACAATGAGATAGCTTGACACAATCAATTGGATTCGGAAATTATGTCAATTGAATAGATAAAATGGATTTGAGTTGAAGAGATGAGTGCGGAAGTCAGATTGAATACCCCGCACTTGTCCTACTTTCAAAGATCTTCAGAAATGGAAGGTGTGATTACACTTTGTCACATGCAAATGCAACACAGGAATTTCAACTAGACGCAGTTATTGGATGGAATTGTAGCACGGAAGTGTTGCTTGATTATCGCATGTTATATAGGTGAATTAAATAACAAACTGAGAACGCCCCAAATCAAAGCCACAAGTGAGTTCAGACAAGAATTCAAACTCATGATTGAGTAATATCTCAACAACATCCGTCCTTACGGAGTACATTACTCATCTTGAGGCGGTTTCAATAATAATAGAATTCTCAGATAGAGGAAAGGTACTGGAATGATTCTGTGGATGATGTTAAGCAAGGACTAGTACCAGTTGTTCTTTTACATCTCAATGATTATAAAATCAACTAAAGAAAATGATACAAACACAACAATCTCAAATTGATTCTCTTGTGGTCCGTAATTCTCACTTGAGCAGTTTTATAAACAGACTCAATCCCAACCCGCAACGGCCTTTAGCCATCTGCCGACACCATGCTACAAACGATATACAAAGTTGACCACCACCATACATTTGGCTCTATATCTATAACATCTTGCCATTGAACTTGATAGAACATTATCACGCCCAGCATTCCTATTCATGGCATTTTCCACACTGACTAGCTTTTCAGTTGCATGAACCAAGCAAATATCTGTTATTCATCGACGATATAAAAGCCTGATGTCGCCATGTTAGATAGGAATATCTGCAACTTTAGTAGATAATCCGGAGCTGACATGCTTCTCGGGTGTTGTCAATGAATTTATCTCGCTTCACTATAAGATGGCAGACTGTAGCAAGTGCGATTTTAGGCACCCGAAAGATTGAAATGATACCCTTATTTGAGAAAAAAAGAACCATACATCCGGTTCATACTCAAGAACATGTGGATCATTTCATCAAGGTGTATGTGTCATGTTGAATTGATTTTCTGCAGACTTATGCTCTGTTCTGCTAGTCTCATCCAAGGACTTCGAAGCCAGAGTACTGCTATCAATGATTCGTTTAGTCGTAATGCTTGCTTTCATGAAAAAAAAAAGTGAGATCATCACCGGTCACTTGACTCTGTGGCTGATCCTTCCACAAGACCCAAGAATGCAAGAGTAGGGATCAATTGCCAATTGAAGCACTCTACCCTGGGGGAAAAGACATCACTATCCGTTCTAGACCGATCCGGATTTTTTTTCCTGGAGTGGGGGCCAGAATTCCGGATCGGATTGCTGTACTCCACATATCGAAGTCGCGTACTTGGCGAATGCGAAATTGTGTTGGGAGCTATCTCGCCACGAGGAACATGTATATCACCTTGGAAACATGTCGATCAAGACGTCGAATTCTTAACGCAATCCTCTTGGGCGACCCCTTGATGAGATGCAGGATGAAAGACGCAGGATTTCTTGCCAGTACAGACTGCAGTTTCTAGGTGAAAATCTAGATCCATGCAATATAGTAGATCCCATGCTTTGGATGAAATCATATGTATCAGATGAATTTCGAAGTAAAATGGGTGTGAACGTAATCTTACCATGTGAATGAAATCTTGCAAACGTATTCGGGAATCAAATGTCTTGCGTCACTAGACCCTCTCGGTTTGGAATTCCTAGTACGTAGAAAGCATTAAAAAGAAAGAAAGGAAAATGGTGTCTGCCTTGTACCGAGCCCGAAGGAGCTGCATAAATTGATATAGGAAGAGTGGGAAATAGGCGCCAGGCTTGAGAAAGTGATGATCATACTCTCAAAGCCCCATGCGCCAATGCGCGGGATCTCGCGCGAGCAGTCCCAAAGGAACTCGCGTAGCATTTGTGAAGTGGATGAGTTAAAAACATGTTGGAATTGATCCGCGGAACGAGATAGGAGAAAAGAAAGATCACGCGTCTGATCTTCATAAAAGATGTCGTCGCGTGTACTTTATCATTTCGCAAGGTCCGCCTGAAAGAGGATGTGTTGAGAACCGTTTGCAAGGTGCCATGGACACCCGTCTATGAAATACATGGTGGGCAGCTATACGGACGTAACTTGTGTCTTGTTCGTTATCTGTGAGCTCATAATCGTTGAGGATTGTCTGAGATCTTTCGGTACATATCCCACTCTTCCAGAGGTGATGGATATGAAAACGTGTTGCGAGGCCTTGTGGAATGGAAGCGAAAATAGAATTCCACATATGGGATATCTCACCGGGGAAGTTACCCGTGGCAAAAGTGTCCAGTGCTGACATGCCATGCTGCTTTTCATTTCCAATTCACAAACTCGGGTCCTTCTTGTTTGTTTGATCCATGTGCAGATCGAAAGCACTTTGTTTGGATATCCCACTTATCATGGGTTGATGCCTCAGATAGAAAGAGTGTTGCCTTAAATATAGCAGCATTCATCATTCTTAGATTTTGTTAAAGGGAGAAAAGAAAGAGTGTGAAGGAGATGATTGTTGAATAAAAAATAAATAAAAAGTTAAACCAAATCACTAAAACGACACCTGAGTGATTCGAACACTCGCTCCCGAAGGAAATGCCTGACTCTGAAACATTCAGTAGCAGGGCATCGCGTTAACCACTCCGCCAAAGTGCCTAATCATGTGACAACTATCCGGGCAAAACACATCATATTTGACCAAAACGTTGAAAGCCCAATGAACAGACAGCGCATCGTTATACAGGGCTGTGAGGAATGACCACTTCACGTAGATATCCAGGGTGACGAAGGTATTGACCATTTTAGGAAGGTACGATTGACGTGCTTCTCATTACTTTGGTACCTGTGACGCGCCATGCGTTGTAGCTGAAAGACTGTTCTCTCCGACCGGAGTTCTACCGAATATCATAATTTCAGACATTCAACTACCTCAACTACCTACAAATCCAAAGGGAACCTAAACACACAAAACATCTGCTAACGCCACCATATTGCGCACGAGTGAGTCCATATATCTTACATGATCGTTCTTGTAATGTAGTCGTGCTATTTGAGTACTGTCGATCTTGTATAAGCAATGACGTGGCTGTAGAAATCACCACCCCGCAAAGTTTCACAAATCGAAGCGCTTCGGCGTTCTGATACCAATATACCACGCGATTATCTGTTCATACAGACCTTTTGCACATCATGTCCAAAGGCTCGGAGTAACATGAGTGTGCATGTTTACCACTGAGTAGTTGAATCGATACAAAATAAACGCAAGATACAATCTGCCTTGTTTCCAGCCATTTGTATCCGTCGTCTTAAGCGCCAGCAATATGCGAAATCATGTTCGGATCCTTTGAAGATAAGTATGGAAAGTGCCAACACAGATCATCAAGTGTCCCCCGAGTTCCCTGCTAATCTTATTCCGCAATAACCACAATAGCATGCTGTCATGTGTTATCTAGAACATACCTGGAACATATCTGTATGTTGAATAGGTGGGGGTTCATTTTCAATGTGATGATCAAAAGGTGTGAGAAATTATGAAGCGCGATCTGTTGAGGCTTGTGAAAAGCACAGGATCCATTCCTACTTCACACGCAAAGGCAGAGGTCCAAGATACCAAGATATTATTATGCTTCTGAGCTTGAGCCTAAGCTTGAAATTGGTGCTGGTAAGCTTACCTCAAACTCATCTGGAGCCGTCTGATACAATCATTGTAAACATCTTCCCACTATTATGGCTGAAGTGGGTCTGTCCAATTTCTGGGGTTCGTCCGCGTTGACTACCATGTTCTAGGAGTTTTATTATCCAAGATTAATTATGGAGGCTCAAGCAAAGATGGGTATCGGCAGGATTTTGATACGGGTCTACCTGGTCTTGTACCGTCGACCAGGTTGAATATTTTTGAGGGAAAACAACCGCATTCAAAATGTTTATTAACCATCTCGCCTTTAGTGGAGATTGCTTTTTACTTCTCTATAGTTCCGGCCTTTCTTAATTACCTTGCTCGATTTCAAGTTTGTGACTATTCCAACCACACTTCTTCAAACATGATAAATTTCGGAACAACACTACTTGAAATGGAACTGCCTCGAACTTCCTACTTGCCCCAATCATCAAATTCAGTTGTCCACTTTCAATCAACATCATATACACCAAAGATGTCGCTAAGCCCTCCTGGAAGTCCAAGTAGTGTAGAGTCTAATGGTATCAGACGATATCGCAGGACTACGGCTTGTACGACATGCCGTGATAGAAGAGTTGGTCTTTACTTCTCGGTCCATGCATGTATATTACTGATTCGATAACCCTAGGTAAAATGTAGCCGCGACAGGCCATCCTGTACACAATGTAAGAAGGGGGGACGACTTTGTAAATACTTGAACAGCGAAATACCCGAATTTGAGTTCATTGAGGTGAATGTATCAAGGAGTCAAGCTAGGAAGTCGACATCGCCAGTTATTTCAAATCCAATTACCGAAAGGAAATCCGGTATCAAGTCAAAAGCAACTGGTCGGTTGGTGGGTAAAGCATGTCAAATACCATCGTCTCGTTTCCCCGCAAAGACCCTGGCGAATGGTTTAGATACTCAGTCGCATCAGCCCACCAAAAATCTAGCGATTACCCTTGGTGCACTCGGCGAAGATTTCATCTCCCATTTTCGGACGAAAGTTCCTGCACGAGAAGTTTGTGATCATTTCTTGAACAACTTCATAGGGCTACAGTCTGCAGTGCCCATATGCCATATTGATACTCTTCTAGATGAGTACACCAACTTCTGGGCCAATCTGTCTCCTGAGACCTCTGTTGAATCTACTTTACTCATCTTAGCTGTTCTATATTGTGGGGCTGCTAGTTCTACCATAAACATTTCACAATCAACAACATTACACGATCTATACGAACAGCTTTTAAACATGGTCAATCTTCAAACATATCATTGCGTACACCGGGGATCATCTGCCATCCAGCTTCTGCAGGCTTACCTTCTTGTAAACACATTTCAAGCTAGCACATCATCCTCACAGTTCCGGTACGGATTTTTACCCCACGCGATTAGACTCGCTCAATCATTACAACTCCATTTCGACAAACCAAATCAAAGTGATGGTGTCCAAGCTGGAGTTAAAGAGAGAATTTGGTGGTATTTGATGTTCTTGGATCTTCAGTCGACGATCACGACCGGCGCACCTTCATTGATAACTAGGAATGGATCCACAAACAACGTTTCATTACCCATCGTGCTAAGCCACACATCTAGCCAAGATTCTGTTTCGCCGATGACGATCGCCTTTTACGGCCAATGCCAGTGGGTGCGTTGTATGCGCGAGTGGGTCATGAAGATTCCAACGCAGGGAGATGCGGTTCGTCTTGTTGAAAGTATCGAGAATCTTCTAAATTTATTACCGGAAGCAAGAGCAGAGAACTTGGGACCGCGGGCATACCTGAAGTTATTGATAGACAGTGTATACTGCCTTCTCGGCTTGAACTTCTGTCAAGCAAAACAATTACAGGATATTGGGTGGCGCAATGATATTGTCCGGTTTGTTCTCACCAAGAATGCCATTCCTATTCTTTATCACTGACGTTTTCAAATCAGGGCTGCAAGTTCATTCCTGCAAAACTACCTTGATTTATCCGATATGACTTCTGTAGCATCATTGAAGTGTGTTCTTCCTGGTCTCATACAACCTCACCACGCTGTCTTTATCCTCCTCATGCACCTTAGTTTGTGCACTTCCTTGGATTCCAAGGCTCAATCGTTGAAAGTTCTCGTGGACAAAGTCTTCGATGCCGAACTCTCTAGCCCTAGACTGGGTACCAGTCGTGCCGCTTACAAGTCGCGCGAGTTTACTTACTCTAGCCCTACTTCTCGGATCTCTCGCAAATCATATGGTTACCCTCGCCAGGATATCCTCATCCTACTCTATAGAAAAGTTCGAGCCAAACTAGACCGGAATACACCAAAACTCACAGCCATATCTCGCTCTCCTTCTCCTAATATCGACGTTTTACCACAACTTGAGGGCTTGGTCTCGCGGGACACGAAGAGCAACATTGTCTCCAGTGAGAATTCTGCAAGCGGATATGGAGGAGCTAAGCGGATGGATCTGGCAATGGAGATGAACACAGAGAACTACAGAGTTGATAGAGAGTTGGAAGATGTCCTTAGAGGCGGACGCGATGCGTGGAATAAATGGGAAAGACTGATAGGTGCGGTTTTCAAGTGCTGAAAACTGGACTTTGAAAATTTTAGATATGAAGGAAGAGCTTTTATGCCAGGCTTATCATTTATGAAATATCTTAGCTCAATAGCAGACACAGCCTCTTCACCATTGGACATAAATGCTTGGTCATCTCGGATGCACCTGGATTCATCTCATGCATATTTTAGTTTATCCTTATTTTTAAACTCTATTATAGGTATACTAAACTATATCACATACTAACTTCAACTGACTAAGTGAAATCGCATTTATATGATATGTTTAGAACAAGATTCTGAAAGATGGAAGTATATCATTGTATGGAATTATAATATGTGGCTGGCCATGTATGAATAGCCATCAAGTAAGTCTTCCACGATTACTGTTATAATCAATTATATTATTTGCTATGATCTAATCGTACACTCCAAGATATTATAATTCAATTTAGACTGGAAGTATATGTACAAGATAAAATTCACACTACCCGCACTAACGTCAAACAATCGCACGATCCAAAGTCAAAAAAGCTCAAACCTGTTCAGTGGACTCCTGAGTTTTAACACTCTTCCATTCGAGAAATAGAGAAGAAAGAAACGCCAATCCAGTAACCGGAATAGCTGCAATAAAAACTTTCTGCAAAGCACCATTGTATACTTCCAATAGCGCAGGCAATTGATCCGCATCAACTACAAATCGGAAGCCCGTGGCACCAGCGTCCAAAACTGCCTGGATATTCACTCCTGGTAATTGCCCACTTTCATATGACCCTTTTAATTGGTTCTGGAGAATTGTATTTCCAACAGAAACAAAGACTGCGCCGCCAAAAGACTGCGATGCAACCACCGCAGCGGTGCCGATGGGGATTTTGTCCAAGGGTAAGACGGTTTGGACAGCAGTGAATCCTTGCTGGATTGCGATTCCGAAACCCGTCGCGCTGAGAATTTCGTAGCCGATCCACTCAGCTGATGTGGTATCGGTTCTGAATGTGCTGATGAGTCCACAGCCTATCGTAGCAATTGCTGTACCGATGATAGCGGGCGGTGTAAAGTATCCAGATTTGGAGACGATAACACCGGCCACGAGGGAGAAGAAAGCATTGCAGACGACATATGGAATCATGTCAACACCAGATGTGATGGCGGATGTGTTCTTGATCGCTTGAAACCATTGAGGGAGATAATAGCCATGGATGATCAAGGCCGAGTAGAGGAAGAATGAGAAAAGGCAGCTTGCTAATACAGTGCGTTGCCTGAGGATTTCCAGCGGAATCAAAGCTTTATCGCCTCTATACCAGAACCAGAACCCTAATACAATCATAGATACTCCGAAGCCGACGAGAAGGCCTATAACAATTGCGCTGGACCAAGAACTCCCCTATTTAATAGTAAATACCTAGTAGCCGTAGACCGCCAAACCACAAGAGTAGAACTTACCTCTTCAGTACGTTGGAAAGCTATGAAAAGCATAACGCATGCACCGAGCAAAAGAATATTTCCAAAAATATCGAGATCCAGGACTCGTGAGCCGAACGATCGTTTTGTGGTCGTGTTATTCTTAGGGTTGAAGAATAAAATCATGGCCAAAATGGTTACACCACCGACCGGAAGATTGAAATAGAAACACCATCTCCACGATACTTTATCTGTGAAGACTCCTCCCATCAGTGGTCCCACTGTAGCTCCTAATCCGAACCTGCGATTGAATTAGTCTAGGAATGAATAGCAAAGTTGCAATACTCACATCAAACCTACAGCCGCGGTGAAGACAGGACGTCTTTGTATCGGGACACTATGAGCAACAACAACAAAAGACCCGGTCAAAATCCCCGCACTCCCAACTCCAGCGATAGCACGCCCTATAATCAACGTGAGAGAATTCGGAGCTACGCCGCAAATCATTGATCCTATCTCAAAGAGCGCATTTGCACCTAGATATGACCATTTGATACTGAAACTAGTAAAGATCCTTCCATACATCGGCTGGAATGCGCATGCCGTAAGTAGATATGCACTTCCATACCAACCGACGTCTGCATATGAACGAAATTCTCCACTAATATACGGAATCGCCTAGAAGATATGTTAGTAATGCGTGTAACGGAGGAAGTAAGAATGGCAAGCATACAGTTGTAATAATTGTTCTATCCAAAGAAATCAAAAGTACCGACAAGCAAAGCCCGATTGTGAGAATCGTCAAAGCAAGGGTTCCAGGATACTCGATTTCTGCATCTGGTTCCTGCGGCTCTGGTGGCGCAACAACCTCGCCATCTTTTTCGGTTTTTGCCCGAGCTCCAAACGCATCCAGATTGCTAGTGGAGGACAACGATATTGCGTTGACCTCTTTGGTTTCCCAATCCACCATCTCGTCTATGTTTTTCATGAATTGATCACTCCATAATCCTGGTTTCCCAGGGTGTCTCTGCTCTTCCACAGGAGTGGATAGTCGATGTGGTCGCTCATAAGTCCTACTTCTCTTGGTGCTAGACGCGGATTCACCAAGCGTGCTTTGAGATGCTAGATGTCGAAGTGATGGAGCTGCAGATGCTATAATATCCGTCAAGATTTCATTGAGAACAGCATTGTTTCGGGGTGCCTTGTTGGGATCAGTGTCGGAAGATTTTCGTGGCCCACGAGATGTGGTGAGTTGTAGGATTCGAGTACTTTCATCCTCGAGTGACGATGACTTTGCCAACTCCATGAGAGATTCAAATCCTGCACAATCGGAGCTTGCTTTCATGCTCTCCATGGTAGTGGGACGCGAACCTGAGCTCATGCGCGACTTTCCTTTGAGGTTGCTTGATGAATTGTCGAAGACCTTGGACTCATGTTCTTCTGGCTGTTCGGATCTTCCTCGAGGATTTAGCCTCTCTGTCGATATTCCATTGTTGGGACCCAAATTTGATTTTGCTTCTCCAAATATATTCTCTGCGAGCTGAGATTGAGCTCCATCTTTGATCGGTCCATTGTCATGAGAATCTTTTTGGCCATCGGATCCTTCATTTACTGCTTGTTGATTGTTATCGGTTTCTGAATGATGCGAGAGTCCATTGTCCTCATTCAAAACTGTGTAGTCTCCTCTGTCATCCAGGGTAGTTTCAGATGACGGTTGTATATGGTAAATTTGACGCGAAAAGTCAAGTTCTTCCACTAAACTTGTTTGTGGTGCTGCATTTTCAATTGGAGAGCTCGCTTCCCCGTCTGAACCCATAATTGCATCTCCAGGGGATCCCTTCGTGGTATTTCTTGATATTAATGTCGATGTAAAGGTGTTTCAACTCTTTTGTTTACTGCAATCCAGATTACGATGTGAGATATTGGGTATGGTTGATTACGTAGGTGAACCATTAGTTACGGATGTGGTATTGCCGATCAACAATATATACTATTGTAGAATCTAGACATCCGGCCCAGGAACTAGTACAGATATACTTTACTATTTGGGATGAAAATCTGGTTTTCAGATGGAGATCTTCGCCGCAGCAACTGGTCTGTGGCATCTCAGTCAGCTGCTAACATTTTAGGTTATTTGATTCATGACCCAAATGTCGCTGGGCCGACGCTGTGACAAAAGCTTCTTTTGTACGTACGGATTGATGTCCAACGTAGAAAATTTTATTCAACGTGTGAAGATGAAGTCATTTCAACACCATGTGACAAATCTGCTGCAATGATCATGTATGTTCGCGGCTAATTAAAAATTATAATATATACAGAAAGCAATGAAAACCTTATATCCAGACCACATGAACGTTGGTTGCTCATAAGATTTGGTTCTTCTTCAGCCCCGCCAATTGAGCAAGAGTAGAGAAGACACCGACTAAGCCAGTACCATCAGTATGTCTTCCCAATGCCTCAGATTCACCAGTGAATGATTCCTCCAGCTCCTGTTGGCTCTCCACAGACAAAGTGTCTGCAATCTTCTTTCCCCTTAGTCTCTCTTCCTCGATCTTTGCATGTGTCCATTTTTCAAAGTTGCCTGATTTGATTTCTTCGTTCAATTGCGCATCCATTTTATCCTTCTGAAGATCATCCGGAAGCAGTCCAGAAGCCCTCATCATAAATTCAGGACTAATTGTTTTGCGACCTTGCTTGAAAACACATTTGCCAAGCGAGGATGCCACAACACCAGCTCTTGGATCCAATTCCTTGCGTTTCTCATCTTCTCCATCTGATTTTTGCTGTGGATAAAGGGTGTATGACTTTGGTTTCGAAGCATCCTTGCGAACAAAATGTGTGACAGTCCAGATCCATTTTTCGTCCCAAGACAAAATTCTTGTCCACATCTCATATGATTCGTAAGGCTTGAGTTCCTTCTTGAAATTGCAATTTACTGCTCCTAAAGCGATGCCGAAAACAGGTCCCTTTGATCCTGTGACTGCCTCTGTTCCACCTCTCATCTGTTCGATGGCCTCGGAGAATAGTGTACAAAACAAGTGTGTTCGAGCTACATCAGCATCTGAAAAGTAGGAACTGTTACTTTCTAGAGGGAGTCAGTAACTATACACTTGGAAAATGAAGAGGATTCATAACTTACTGTGGAGGTTCAAGTCAATCTCCATCAATGGGGCATGTGACTCAGTGATCAAGGGCTGAAAAATTTGATGTGGTCCACATTTGACTTTTGGTCTCTGTGAGCGAAGACAGAATCGAAAGGCGTTGACGATACGTAGATGCCAAATGAATGGCAGAGTCTTGAAATTTCCAATGGCGAGTAAAATGAAAGCGAGTTTCCATACTGTCAACGACGTATAAAGATAAACTAGGCATCTCAGAAAAATATGTAAAGAGTACGTAAGGATTGCCCAGAGAAGAGTCTTGCTTGGAAAGAATGGTTGGGTGGTATTCCCGGTGAACAGGTGCGTGGTTTGCGTACCACTGACTGTAAAGTTGTTCATTTTGAAGTCTGATGGTGAAATAGGTCCGGAAATGGGTGATTCCTGCGATGCAGAATATTATTCTAGAATATTTGACATGTGGAAAAAATATGAGATCATTCAAAGAAGAAACAAGAAATAATTTCTGTTTTCTGTTACTGAAATGCTTGATTTCACCGCCAACACTGCAAATGGCAAGAGTTAGCCTAAAAGTCTATTAATACATGTCGTAGATGGCGCTCAAATAGACCCAATATTCTTGTGGGATTGAAATATTTTAAGTTCATCAAGATTGCGTGAAAATTGAGCACGATGGCCTTCCATGCAGAGATCTTCGTTCGCAATGTCTATTACCAGAATCAATGATCACCTACCTAGCCTGCCAGGCTGGTCGTCATGCACGCTAGTTAAATGAAGACGGCTGGGTGAGGAAACATCATTCTAGTGTCCTGCGGCTCTTGCATTAGTTTAAACTCCGATAGATTAGTGCTGATCTCTCCCGTTTCCCAATTGGGATCCCGCATGAGACCACTATGGATTGATAGTAAAAAGATCTACACAGAAATCCTAGACTTAACCGAAAAAGTTAATTTATCAAAGGTCCTCATCGATTACTGGCTCGATGAGGGAATCAAAAAAGACTAAATTAACTAAGGTCTGGTTGACACTGAGCGGGTCTTACCGCTATGGGAATCAATACATTGCATGTGGGTCGTATGCCTTTTCCGGGCTAGGGTCTTCCCTGGGTCCACGCGCATGATTACTTTGATTTAGGGCTGACAAAATTTTGAAAGATGGCAGTTCTTTAGAGTCAGTGCAAATGATTGTAGCGAAGACCTAGATCAACCGCTCGAGCATGCGGATATGTCATCCCGGAACCGAGGAAAGACTGTCAGACGTAGCCCAGGGACTAGCCATTATCCACCTGAATATTGATATCACCTTATTATATAATCGCTTTACACAAATGGTTGTATTTCACATGTGACTGTGGTGCAAAATTCCAGAAATTACAATTGTTTTCTATCCTTACATCCGAAGCTCTCGTAGGGAGAATATACATTATACTACAAAATAAAACTTATCAAATGAAAACTTCACCATCCCATACCCATTAGAAATTCTTCTCGAATTTATGCCCCTGAATCTCCCCTGAAACGTGCCTCCTAGAGAGATCCCCCAAAGCCCAAGAGGGAAAGCTTCTCAGTCAATGGCTTCGTGATTTAGAACTTCAGCATTTATGACTTTGCTACAGACTTGATGTCCTGAGCCTTGATGGCGGTTCTCTTCACTGTAGTCTTCTTGTATGTAGCAAGATAGAAAGAAATGAAGAGGAATAGGTAGGAGCTCAAAATGGTACAGCCAGCGAAAGCAGCAAATGGCTCACCAGCACATGTTCCGACGTGGGGGAGATGGTTGTAATAGGCGCTAGCGTAGTAATTATATGTGGCGAACTGGAGATATGTCAGTAAGGATTTAGTTTTTTGGTTTTGAGACTTACGTAGACTGCGAAGAGATCAATGACAAATTGGGTGATTTGCATGCGGGTAATCCATTCCTTCCAGGTGATGCGGATTCCACGTGCACTCTGGAAGTAGTACCAGTACATCACAACGTGAACGGAAAGGTTCAAAGTGATGGGGACCCAGGATACTGGAGTGTGTCCAACAAGTTGAGTATAGCACAAGAGAGCTGTTGCTGGGTGGTGATAGCAGTGAAGGAAAGCTAGTATAATAATTAGTAGTGCACAATGTTCAGGCTCGGTTATGACTTACTCAAAGGCTTCTTCTTGAGGAACAAGAAAACGGTGTCAAGCAACTCCACATATTTGGTGATGTAGTTCAACTGTATGGCTTCATTAGTATGATCCCTTTTCAAGTATTGGGAATATGAACGTACGTAGTAGAGAGTAACCAATGGCTTGGTCCATCCACTTCCACCGCAGATACCATCAAACAAGCCATTTTTCCACAAACTTGGGATAAGCTGCTGCGCAAACAGGACAAGCAACGAACCGCTTACGACAGTCAACATCAAGTTGTGTGCCATGAATAAACCATTCAATTTGTATGCTGGACGGTTCTTCATCCATGCTTGACCACCAAAGATGATTACGTAGTAAAGAGCTATTGTAACAAGAGTTCCTTTCAACGTAGCCATTGGCGTCTTTCCTGGAACGAACTCAAAGTCTTCGGCAGGATATCCTGCTATCGACGTCCAGAGTTTATCGAAGGCTTCCCATGGTGAGAACTTGATGGCCCCATCGAGCGGCAAAAGAAGTGTACTGCTTGACATATTGGCTGATGCTGTCGCAACTCGTGAGAAAAGAATGTGAGATAAGAATGGGATTCAAGATGGGATTCTGATGTCGAAAAGAATATTGTTATTTTAGGGGTTAACGATTATATCTTAAAGAATTTTGCTTCTTCCGAGAGATAGGGATATTGTGCTGATCCTAGTTGAAATACCGTTTCTCATACATTGAAAACTTTGAAAACTTCTATGGACTAGTGACGACGATCATAATCGAGGCTAGAATTTGTAGTTTGGATGATCTGAGCCAGAATCTCGAGCTGAGTGATCGAGGGCTCGAGCTGAGGGTGTGAAAGTTTGAGTACTACTTTCCCTTCCATGGGTCCGCAGTCTACTTCCTGGCTAACTTTCGCTATGAAGTCTAGCTTCTTCACAATGGTGAATGGCCGCCATCAGGGGCGACGGCAAGTATAACGACGTTTTGGGGGATCAATTCGAGCAGCTTCCGGACGTTCCAAGCATCAGATTATTGCTACCACTTGGCGTGCATGAGAATGATCGAATGGAAGAATTTCTCCGAAGTACACGGACTAGCGGCACGTTGATGATTAGTAAGGTTCCATAAAAGATGCATCGTAGGGGGCTTTATTGGGGACGTCTAAGTAAAAATAAGCTTTTTGCGGGTACCCTTCGTGTATCTTCAATCTTGATGATCGCGCAATTACTCGTTTCGGCTAACTGCATCCCGCTTACGTTAAAATGCCTACTAGTTTTTGTAGATCAGCACCAACAGTGGGAGGTCGCTAATCTAATCTGTACAAGCGGGCTGGCTGTTTCACGTTAATTTTTTTCTCGAAAACTTAAAGTTTACTTTTTGAGTCAATTAGGATGATTTCGATAAACTCATATTGCTAACCCACTACCTCAGAGATTCCGTCACGCCGAGTAATTAGCTAAGACAGCAACGCTAGTGTGCCAAGCAAGGATGTGTACTTATTGTGGTGGTATTGTTCGACATGTTAGCTAAATATGTTGTTTACCGTCTATTGAAAGTTATCAGTAGTTGATACATTCTTGGGAATACGCCTCGACAACAATTTATGGAGCATCTTAGATAGATTCGATCGTAAATATGTGATGCCGATCAGTGAGATCAACATTTTCGAGCATTCTAGCTCACATACACCAAATGTTCTTAAGATTATGATCCACAAGTATAGACGGTGAATAATTTGATTAGCATTTCGATTTCATTCATCAGTGAAATAATTCCGGTCTCTGTCTTGTCGTTTCCTTCTCAACTCAATCACACTTCTCTTTGAGCAACGACATGGCTATCGAAGTATCTTTCGCCTCCCTTTCTGGGGCAGCGACATTGATTGCACTCCTGATATCAAAGAACTCCACGTGGAGCACTCTATATTCACTCCAAATTGTCTTTGGAGTCTTCATACCATCATATGTCTTTTACCTCAGTTACATCTTCCCATTCTATATTTCCGAGCTGCGACATGTTCCTACCGTTCCTGGCTTTCCTCTCTGGGGTCAGTTCCTTGAAATTATCAGCACTGAGATTGGTGTAAAGCAGCGTGAATGGCATCAAACACACGGCCCAATCATCAGATACTTCTTTCCCTTTGGAGCTGAACGTCTATCAGTCGTAGATGACGATGCAATCAAACAGGTATGGTAGATCAGTATAACAGCTTACTATGTACAATCTTTAACATGAACTCGCAGATGACAACCAGAAATCCATACAACTATCCAAAGCCGGTGCGCGCGAAGTTGTGGATGGTCAGAATTCTTGGAGAAGGTGTACTTCTTGCTGAGGGAGATGAGCACATCCATCAACGAAAGTCCTTGGCACCAGGTTTCTCTATACAATCGATTCGAGCACTCTACCCAGTATTCTGGCAGAAGTCATTGCTTCTCACTAAGTTGTGGAAGCAAGAAATGGACGCTGACTCGGTAAAGAGTAAGCCTTTTGAGGTTTTGGAATGGTTGAACCGCACTACTCTTGATATTATTGGTTCCGCTGGCTTTGGTGTTGATATCAACTCTCTCGAACATCCCGAAGCCCCAATTCGTGAAGCCTACCGACTTGTCTTCGCTTTCGATATTGGATCCCGTATCTTGCACGGTCTTCAGGCTTTCATTCCATCCACCAAGTACATTCCCGCCAAGATGAACCGTGATATGGAAAGTTCGCGAAAGATAATTCTAGAGACTGCAACAAATATCATTGACGAGAAGCAAGAACAAGCTGCTCAGAGAACCAACCATAAGGACATTATCGCGTTGATTGCCAAGGACAATTTGAAGATGAAGGAAGCTGGAGAAGAAGGTTTATCTTTCGAGACTATGCGTGATCAGATCATGGTAAGCAGAACTCATAAATGGCTCCTTGAAATCTTGCAGAAGACTAATATACATTGTCAACAGACTTTCCTTGGAGCAGGCCACGACACAACAGCAACAGGTTTAGCATGGACAATTCATCTTCTCTCAACTCACCCGGAAATTCAAGATAAACTCAGAGCCGAGATCCGCGAGCACATGCCTTTCCTATTCGATCAACAAGCCCGTTATGATGGAAGTGTTGAAAAGACTGATGCGGATCTTCTACCCTACCTCGACAATGTCTGCCGTGAATCCCTCCGCTTCATTCCACCCATCCCGATGACAGTTCGACAATCTCTCAAAGACGATAAATTGGGCCCATACACAGTTCCAGGCGGTACGGTCATCTATATTCTCGCAAACACTATTAACCATCTTCCTATGTACTGGGGTGACAATGCCAATGTTTTTGATCCTGATCGCTGGGACAAATTGCCTTCTACTTTCACAGCTAATGCTTTCATGACTTTCTTGCAAGGCCCAAGAGGGTGCATTGGACGCAAGTTTGCAGAGACTGAAATGAAGGTTTTGTTATGTTGTTTATTGAGTATGTACAAGTTTGAGCGTGATGAGAGCGTGGAGAATCCCGAGGACTTGAAGATGTGGAGATTGGTTCTGAGACCAAGAGATGGTCTTCAAGTCAAGGTTACTGCCATTTAAAGTTGTTTTAAAATTGATGCGCCATATAGTCGGCATGAAGGAAAAGTAGGAGATGGTACAGAATCATTTTAATTTTTACATAGATTTTTTTCGCAGAGACTCTTGCTTGTAAGAGCCCTGGTCATAGTTTATGTATCTTCTCCTTTCTGTAATATAATTCTTACCCAAAAAATTGTTTTTTTATTCTATAAATTGAAGTACTGAACGACTTTCTAAAAAGCAAATTGAGTCGACTGAAATCTAGACATGTAGAGCTACCTCTGAATAAAATCTTAAAAGGTTGTATTTATTTCATGAGAATAAGAGAAATATTTTGTCTTCACTTGTGATAAATTTTACTAATTAACAATCATGATTCTGCGTTTGATTTGTCACCAATATCATATTGATATATTAAGTAGATGATAGGTAGGTTGAATAGATTAAGGGTCTTGTTGCGTCTTCGCCAAGGGCGTGATGAGCTATGTGTAAAACTTACACAACAGCCTCGATACTGTCGGGCAGACTCCACCAGGTGTATACATATGAATCATACCTAGGTGTCCAAGAGGGGCTGTACCCATTCTGGCTGCGCTCTTCGTATGAGCGGCGAACATTAAACTATGGCACCCCCATTCTATCTTCCCTAGGGTACCATCACATACGTTATGTGCGTACGAGAGTGGGGGGAAGGCAGGCTATATAGCCGTTAGTCCGACAGGTGCGCTTTGTTGAGTGCTTGAGAACATGGTCTTTCCTATCTTATACGACAGAAGTCAAGAATAAAACAGAGTTCGTTGGGCCCTCGAACTTGTCAAATGCTGACATGTCGGTAGATTCGAGAAATTCGACATTCTCATTTTGTCAGAAAAGCAATTCATCTGTTTAAACTCATTGGAAGTTCATGGATTCAAAAATTTGGGGCAAAGGATACAAGCAATTTCAAAAATGTAAAAAGTATATGTATTAGAATTAAAAATCTCCACAAAAATCATCTCCCCAAAAAGTTCTCCCAAATTTCAAGTATCATCTCAACAAACATGCACGCTCCAATCCCTACTACATATGTTCAAGAACCTCGGCATCATCTTCCCTCACCCCATCGAAATACGATCAATACATAGCTGTGACAGTCTATGCACTGTTCTTTGCCTCTCTCTCTCTTTGGACTGTAACAGGGTTGCAGACGGCAATTCCAACGCAGTCGATATCAATAGGGAGAAGGAGCTGGTTGTTCACATCGATCAAAGAGTTTCCAACTCGGTCACCCTGTACTTGCTCTGGGTTCTGGATGGTTGGGTGGAATCCGCTTTGTTCAATGTTGGCGGGCTGGACATCGGCGGTTTGGACATCGGCTGGTTGGACTACACCTGGGTGGACTGGAGTTGGGTGGACTGCAGCTGGCTGGACTGGAGTTGGGTGAACAACAACTGGTTGGACTGGAGTCGGGTGGACCTCAGCTGGGTGGGCGGGGGCCAATGGACCCTCTCCAGCTTGAGCAGCCTCGTATCCCGGGTTTCCTGCATTACGAGGGATCATCTGTCGATCAATCAATTAGAAACGATTTCCTAATAATTCTATTTGTAGTTTTACTCACGTTGGTGGCATCGGCAGGAATGAGCTTGCTCAAAGCGGCAATGGATGAGTCCTTGCTGACGGGAAGAGCAATGCTGAAGTCCGCAAGGACAACGACGAGAGCAAGGGCAGAGATACGTGAGAATTGCATGTTTTCGGTTTGGGTTTTGAGGGAACAAGTTGGTTTGATGATTGAGTGTGGTTTGGTGGATTAATGAGTGGGTAGTTTGGTGAATGAGTGTGATTGTTAATGAATGAATGTGAAGTGTTTGATGAATTATTTGTTTTCCAATGCAATGAGAATGAAAATATATACCACAATCCTGGCCACTGACCGATAAATCGACCAGGATTCTCAGAATCAGCAGAGCATTCCGATCTACCATTTTTAAGACAACAGAAAACCCCAAAAGGGAATCTGGTGTTCCTGAGAAGGCTACTGAGAGAGTTAAGTTTTCGCTACCGCCGGATCTTAGATGCGAATGGGAGATCGGCAGACCTGGATCAAGCAATTGTGGACATAACAGAGCAAACATCAAACTCACCTTCATTTAGTAATCTTTTCAAACTAACATTAATGAACTCCCTTGTCGACCGCTTGAAACGCCACAAAAGCTACTTCAGTGTGAAAGACAACCATACTTACGACAGTCACGTGAGACAATCGCATTTGGACATTTTAAGCTTGGCGATATAAGGCTAAGCAAAATCTAGCCAAGTCAGGGGGGGACAGCGAAGCTAGCGCTACTTCAGCTGCCCCACCAAAGCTCGGGCAGACATTTGTCGTCACCGCTTAAGACCCACCAATTCGGAGAATTCTATGCAATAGCAACGGACTATATACAAGACATGCTGTACGAGAACGGGAGAGACTCTGCAAATCCCAATCTTGGTGATTCTGCTTGAGTCAAATTTGATTACTGTATTCTGTAGTTCACGTTATAGAGCAATTGTTGTCTAGATCGAATCTTGTCTGAACTATCTTGCGGAAAATCGGAATCCGAGGTTTCGAGGAACTTTAAACGCCATCGTCTTGTCCGCACGTTGAATTTCCTTTCTTAGACGTCAATGATACAGTGGCTGTTGTTGAGGGTCTCTCAATCCTTTTCCCCGCTAAGAAAGTTTATATCATTTATATGGATAATCGAGGGATTGAAGAGATCATAGGCTAACCTATCAAGGAATCCCTACTGTCGATGGGTAATCGGCATCTGAATTACCCCCGTAGGAGATCGTAAACGCAATTGGGCGGCAAGCTATCCGTAACTCGTCTAAGTTCAGGAACGAGATTTCAAAAAGTGTTTATTATGTCGGGGAAATAATTTTATCCACTTCAACAGGATATGGACGTGCATTTTAGCGAGATGAATTATTGTACTGGTGCATTTTGTGTGTTTTTTTTAGAAGTCGCCAGCATCAACTCTATAATCAATAATTTCAAGATGTACATCGTTTCAAATAAGATTGCTGAATACCACAACCTGGTAATTTTGGGAAAAAGGCTAACCGTGACATGCCGAAAGCCCGACCTTCAAGAGCATCTCCACTCTGCAAATTGACCAAAAACCTTGTCCTCTCTCAATGCCAGCAAACATTCTCTCCGTAGGCCCATGCAAATCTCCAAACCCCCCTCTCCGGCTTCCTTTCCCTCACCACTAGGAATTCTCGGGAAAATGACAAAGACTCCATCAGTCTTCAAACTTCTCCACCTAAACCTTTTGCATTTACCACCGAGGTTGTCCCCCCAATCTAAGCCGTAATATGGTTGTCCCGACCAAGATGAGCACCCAGCATTACGTTGGTAGGACTTAAACCCGCTTGGCTCTAGTCGGTTGAGATCAGATACCTGCTGGATTGCTTGGATTACGTCTTTAACCCTTGCCCCATCGACGTCACGCACTGATTGGCGAACGATGCGTGCGATGGCTCCAATATCTGTAGTATTTGTGGACTTTGATATTAGATCAGAGAATGTGCTTGTAGATTTTGCAATCAATACGACATTTCCAGTGAATGTGGGGGACATGGCAGGTTGAATACGGTTGCGTCCGTTGACCGTCATGACGAGTAGCGAAGGAGTAGATGGCTCGACGGAGTTTGAAGTAGCTGAACGTGCCGAAGTTATCCTAGACCAAATGAGTGCAACCAAAGCATCATTTGTAGAAACCCAAGATAAATCGTTCGAACCCTCATTGGCCAGCTCTTTCAGACGTCGCAAAGAATCGTCTGAGAAGAAAAATACACCCGTTCCCACAACATCTGAAGAAACAGAAACATATGGCGTGGATGATAAATCTTCTGGCAACAGCTTGTATTCTGGATAATCCTCCAATCTACCCGTTCCCCGTCCTTGCAACAGAGCAGAGTTATCTATCCATTCTTCAGTCACCAATTCATGACCATTTCCCCCATGACAGAATGTAGACCACAATTTCAAAACGTTAAACATTCCCGCTTCATCCATAACACAATGATGCACGGCGCAAACCAAAATGATGCCGCCACGGATGATGTTTGCTTGTGCAAGAAAAACTTGAGTGTTATTTCTTGCCAAATCTGGTAACACATCTCCATCAACTGCATCGGTAGGAAATTTGTTGGCTTGAATACTTTGAAAGTCATATTTAGAACTGAGATCCTTCACCGAAAGGATTTCATTGACGCTGAAATAAGGAGTTTGCACGGCAAGTGAGCCTCTTTGACAATTTAGTTCTCGGGATGGCCCAACTGATGCGGCAAGGATAGGGAATGCTGATATAGTTTCTGAAAGGCCATCTTTGAGTGTTTGAATGATGGCTTGGGGGTTTGAATTAGAGGAGAAATAGAGGAGCTTGGGGACGTGGACGTGTGGTGATAGGTGGTCGAGTGGGGAGAGTGGGTATGGTTCTTTGTTCATGATTTCGATGCAGAGTACAGATATATTTTGTGGGAGCAAGTTTCTGATCAACAAGATAACATGTAACTCAATTCAGATAGAACATGGATATTCTGGGTGATTCTTGGGTTTATTACGACTTACAACCAGGGCGTTCGACGATTAACTGGCACAACAAATATTGACAACGCACACCACTTCGTCGAGCATCTCACCTGTAGAAATACGTATAACCATATCCATTGATAGTTCCTACTTAGCTCAGCACAACCCTCTTTTCAATAATTGAAGTACTAGTAATAAACCGGGATCTATTATTGTGGACCGCTGTACCGAGGATATGATCTACACGCACTAGCGGTACCCCAACTAGGCCTTTCGATGAAGCTTATCCAAGTTCCGAAATATTATTTTTATCAATAATGGCACTGAAAAGGCGTTATAGCAACGCTCTTGTATCATGCAGAGTCTAAATTATATCACAATTAGCACACTCTATTTTGTTTTTTTTGGAAGATCTTCGCAATGTCGAGTTGATGTATGTAGCTCCTCAGTATTCCTTTGATCCCTGTTCCAGTCGAAATTCCTCTCAACAAGATTCTACTTACCATTCTATTATGCTCCGTTGACAAGCACCATTTGAATTGATAAGATTCTCGAACACCTGAGATCATCAAAATATCATCAAATCTTTAATTCATGTATATCTTTTCTCTTTCTTTGTACATTGGCATTATTGCCATTCTTTCAAAATGCATTTCCATCTACCTCACTCAGCGAAGGCGTCTTCGAGAGTCTGAACGGCATGGCTGCGCGCCCCCTCCAACAGTGTCTAGATCCGATCCTCTTGGTATCATGAGTGTTATTGCAGCGGCGAGAGCAAATCGCGAAGGAAGAAGCCCGATATGGTTCATGGAACTTATGGATAAAATATCACCGAATACTTTGACGGTGAGGGGAATGGTTTTAGACACTGAGATTATTATTACAAGAGATCCAAGCTTGGTGCAGTTCATTCTACAAACTGAGGCAAACAAATGGGATATTGGACCACAAAGGAGGGAAATTTGGAGTCCGCTACTCGGCGATGCTATTTTCACTGCTCAGGGTATGTTACTTTCACTTGATGATGATATACATGCAATTACTTCTCATATACCACGAATGCTAATTTCAAAAACATAGGCGATGCATGGAAACACTCCAGACAACTTGTACGACCGCAATTCTCGAGAGATAGAGTATCTGATCTCGACCTCGAAGAGCGACACGTTCAGGCACTGTTTGCTCGGCATGAACTTCAAAGCACTCAAGATGGATGGACAGGAAAAGTCGATCTAGCCCCTCTGTTCTACAATTTGACTTTGGACGTCTCAACTGAGTTCCTCTATGGAAAATCTGTACATTCTCAAGAAGCAGGTAATACAGCCAGTCCAAACCCCATACAGAGCACCGAAGACACAGATTTTCGGACTTTCGGACTTCATCTTGATGCAGGAAAAGAAACGTTATTCATGAAAGGTATTGCTGGTCGGTGGAATGGGTTTGTCAAAGGCCGCAACTTTGATTATCATCGCGACGAGGTGCATCGAATGGTCGACAAATTTGTGGAAGGATGCCTTCGTCAAACCCAAGACGAAAAAAGGCCCAAATTCGATTCGGAGAAAAAGCCATTTTCGCTTTTGGATGAATTGGCCAAGGTAAATCAAGACCCAGTCCAGCTTCGGCACGAGACGCTGCAAGTACTAAACGCTGGTCGCGATACAACTGGTTCATTGCTCGGCTGGATATTTTATTTCCTTGCACGCAATCCAGATATTTACTCCAAACTCAGAGGCATTATTCTCTCCGACTTTGGACCATCCGGTTCAGAGATCTCATTTCAATCTTTGCGATCTTGTAAATATCTACAATATGTGATTGACGAGTCGTTAAGAGTTGGTGCACCCGTTCCATTGAATGATCGCACTTGTAATCAAGATACTGTTTTACCACGCGGAGGAGGCCCTGATGGTACACAACCTATGTTTCTACCAGCTGGGTCAAGAGTTTTGGTATCAACGTACGCGATGCAATATAGAAAAGATATCTGGGGTGAGGATGCCGATAAGTTCAGGCCAGAGAGGTGGGAAGGGAGAAGGGCCGGATGGGAATTTATTCCTTTCGGCGGAGGCCCAAGAAAATGTATTGGTCGTAAGTTTCCCCGTCTTTGAGATGCTTAATGTACAGATAGCTAATTTGAATTACAGAACAATTTTCGTTGACTGAGACTTCATATATTATTATAAGATTTCTTCAAAAGTACGATCAGATTGAGAATTTAGAGAAACCAGGCCCAGTACTGTACCACCATACTGTCACAAATCGAAGTATGAACGGGGTACAGGTTAGATTGCATAAGGCAGATCCTTTGAGCATAGTTTGATTTGTGGGATTTGCTTGGGACGTTCGGAGTGTATACCATGGTTCCATTGTTTTATTATTTTTAATTAGTCTTCTATACTACTGCCATGAGCACAGCGTCCAAGAACTAAGGACACTTGTGCCGTTGCCATATTACCAACAAACTACATCACCAAAGTTTGTGACCATAACAATCAAGAATAAACATGTGAATCAAATTTGATAACCATCATGTTATTCGTGAATTCATAGAGAAATGAGATGCTACTCTGCTACTCCTCAACAAACTTACATACTATCAAGCATCGCAATCGATTTTGCGAAGTTGCACTAGATCTAGTCATGCTAATCCTAAACATTAAGCTCGACTTCCAACACTGAGCTTTGAGTAAGCTTTTAACATTGGAACAAAATCCAAACTTCGAGATGAAAGCAGTCTTGCAAACTTTCGGATTGTTTCAATTGGCTTCAAAGTTTGACAATTTCTGATTGGCAGACTTCAGTCGTGAAATCCATTAATCTAGGGATCACTTCATATGTAGTCTGGCGATTCTTGTTTCCAATTGACCCAACTTCATTGAATTTGATGTTTCGTTGGACTATTACCCACTAAGTAATCCATTTCTTCAATGGAGGGAATTACTGACTTGTCGTATTCTGACAAAACGGATGTGGGAATTGACGTTGACCATTCAATTCACCGCACGGAAAGTAAGGTAACAATTCGATTAGTAGCATCTGTGGCTCTGGTCTCGAGGCCAGCTGCCGACACTTGGTTTGAGATGTATAATTCTTTCATCATTAACCTTCTCTGCCAGCGCGTTGTGTATCCTTCTAATTTACCAAGTATTGTTGCTTATATTTATATTTGGCTTGCGCCAATCACTTGGTGGAGGGGTGCCACTTATTAATCGCGAGCAATGATCGAAACTAGTGGGAAGTGATAACTTGAACCAATGTTTGGTTGTAAGTTGTTTACGCAAAGGTCATATATTTAAACCAAACGCTTCCCTAAGCAATGAAGACTCCTTACGTGGCTGTTCGTAGAGGCCAATGGAAATTGCGCTTGATCCTAAGAAATGGTACAGGTTATGTTTCATGCAGGCATCTTGGCTAAGTAATGAAGCTGATTTCGAAAGTTAATCCATAACACATCGCGAGGCTTCTTGATATGCGATAGTATATCACCATGCTCCGGAATTATTATCGCAGCACTTTGCCGCAGTCGTCAACAATATCTCAGAGACGGCCATGATCAATGATCTCCCAATCTCACAACTTTTTATAGCGTTGGTAGAGAAATAGCTCTTTTTGATTCTGGCAATGACTCTTGACCAAACGTCAAAATTATAGACATGATGACAGAAACATCTTGAGATACCAAGTCATACCATTCTCGAAAGTATGTGCCGAACGAGATGAGTCATGTAGCAATTGTTAAATGCCCACTACTTTCAGAGTAATTACGTAATGAGATTGCTATTCATTCCACGCTTGACTTGAAGTTTTTCAATGTTCTCATGAAATCGGGCTCAAAACGGAGACGGAGAAAATGCCAGAGATCTGACCAGTCAGTCAACTCTACTTGGGTACGGATTGACCAGTAGCCACCAAATCAATGCCAGTCCTTCAGTCCTTAAATGCTTTTGAAGTTCGCATTGTAAAGATTTCTCGCTACCTTTGGCTTTGCAAAGAAGAAAACGATCGGTCGTCATACATTTGAATCTAATAAGATTCAAACTGCGACAGGATCCCATTGAAGAACGCCCGTTTCGTAAATTAATGCTATCAATGAACTGATGGATATGGCTAACCGTTTGTTCATATCCCACGCTTTCAAGTTCTTTCTCAGCTTCCCGGATACTTGCGAAGATTGGGAGATTTGTGGTTTGATCCTTTTCCAATCCAGGAACTTTTTGGATGTGAAAACTGCTTTGAACCGCTTCTGATGGACGTAAATCATGGTTGGAAAGCATGCAAAGAGTGATAATCTTGATTTCAGGACAATCGATCTTGCAAGACACTTGTGCCACTATTTAAAAAGAGTTCAGAGAACCTGAAATCCAAATGCTAATCATGTCGCCTCCTCGTTATCAGATCAATAAACATCAAATAAAATCATGCAAACAATTCATTCTTCCCTTCATACCCTCGCCGTCTCTTCACTCCACATACAACACGACTTACGACCTGTCCTCAATCGTGAAAGTATTATTGTGTAACATGGCTGAACTTCCACCGTAAAGGTAAAGCGATACTGCCACTAGCCTTCAATTCTTAGTTGAAAAACGTATAAAAGTCGCCAACTCCTTGACACATAAGTGTGTCAACATATTTTCAAAGAACCATATCAAGAGATATGACACTCATGCTATTTGTCGATAAAGATCTCATCAACTCTAGAATCATGCTTCTTTGTGAAATGGAGAGGAAGACTTCATCCGGTATGGTCGCCACTCAAGCTTTGTTCACGGCAATTAGGAAACATTGAGTGATCGTTGACTGCCACATTCATCTCAATGTTGAAACTTTGAGACATTCAAGATTGTCAACATTTTAGAATATCACGACAAATTGTCTGTGGTTGTGTTTGTGCAGAAGACTGAGAAAATTTCCTACGAAGGTTGAAAGTGTGGCTAGTGCAAGTCCATGTGGCGCGGAAAGTGAAGCTCATGAAACGACCTCTCAACCAACTATTTTAATATCTTCAATATCGCCAGAAAAAGTCTCATGGTACATTTCAACTATCTCTAGAATCTGTAACGTGTTGGTAAAGCCAGGGATCGGTCAATGTCCCCATGAAGCAATTCAAGATCCCAAGGAGCAGAATCCCATTGAAACTCCGCTCCGAGACAACGCGTGAAGGAGAAATGGCCTCTGTTAACATGCATCCACATCTGGTATATAACTGTTTGGTACATATGTACATCTACCGCGGAGGTTCCTGCGGATATGGCTTTAGCACCCACATACAAATACATGGCGATGTAACAACTTCCTTCGACAATCTTTGGATAAATGAATCGATGAACTCGTTATTAACATAACAGAAAAATTTCCAGAGGCGAAAGATGTGTTATTTTGTACACGAACAATCGCAATCATTCCATCTAATACATCCAATCGCGCGAAGATGGACAGCTAGAACTCACTGGACCGATATTCTCATCGACATGCAACCGCCATTCTCCACGAGTACATGGGCGAAATCAAACCATCTTCATATATACCATATGGTAATCCAAGTGGAACATACAAAAGCTATTTCCTCGCTCGTCTACACATGGAAAATGAACAGCCGGCAAAATTAGACTCGGAATCTTCCAGAAAGGCTCGCATACAATTGGAAGCGGATGAGGAAAAGAGGCGGTGCAATGAGGGCGCTGTGGACGTTTCGGGTTAAAAATCCGTATGAAGTGCCACAGGGCGTATTTGCAAAAAGTGACAAGCGGAGATTAGGCTATCAAGAGACGGAATGCGCTATTGATCAAGACCACAGAAATCTTGTGAAGATGGGCAAAGGAGAAAGAGTCATGGAACAAGAGGATTCGACTAGGCACCAGTAGTGATCGGAAGACGGGTTCAATGTGGGAGTTGAGATATTGAATGGCCACGAGCGGAACTACTAATTTGGAGGAAGGGAGATTGATGATGCTAATCCGATAATGGGAGAATCATGAGGTAAGGATCGAAGTATGGCTTTTGAACTTGTGCTACCGTCAATATAAGAAAGCAAAACAGAAGGAATCAAGAGAAGGTGAAACTCATATGAAGCATTTGGTTTTCCAAAGTATATCTTGTATGCAACAGTCGTACCATCTAACTTTTACACAATTTGTCCCATGGGTTTTCTAGATTTCTTATTTTTTTGTTGTTCTCGAGGGGTATCAATGGGAATGATAGGGTGGCCAGCATTGTGTTCAACTAGAGAATGTTACGGCCTTTCAAGCTTGTTAGTATTCGGCCAGGATACACGTAGCCTGCATGCAAAAGCTCAACATCCGGGGCTGGATATCACTACATATATGTGGCATGAAAGGTGGTCTCAAGAAAATCTCCAAATATTCAATCACCGTGATCACCGTGATGTTTCTACTCATGATGGTATTGGAAGAGACTCAATAGTACTGCTTTAAATGATAAACTGTCCTATCAAAAATAAATGGCAAGATCAGCAGCAGGATTGACCAAACAGAAAAGCCAAAAACATACAACAGTGGGGATTCGCTGGTGGTCACCCACCCAACTACTAATCTACCGATCTGAGGCTTGAGTATGGCAGAGCGGACGGGATGCCCTAGATTCCTCAGTCTATGGTCGTATGTGGCAGAAAATGGTGTATTCAAAACTATATATGGTTACAAAACTTGACGTTCTCCTAAAAGCTGAATCACGTTGGCGATAAATGAACTTGAATTCAAACCACCGTCTTTCTAGAGATAGAGTCTACCATATTCCCCAAAGCTTTCAGGGCTTCTGAGATCTCTTCGTCCAAATAACGTGCCACATGGAGTGGGTTGTCAAGTTGCTTCAAAGTCTTCATTGATTATGGACGAAAGGTTTACCTAGATCACACAGCTGAAATATTTCTGATCTCCAACATCTACTTCTTGTTTGGTATACAAATTTTGATTAGACGTCCCTACTTCTTCTGTGGAAGTGGCTGTGGCTCCACAATCTTCCCATCCACAGGTCTTCTGGCAATAATATATTGCTGCATTTCCGGCTCACATTTCTCATTATCCGGTTGAAATTGATCAATCGTCTCGCTCACAATCTCCAATCCCATACTTGTCAAAAAGTTCCTCTGCCCTTGCTCGCTCATCATAAAAGTTGGAAGTGGTTCTCCCATAAATGGCGCATCGTAATCCTCCACATACGTTCTCGTTTCATCATATGCTGCGTTTCCTTCATCCTTAACATACGAATCACTCGGCATCTGACCGAGAACAAATATCCCCCCCGGCTTCAATGCACTAACGTATTTGTACACCGCCGCATGAACGGCTGCATACGAAAGTTGCAGATGAGCAAATATCATAAAGACGCCCGAAAACGTATCTTCAACCTGGAATTGCACCATATCCGACACGGAAAAGGTACCCTTGACTCTCTTTTGAGCGAATTCAACCATCTTAGGCGCAATATCGAAACCAACCACTTCCAATCCAGCTTCAGCCAAGAGCTCAGAAACCGGTACCCCAGTACCGCATCCCACGTCGAGAACCTTCGAACCGGGGTCTAATAGAGTGATTGCTTTCTTAATGGCGGCAATCTTGAAGGGGTTGTCGCGATAAGCTTTTTCGTACTCGATATTGAGTGCATCGAAGGTGTCATGGCCGGCTTGAGACCCTGACGCTACAGTTGCCATGGTTTCAGATTTTGTTAAGGTATCGCTGTAATCACCGTTTCGATCTACGTAGTATGGTATCGAGTGGCGTGCCTGTTCTCAGAATCTCAGGGTTCAAGGGCTAGAACGTTCTAGCAAGGCGGACGGAAAACCAAGGGTTTGATGTAAATTTCGATAGGGATCTAATTCAAAGCGATACGGAATTCGAAGTCAGGCGTTAAAATTGACGGGATCTGAGTTTAGGTTTAGCTAAAGTGTCTCATCTCAAGTGGTACAAAACCAGTTCCGCAAGTTTTGAATGAAATCACAAAATAAATTGTCAAAAGATTGGGTGTCCGGGCAGGAATTAGTATCCCGTTGTTTCGTTGCATGTCATCTAGAAGCATCGGTTGCAGCTACTAGCAGCTCACACGCGTAAAACCCTATTTCCTCTAGTCGGAGATATACGTGTGATACGAAATTGAATCAATTTGATGACTCCCTGGTGGCGGGGAAATAGATGAAAAGGAGTTAAAACGTACATGATCACGGGAATCCCATCTCATGTCTAAAGTCCTACAGAACACATCGGAGAAGTCTTCAACGCGCTTAGGGAAAGTCCTCCGTGGATACTTGTTTCTTCAATCAAAGTTAATATATTCTCGGGGGATTCAAGGTTAATCTCTTCCATGATCTGAGTCCAAATTAGCGAGGCGAATGTTTTCTGATGAGCCGCGTCAACAAGGATGAAAGTGGGAGGGGGGCAGAGAAAATCTAATAGTGGGGGGGGGGAATTTTTTCCTGATTTATTTTGCGTCTGTCCTTGTGAGAATGAATGCTATCCCCTAGAGTGCGGACAAATGGCACTCAATGTGGTCCGTGCGTAGAGTAAGAATATCAATAATTTTATATATAATATTAATAATAAGGAAATCAATAAATGTATGATATGTGATAATCTTACTAATATGATCTCGATTAATGTGAAATTTGATTTTATTAATGTAGAAATATTATGTTTACATATTTCTTTTATTATAAAAGTAAAGATTTATTTTACATTTATAAATTATATAAATTTCGATTGAGAGTTTTTCTTTTAAACTAATATTTAATATTATAATATATTTATTTTATTTTACTTTTACTTTTTAATTAAAATGATGTAATTAATTGTAGAATAATCGAATTTATATATGCGAATATTGAAAGATGAAGAACTTTTAAGGTTGTGAGTATTATTATAGTATTCTATAATAATAGATAAGATTTATTTTTATTTAGGAATTTGTATTTATATAATTATTCATTTAGAATTTAGGGTTAGAAACTATTAGGAGTATAATAATGAATTTGATAGATATCCTTTTATATGTTTTATATTAAGAGAAAGGTTTTAAGAGTTTTATATGAGGTATTATATTAAACTTTTCAGAACGGTTAATGTTTATGAAAGAGTAAGATATTAATTTGTTAATTCGAATTTTATATGTTAATATGCTTATTTATAGGTAAATCTTTTATTACATTATATTTAGAATATTAATTTCTTAATATAAAAGTTTTAAGATTGAAAATTAATCGATGAATATATTATATAGTGTTTTAATTAATTAAGTTTTATCATTATTTTTATTAAAAATAAACCTATATTTATAGGATTTAAAATATAACCGATATCCCTACATCTTACACAACCCTATATCTTACACACTTTTATTTCTTTTCAAAGTGATATATTAAATTCAAATAATAATTGATTAATCGTTATATTTTATTAACACTTTTTATTAGAATATAATTATATTATTTTTATTCAAAATAAAAATTGAAATATTGAGAATACCTAAAAAAATATAATAATATTTCAATATTAAAATATTAATATAAAAATATTATATATTAACTTATTCGATAATATAAATAGATAAAATTATTCTTTTTTTGAATAATTTGAAATTTTGATTTATTTTTATATAGAGAATTAAAAAAGTAAGTCTTTATATTAAAAATTCGAAAAGATCTTGAATTATTATAATAAGATTTATAAATTATCTTTTTTTTAAATTAAAAGTAATTATAAATTAAGTATTTCATAATATTTGAATGAAAAGCTAGTTTTATAATAATATTTGTATATTAATTTAAATTCAAAAATTATAGAAAGATATTTTTTATTAATTATATATATTTATAATTATTTATTAAAAAAACAATTATAATTATATATTATAATAATATTTTTATTATAAGATATTTTTCAACGATTTGTTTTTTAATACAATTTTTGAAATATATAATTATTTTTTATATCAATATCAAAAATAAAATATTATAGGATTGAATTAAAAATGAATTTCAAATTTGGAATTCTTAGAAATATTGAAGAAATTAAAAATCTTTTTTTAAATAAAAATCTTTTAAAAATAAGCTTATTATATATTTCTTTTGAAGAAAGGATATATATAATTTTGAAGTTTTAAAAGATAAATAGTATTTTCAAAATTATTATTTTTTTATTTATTAATTTATAATAGATTTAATATTGATTTTTAAAATAATTTTGTTATTTTAGTATTATATTCTTTTATAATAATTAAAGATTAAATTTAATAAGTTTAATTTGAAGTATAAGTTTTCTTTTTCTTTTTATAGAAAAAAGATTGAATAAATTTTAAAAATAAATTTTAAATCTTTTTTATTTTTTTATTAAATTAAATATATTTTTAAAATCTTATTTAAAACTTGATTCTTAATGTTTTTTGAATGTTTAAACTTTTTTTAAAAAATATTAATATAAAAGAATTTGAAAAATTAACTTTTAGTTTTATAAATAAATTTTAATATAATTTTGTATTAAATTTTTAATATTTTATAATAATATTATTTTAAATCTCTTAGGAATTTGATTTTGTTTTACAATATTTTTGAAGCTTTTATATATTAGTTTTGAAGTTATTATAACTATTTTTGAATTTATAATCGATTTTTAATTTAATAAATAAAAGTGTGCAAGATACAGGGTTGTGCAAGATGCAGGGATATCGGTTAGATAGTAGTAGATCGAGGTTTTTTTAAAGTATGAAATTAATATAAAATAGAAAAAAAGAATAGTTTTATAGGTATTAAAATACTTTCTTTTTTAAAGTTAATAAAGAAAAAGAAATATTTAAATAAGATATAAGTAGTAATTACATATTTAATGAAAAGGTTATTTAAAGTTTTATATTATTTTTATCTTAATAATCTATTCTTTTTCTATAACTTTTTAAAATATATATGTTATTTAGGATATATTGTTATAAGGATATACAGGTTTAATTCTAATATTTATAAAGATTTGATTATTTTCAAGATTCGAAATGTTAAAGATGATAAGATATTATAGAGAATAGTTTATTTTAAAGTATTTTCTTTGAATAACATATATTTTATAATATGAAAAGATAATGTAATAGTTTAAACTCAATTTATAATATATAATAGAGAAACTTTTGTTAATAAGATATATAAAAGATTGAAACGTATTTTTTCGAAATTTAACATAGTTTAAGTATTATTTGAAAATGAATATGAAAAAGAATTACCTATTTTAATCCTTTTTGATAATTATAATTATAATATAAAAACTATCGATATAGGGGATTAATTACATATATTTATACTAAAACAATAATATCAATATTAAAGAGACTATTAAGTAATAGAACAACAATTACTAGTTATTACTTTCATTAACTGTTATTTAATTTATAAAAAGATTACCTTAAAAAATAAAAATTTAAAATCTTTTGAGCATAATGATTTCTGAAAATCATTTTTCTAAGAGTTAATTAATAAATTTGAATTTAGATATTAATTTAGAGGTTTAAAATAAGTTTAAAAGGTTTTAATTAAGGGTTTTAACTCTTATTTGGATTATTATTTAGTGAAATTGAGGAAGAAGAGAGATTGTTATATATGTAAGAATTAGTTTTTTGATATAAAAAGGGTAATATTAGAGGAGAAATCTATTAATTTTAGATTAAAAAGTAATAGGTATAAGAGTATTTTAGGGTGTAAGGAATGCAATAGTTATTTATGTAATAATAATAGGTGTTTCGATAGTTATTATAGAATAAAGTCCTAAAACGTTGAGAATCCTCAAAATCCTAATGTTCTGATTGGTCACTAAGATCCTGTTAAGCGAGGGCGCCGAATGTTCGCACTCTTGGGGATAAACATGCGAAAATGTCCTTGACCATGCCCTACACTCGGGTGTCATTAGCTGAATCATCCCGTGTCTTCATCAGAGCTAATTCTTTTTAATTTGTGCATCGAATGTTATTAGGATTATATGTCTGAAATTGTCTGGTCCAGAATCAAGATAATTCCATTGGATGTGATCATCAAGACTAGATGACGGAATTCCCCGACCCTTCTTATTTGCCGTGATCATATTTTATGCAGGAACGGGAAATATTAAAACGTTGAGTAATCTTCTGTTTTTAGCTGGGAATGGAAATTTTGAACCTTCGTCTATTTATCCATTTATCGAAACTGTACTGGTTGGGTATGTGGACTGTTCTACGGCAAAGCATGCATGTAGTCGTAATGTAAATGCTCTGGTGAAGTAGATGTACAGGAAATTAGGGTGCATTCGAATCTCTTTTTATCACGGTATATATGTGATCGCGTTTGATCGGGTTAGTACAACATTAAACTCCAAGCTAATTGTATATATAGCTCTATAGTATACTCTCTTTAGTTTTGTAGCTTTTAATTTTAAGGTTGATTTTTAAATGTTTGTTAAATTTATTATATTATTAAAAGTTCTTTTAAATAAAAAATGAAATAATATTAGTATATATTTATAAATAAAGCTCTTATGTATATTTCATTTATTCCTATTTAAATATATCACTTTTATTCTTTTATTTATATATAAATCTTCTTGATATTATTTAAAGGTATTATCTCTTTTTTTATTCTTAATTTTTTAGTTATGGATTATAATTTGATAAATCTTGTGATTATAGAATTTTATAATGAAATGATTTATTAGTGAAATGAAATCTTATTTTTATATTTTTTAATTTTTAAGTATATTTTTATTGTTTAAATATTTTCTTAATTAAAATTCTTTCTTTTTAATTCTAAAAAGTTCAATAATAATTTTTAGAAATTTGATATATAGTTATTCTTGATTTGAATAAAATTATAAGTAGATGGTATTACAATTAGCAACTTTATTATTCAATTTTATTATATTTATTTTAATCTCGAATCTTATGTATAAGTTATAGTATTATCTTAGCTTTCTTTTCTTAATTAAAACATTTCTTTAAATTATATAATGATTTTAGATCAATTTATATATATATTTATAACAATCCAAATAAAATATAGAAAGCTAAAAATAAGTTATTCAATTTTAAATAAAAAACCAATTCTTTATATATCTATATTACGAAATTTGAAAGGATTTTTTTATAAAGTAAAAGATCAGAACTAGCCCGATTTGAATAAAATCTTAATCTTTTATAATAAATTCAATATTACTCTTAAAAATCGTTTTTCTTAATAGTTTTTGTTACCCCATTTGTATCCTAACTTTGTTCAGATTATATAATAACTAGCTATATATATAACAAATGAATTCCCTATATTATTCTACTTTAATAAATTTAAAGTCTTATATTTATTATAAAATCCATTTCATTTTTGAAATTATAATTCAATAAATATTAATAATTTTAATATTCTTAATACCTTTAATACCCTTTTAAATAAAGTCATTCATACCCCAATTTTATTTTACATTAAAACACTCAAATTCTTTCCTATTAAAAGAACTTAATTATATAAGAAAAACAAATATATTTGATATAAAAATGCTTTTTATTAAATACAAATCTACTCATTTAATTCATATTAAAGTATTCAAGATCAAAAAGAATTTGTCCTAATTATTACATTTACTTTTATTAGCTTCTATAATAATAATAATAATAATAATAAGAATTTAAATGAAATAATTAATAACTATTATTTTAAAGATTATTTGGAAAAGGTATAAGCTTCTATTAACACTTTCCATTTAATAATAATATATCTAGCCTTTTAAGATATTTTATAAAAAATTAATAATGAAAATAATAATAATAATAATGAAAAATAGTTTTATTAATTATATTTTATATTTAAATTATTTATTCAAAGTAAGTTTGAAACGAATTTATCAAAAAGAGAGGATAATATTACAATATACATATAATCACATCCAATCGGATTAGTACAACACTAAGCTCCAAGCCAATCGCATATATAGCTCTATAATATATTCTTTTTAGTTCTATAGCTTTTAATTCTAAGATTGATCTTTAAACGTTTGTTAGGTTCGTCACACTTTTTTATAATTATTTGTTAAATAAATTTAACAAATGTACACTAAAAATAGATAATTATTTAATAAATAAAGTGTAACTAAAATATTTTCTAAATTAATCCAAAAAAAACAGTTGAATTAAGTACTCAAAGATATTAAATAAAATTTATTTGTTAAATAATTTTAAAATAGCAAATACTCTTAAGATTATTATATATTTTTCCTAACAATTTTAAATATAAATTTTTGATATATTTGAGAGATCATTTACTAATGTGTTCAACATTTTTTCATTTTCTCATTTTGATAAATAAATCTTTAATTTCGTTTATTTCTATTTCTTTTTCATACTGTTCAAATACATTAATTCAAATACCTTTGTTATTTTAATAAATAAAAATTATTTTGTAAATAATTATAAAAGTAATTTAAATACACTTTTAAGGCTTCAAGACTATTTACTCCACGTCCCGTCTGAAGTATGACCGAGAATGGTAATTTTTGGACATTGGAGTATTATCACTTAAAAGACAGATGAATCTCAGAATAAAGTAGAACTTCACCCATTTATGGGTTTCTAATGATATTTATGATCACCATAACTAGATATCTGGCAAAAGCCATACGTCAAAAAGATGCAATACAAACAACCACCCGAGAACGTCTGAAATTCGACGCTTCTATCCCTGACTCCATTGACGACGCCATACCATTGCAATACAGAAGGCCTCCCATTACCCTTTCCCATGGCCATGTCTATCATTGATTACTCCATCTGTACCGTCCATGTAGTATCCTTCTTGATGATCATCCGCTGCGAATCACTACTCCCCACACTCAATCCATCAGTTCCTTCTTCCCCGGCTTTATTCCATAATTTCGAACTTCCCTCTCCCGGATTCTTGCCTTTCCTCGCACCTCGTTCTGGCTCGTTTGCCCAAACTCGAAATTTATAATCGTCTGGATCCACATCTCCTCGAATTCTGCTCTCTCGGTGATGGCTTTCATTTCGCATGGCGGATCCTAGATTGGAAAGTTGATAGTTCTCTGAATCCTCCAATGTATATCCTGATCTTCCTCCTAGCTCCTGGCCGTAATATGTAGAAAGATTCTTGACAAAAGGTCGAAGACTTGGTATAATGGCGGCAATGACGGAATAGTTCATTTCGCTCTGTGTCCATATTATAAATTCATCCTCGAGAAACATTGGGTTCGTGGTTAATCCATTTGCATCAAATCTGGCTAGTCGGTACGCAATGGCGATGATCATACTAAATAGATGTTAGCGTGCGCTCCTATATTAAGGCAGTTCCCAAAAACGCACGGAAGACGAAACCCAAATGCCACAACGACAATAGTTTTATTCGATTTGCTTGTCCGGAGACTCCATACTAGGTAGAATGATAAAGCAACAAATGCGAGCTCGAAAACAATATCAAAAGCAGATATGACCTGCCATCTTAAAGACTACAATTTCGGATTAGATTCATGCTTTAAGCCAAATTCGACTCCAAGATAATGCTTACCACGTTATCACAATGCTGTCCGATGGTTTTCCACGGATCAGCCAAATCGCACTGTAAAGCCACCGCAAGCAGACTCGCAATTGTCCAAGTAGCCGTCAAACCGATCACGCTGCGGAAGATTTTCTTGTGTTTCTGATCTGGGGTCAAACTGGCTAATAGGACGACTACTGATGTTTTAGACAATCCGAGGGATATAATAAACAACAGCAAGCTCGTGTACCACATCTGACAAGTAAAAGGGTTAGCTTTTTGCAGGATCTAATGCACATTACGTAGATGACTGGAACTTACTTGCTCTATCTGGGCTTGATTCTTGACTGATATAAGCTCGATGGATTTGCCCAAACCTTTAGCGCAGGCTCCCAATATTACCGATGATTGAATAGCTGCCAGCAGCTACATTGTTTGTCAGCTAAGTTCATGATACTTTCAAGATGTCATCAACTGCGCGAAGGAACCATCGCGAGTGATATTCCAAGCAACTAACCGATGAAGCCAAGAGACATATTTCATCATAACTGACTCCTTTTCCCATCGAAGTCCTAGCGAAAGACTTAATCCCACTGAATACCAAGAGGCAAGAAAGCCCCAATGCCGTTGCGATAATGATCCACGCCGAATGATCAGTACTCGTCACAACAGCAAATGGTGGTGATTGACCCGGTGGCACCACCAAGCCAGTCGTCGGCATCGACATAGCACAGGTTCTCGAATCGTTAGTCCAAACAAAAGCAAATACCAGACATCCGCCACGTTATAATTATGTCAAAGTGGAGGGGTTCAAACATTCAGACTCGAGCATTGTAGATCAAAGTGCCGGATGCCGATGGTTCATAAAGAATACAGCGAAAGAAGCATTATCCTGGGAATTTTCAAGTAGCTATATTCTGTAGAACAGACATAAACGGTGCCTTGAGCACGGGAAGCAAGTGAAAGTATTGTTACATGGTGCCTCCGTGCTACGCCCTATAACAGGTGATAACGAACCGCCCCTTGTGGGCTCCTCTGGGAGCGGAAAGTTAGCATCCAGAATAGTCCGTCGAAAAGCTGCACGAGAAGTCTCGGCTCGCTTGAAAGGCACGGAAGGAGTGAGCTGAAATCAGCGTCGGGAGTGATGTTCAAGCTTTTGGGGAAACCATTCCGACATTCCAGTAAATTGGTTGTGGAAGGGCCATCCTCGCAAATCTTGCATGTTGCAAGGTTTCTTTGTAAATGGGTGTTGTGGATTTTCAACGGAAGAGTGGGGTGACAAAGCCTGATTTTCAGTCTGGTCTAGGGTCATACGGTATTTGCTGGGGTATATGGTGGTTGTGGATGTAGAGGTCGATCCTTTGTAGGGTTACAGGATTTGGTGACGTACAAATCTTAACATGTGTGCAAAATAACTTTGAGCACTCTTAAAAGGGCTTTTGGAAACTGCCTTGGATTTCAAATTGAGAAGCAAAATTGATATAAGTATTACGTAATATCCTATTAAAGTAAGTATATTACTGAATTGAGAACTAATAACATTTTTGAGTCTTCTTTTATCAAAGCAAAATTGACCTACTTTTACATCATTAGATGAGTCTATGAATCCAAAACACATACGTATGTATAATTCTGATATAAGTTTTATACTACTTACATAATGTAAACATATAAAAGTATAGAATTATACCTCAAAACAAGCGAATCCCGTAATCCCGCAATTCCGCAATCCCGTAATCCTAATTCTCTCGCTTGCGATTCGATATTTTGAAATGAAGATAAAAAATCTTGAGACATTTAGAACTACGATGTACGCACGGAGGAGTGTGAAGAAGTTATCGTATAATTTTTTTACCTCGGTTGGTGTGAAGATACCAATTCAAATTCTTGTGTAAGTACACGTAAGAGGTGGTCAATTCTCAAATATCGATCGCGCATGGATCGATATGGAGAACCATGAGAGTGCTTTGCTAAGCAGTAGGCCCCTGAAAGACTCAAATAAACGTTTCTGCTTCGTTCCTTATGGTGGCCACTGACCAGAAGCTTTCCTGGTAAAATCCATGAATGAATGAGATTTGCGCATTCATCCGAACAATTGTTCTTTACGACTAAGCGAGGTGTACTGCGCAGATCGATATGTTATTGTGCCAGGGCTTTCCCCATCTGCAACACCTTGGGTGATCTGACTCCAAGAGCAGGTCACCGGCCGAAAATCTTGCTGCAAGCATGCTCAAAATATGGAAGATATGTCGAAGTTTGATCGAAAACAGAACAGAAATCCCCTCACTCGCTACACTGTAGAGAGCAAAAAGGTAAGCCTGCGATGCGAGCACTCCTGTCCATATCGCCTAGATCACATGAGCATCAAAAAACGGTATTCAAGTACGCTTCTCCACTAATACGGGCCCGTCCACCTTTCTTCCATGCGGCAGTGGGAATCTCATATCCCTGGAACCCCACCCTCCCAAATAAACACGGACATTCCTCTAAATCGGTGGAATGGTCCGCCCCTTAACGTTGTGGCGTTGCTTGTATCACCCAATTGGTGTGAAAAGAGAAGGATTCACCAACCCTTGAATTAGCTAACACAGATCCCTTGAAGAAATCAACATGAGCTGTTGAACTTTCATGATTTATTGGATAGATGCCGTTAGAGCGCTGTTATTGGGTTAAGGTTGTAAATCGTCCGCTGACTTCATATGTTAAAGTTTTTCGACGGCTTGCGTATTTCGGATGAAGGTGAGAATAGAACATGGGGAGAGTTTGAAACGATAGCTTAGAGGTCTGGACTTAGTTTTATATGAAGTAATACACGGTACGGCTTGTCGGCAACACTGAATTGGGAATATTTTCATGGCACAATAGAGTGGGTAATGCAACGCTACATTGATCGTAGTTTGCATCTACCTTGCATCATGCATTAATCTTATCTTTGATATCCATTGCGCAAAAGTTCATTCTCTTGTCTTGGAACCATATCTTTGCGACTTGAATTTCTTCATTTCATGCGAATTCTCGAGTCGCGAAATTGAGCTGCGCGGGTCCTAGCTTTTCATCTCATTGCCAACATACCCGCCCTCGAATTTTCCTCGTTAGTCACCATGACCCCAGAGATTCAGAAGGACGGAGAGGTGATATTTGCAAGTCGAGAATCAGGTGGCGCTGCCTCGAACAGTCAAGATGTTGAGAAGGAGGATTTCGAAGATGAGGTTCCAGGTCAGGTAGCAAAGAAATGGCGAGGAACGAGAGCCGACCAACAGGATATGGCGGTGTTGGGAAAGAAGCAGGTTCTTCGTGTATGTTCTGCCATTGTCGATGAGATGGAACGAACATTGACTGACTGGAATCCATGTAGCGAAACTTTAAATTCATAACGATGCTAGGATTTGCTAGTACCGCTATGGCGTCGTGGGAACTCTTACTTCCCCTCTTCACATTCGTCATGGTTGATGGAGGGACGGCCGATCTGTTTTGGGGGTTCATTGTTGCTGCTTGTGGCATGTCCTTGGTATATGCTAGTATTGCTGAAATGGCTTCTATGTGCGTGCCATTATATCATGAATCTGATTCCAGCTCATCGTTGTTATGATAACTAATATCTCGAAAATTCAGATCGCCAACTGCAGGTGGACAATACCATTGGGTTTCAGAATTTGCCCCTCCCAAAATACAGAGGCTGCTCAGTTACATCGTGGGCTGGCTTTCAGCTATTGGATGGCAAGTATATCTTGCAGGTGTCTGCTTTATGATCGGTGGTATTCTTCAAGGTCTGATTGCCCTCAACAAAGCCGACTATGTCTACGAGCCATTCCACGCAACTCTACTCGCCATCGGAGTTGTAACATTTTCCGTTGTGTTCAACACTTCCTTGGCCGAACGTTTACCGCTGATCGAGGGTATCGTTTTGATTCTTCACTTAATCGGTTTCTTCGTTATTATCATTCCATTATGGGTAATGGGACCTCGTGGCGATCCAAACACTGTTCTTTTGAACTTCACCAACGGTGGCGGATGGTCTTCTAAGGGACTGGCAGCTATGATCGGACTGGTTAGTCCGATGAGTGTGTTGATTGGTTATGATTGCTCTGTGCATTTATGTAAGTTCCCACCATGAAGATGTCGTCTAAATAGAATACTAACATACTATGTGTACAGCCGAGGAGATCCAAGACGCATCCTGGGTAGTTCCAAGAGCCATCATGTGGTCGGTAGGACCTAACGCTACTATGGGATTTCTCATGGCAGTGACTTTAATCTTCACTCTTGGGGATCTCGACGCAGTTCTTGAAACTGTAACTGGCCAACCTTTCATGCAAGTATTCTTCAATGCAACGCAAAGCTACGCCGCCACAAACGTTATGTGTATGGTCGTAGTCATCCTCCTAGTATCTTGCTGTATCAGTGAAGTGGCCGCCGCCTCGCGCCAGATTTGGTCATTCGCTCGAGACGGGGGATTACCAGGTTCCGTTTGGTTGTCCAAAGTATCGCCCGGTTGGAACATTCCACTTCGCAGTGTCTGCGTTTCAATCGCTGTCTCATCCTTACTCTCACTCATCAACCTTGGATCATCGGTTGCCCTCAATGCAATTAACTCTCTTGGTGGTGTTTCAATTCTATGTTCTTACTTCGTCACAATCAGCTGTTTGGTCTGGCGCCGTTTTCAAGGACCCCTTCCTCCACATCGATGGTCTCTCGGAAAATACGGCATGGCTATCAACATTACTTCTTTATGTTTCTTAGCACCCATCACGTTTTTCTCGTTTTGGCCTCTTCAAACACCCGTCACCGTCCAAAATATGAATTGGTCGAGTGTGATGTTTATAGCCACGTTATCTGTGGCGTTGATTTATTATTATTTTAAGGCAAGGCACGTATATACCGCACCTGTGCTTGCGATGAAGAGACGGGAATAAATGATGTATATAAGACTCATTCGGCGTTATTCAACTAAAAAGTTTATGTTATGAAACTTTCATTTGATGCAAATAAAAACGGACAATTTCTCCATTGAGACATTTCAAACATTCCAAGGAGTAAATTTGTGTGTTCTCGGCTTATCCCAGGTATTCGGTATTCAAAATTGCAAATTGCAGCGGGGATATACTATCTATTTTAGTATCTAATTGAAGAGCGTTGTTCTTCACTGCATTTAGTATTCGGTCTTGATTCTTTGACATACTATTGACAAATTCAATATCACAGAAGAGATATTCAAGCTTCAAGGAATAAGCCATCGCGTCAAGCGTGTACTTCGTAAAGAGAATAACCGATGTGCAATGCGGGGATATCCACTTCAATGAATTTTGATCATCATCATTTCTAAGCATAACTTATAGAACCGAACTCAAGCCGAATTAACTTAAGTTTTCGATTGGAGATCATTGACACCGTCACATTTCTATCGAGACTCGAGAGAGATATAACAGGGATGTTTGAAGCAACGGACACTTAGTATCCTCTTGCAAGCACCTCACCTCAGTGTAGACGATGTAGACGAAATAAACGGGACACTGAGATCAAATTTGTTTACATATAAAAAATCAAAGAAATAATCAAAAAATCAATATTCTCCTTTGAAATTTGTATATGAATATACGCAAGTTGAGAATTAAGCGAGACTTCATATCTCACCAGATCATAGGTATAGCAAATTGATATCGGAACATAGCATCGAAAAACAGGTGTTGTGGAAAATTCTATGATATTGGTGGGGGTGCCCCTCTTCTCCGGCCACACCGACATCACCTAAAGCCGAGACATTATACAGAAGATCTTCTCCTTCCTGTGTCCTGCAAGAAATGTATACTTTGTAATCTACGAAGAGTATAGATAGCAGATACAGTTTGCCATAATGCCATTACACAAGGAATGAAGGATCGAGTAGAAGTGAGATCGACGTCTCAGGGGCCCATATCGACTAAGTCAGAGACCGAGACAGCTCGAGTCTCAAGGGATTCTAACTCTCCGAGGCGGAGTAATGAATAAACCCATGCAACAATACAATTATCTTCGAGTCATTTGACGACGGATTTGTGACCAGACATGACAACAGTGATGATCCTGATAAGAAAAACTTTGTCGCCCAAAGAAGCAGGGACGTCTGAATACTCACGTCTGATGGGATACTTCCGCCACATCATTCATACTTGACTCGAAAATCAGGACCATGTATTTCGCATGAACTCGATAAACGAATTTGCTTTGAGGCATCCTGAAAATGATTGCGTAGACGGTATCCAGGCCTAACTTGGGGTTATCTTCACTGAGTGGCAGCTGATTCGTATTATCTTGCCCCATCAGGATGTTTCGACGTATAGCTATATCCCTCAACCTCCATTCGTCTTTTTATCTTTCATTTTCTTTTTCTCCGTCTTTCCGATCGTTGGCCTATTGATGGTTAGCCACTACCCACAGACTCTCGATTCCAAATTTTGAAGAAAGGTCACTTACACCGCACTTATAATTCGCTTCTCTTCATGCCCGTGAGTAGTCTCGTTCATCTCACTCCTTTCAAGCAGCATCAATACCCATGGCATTCCCTCGAATAGTATCAAAGACAATATCCCTAATCCCGCGCGAAGTAAATTTGTCTCCCATATCCATTCCTGGTATCCCTCTTCCCATAACACGAACCCCCCTACCAATTCTGCAATCACCATAAAGAATCCAGCGAGCGAACCAATCGCGATCCTGAAACCTGGCACGCGTGGTAGTTCATAATATACAATCACCGTCCTTGCCCACAATGCCACTGTAAGAATATATATTGGAAAGGCGATAAGTTCTCTGGCTGGAGCCGTAAGATGATTATATGGTATGACTCGATTCAAAACAATAAACGATGAGAAGAGAGACGATAGATATGTAAGGATAAAATATGTAAATGCGATGCGAACAATAAAGAACGCGAGGGCGAGATCCCACAGCAGTTCAAAAACCGAGGTATCTGTTTCAAATAATATCATTTTGGACTTCCTTCGCAGTTTGTAGGATAGTATGTGGCTTTTTGATGTTTGGATTGATTGCGGTGATGATAAGTCGTTGTCGCTGATGCTTCAATTTTGGTCTGATAGATGCAGGGGAAAAGATTTGACTATAGTTTTAGCATTCTTGAAAATGATATAGCTTTGTTCTTATATCTTGAGCACAAACACATGCTTTCCATTTCCTACCTTCTATAGTCCTCACCTGTTTCTTTGCGCCTCTACCTACCTGCAACAAGTGTGGTCAGATTTGTGGAGAGATAAGTAACGAGTTTTATCTGTTTGCCCATTCTGCCAATACCGAGGTGTCAATTCATCATCTGAATGTGCAACAGGCCAAAGAATGCGAGCTGAATATGTTTTCCTTCCATGGGAAAATGCATCTGGCATGATAAAGTCGTTGCTAGGTTTGAGGTTGTTGTGGGAATGAAGGTTCACAATTAATGTTCATTGAAGCTCGGAGGCCAAGATTCTCAACGGCCGCTAGCTTTGCAGGCCGTTAGCCACACCACACATATCTATCTTAGCATCAAGGCAACTTCTCAACCACAAATATTGATATTCAAGAATATATACAACCACAAACGACTTTCATTGCGATGATGTTTATTGGCCTTGTTTGCCGGTGCCTGCTCACTCTTTCTATAATGTCTTTCTTGCAATAATCGCAACTTACCATATCATCTCGTCGCAAGTGTGATAAAATATATACATCGTTCCTTAGAGGACTCCCATTCTCTTGTGCTTCTTCATGTTCTCAAACTATGCTAAGGATGGCATGCAGTTGAGGAGACTGTTAAGCTCTTGATGAGACACGATTGTAGTTGATGTTTGGAGGCAGATGCCCATCTTCATTCAATCACTTTTGACCTGGTCGAATGGTCCTCCCTTTCTTGCAAATTCGCACTCCTGATAGGAAGTCGCCCACGACTCTTTCATTCGACTAAGTACCAGTAATTTAATGGGATCGAAGACCTACTCGATCTCATATTTACAGGGGATAAAACCTCGAGAGCTTTTGAAATGTATCAGGTACTGCGTAAAGACAAGGCTATACAGATGTGTTCTATTCAAGCGGATTTACAGTCCTAAAATTCTTTCCAGGACGTACCAACTTAGCAGTGAGTACCTAAATGACAAAGCCTCATCGCCCTTTCCTCTGATACGTAGTCGTATCTCATCACTATGGCTACCACGTTGAGACCTTCCCATGTCGACCTTCGTTTACATTCACCGTCTCTACACTCAGAGATACCTTCAATTGGTGTTTAGACCTTTCTTCTCATTTAATATTTGCACATCGGAAAAAACTTCCCAAAGTAATCAGGCCTCACTATTGATCCACCTAGTTACATTCAAAGATTGAACATTCATCTCATAACGGAAACATGGCTATTCACGTGGAGACTTTTGAAGATCTCCGAAACGAGATCGAACAACTACGCTCTGAACAACCTACATTAAATTCCCATGAAATCTGGGAGTATTTAGTCAAAAGTTCGGAGAGGCAAAAGCCACTGGAAGAGATTACAGTGGAAACGTGTCTGGTAGCGCATTTCGATTACCCTGAGGAAAGAACTGTCAAATTAAAGGCCAAGAAAGCCGATCCTGAATTTTCAGAGAGCGATAATAAAGGTCTCATGGAATTTCTTAAGACCAGACCGACTAGCACCAAGCCTATACTGTCGGTTACAAAAGATACAAAGTCTGAATCCGAAGATATACAGTCTGACTCTAAAGATACACAATCTGAATCCAAAGATATACAGTCTGGCTCTGAAGATACACAACTTGACTTAAAAGAGATACAATCCGGCACTGAAGATACAGAATTCGGTTCTACAGATACAGCGACGAAAATCGATCAGTGGGTTTCCCAACGCGGAAATATTGTTCTCCAACTTCTTAAACATATCGATCCTGGACGAACATTCGAGTATTTAGACCATAAATCATTGTTTCGACGCATTCACAAGCTAAGATTAGGGCAGCCTAAATCAAGCTCTCGTCAAATTTGGCGACGTCTTAACGAGGAGCTAGATAGTCAGAATTTGTTGGAAGAAGCCGTTGTAGAGGCTTGGCTGGTAGTGGGATTTGATTATCCTATGCATAAAACAGTTCAGCTCAAGGCTCATGAGAGCCATGTGAGACAAAAGGATTTAGATCGAGTGAATAAGGACCTATCTGTTAATAGATTTATGAGAAGTACGCCATCATTCACTGAAGACACGATCTGATTTTCAACATACACATTTTGATTTGCTAACCGGGATTGCAGGGTGGTACGATTATCTCGTGTCCAATCCTAACTTTAAAAAAAGAGTCGAGGATTTAGATCGAGCGACTCTTGAAGAGATCCATGACCTATGGTCCCTTCACCGTGGTTCAAGCTCTCGTTGGATTTGGGGAGAGCTGAATAAAAAACCAAATGGGATGATGCCATTAAAAGAAATAGTTGTGGAGGCTTGTTTAGTAGCAAATGGGTTTCCATTGGAGGACACTATCCAGTTGAAGAATCAAGAGAACCGGTGGTGGCAGGAAACCGAAATTCTTCGATATGATACCAAAGATAGCACTTTTCTAGCCTCGAAATTAGGTGAAGGAATGGAGTCTATAGTGCTAATCAACAACAAGCTGAACCTTAAAAGGGTTGTTCAGGACATTAAAGAGCTACGTCATCGCCAACCTACATTAAGTCCTCGTCAGATCTGGGTCGATCTCGACAAATCAGGCTATTGGCCGGCACCATTGCTCGAAATCGCGGTAGAAGCTTGCTTGATCAAATTTTGTGGCGTTCGTCCTGAAGACACCACACAACTTGAGACGTTAGATCATCACGAAGTGTCTGGGAAGAGGTTCCTAGACAGGGTTCTGGATTATTGTTTTGGCTCGCATAAGCTCGGAAATGCTAGCTGTGGATGCTGGGCTTCCGCAAAGATAGTAGAGAAGAGTGAAATCGATCATTATCGGAAGAATGGAAGAGTCAAGGTAGACCCAAAGACCAGTCGTGCAGTTGGATTATTGAGGATCATGCTCGATACAAAATATACTATCAAGAGTTTCTTACCAATAAACACACCCACGGCATTAGCTATCATGCCATATCGGGAGATGAACGCTAGTCAACGAGTTTACGCACTATTTTATGCTGAGTGGGATGCATGGATGGGACCAGGACGTCCAATTCATCCTCCAATCGATTATGTCGCGGGTGTTGAGAGAACTGCTATTCTTGATTCAGGCGACTATGAAGATTGTCAAGATGAACTTCCTATATGGACTCCAGGAAACACCAACAGTTTCGAGGTACATGTACAATGCGCATTAATAAGTCCGTGTTGGGGATACCGTGGTTCACTTGAGTGGTTGGTGTACGCTTTAAAACGAACACGAGACCCTGACACAATCAGGATGATTAATAGTGTAAGTCATTTTAGATCTTCCTTTATCTTTACATCTCTCATCGGATACTAAGTACTCTTAGGTTATCGCCGGATTCTATGGTCTTAAAATGTATCATATGGGAAGTGGCTTTATGGAATATCACAACTGGCATAATAATTGGTTCCATTCCTTTCGAGTTTCCCATGGAATCGTCGCATTTGTGAAGGAAAAAAAAAATTCTCCAGAGGTCATGTGGGCGGAGAGAGATGAAGAGGGAAAGTATATAGCACATTATGATGCCGTTCTAATGCCAATAGGAGTATCGACACCGGTGCTCAAAGCAAGGGATAAAGAAGGACCGGCCGGTTGGGAATTTGGAACTTTTGACCATGGACGATGGGCATCCCAAGGAGTAAAATTCTAATATTCGATTCGACGTGATTTTTGTTAAACAGTTGAGGTGTGTCAAGATTGGCTTGATGTTTATATTTTTTTATTCTCTTTTGGTAGTACATTGTTTTCAAGGGGTTCTGTATGATTATCATGAACCTCGATTAATACATCATCAAGCTTAACAATTATACGTCGTCTTTATTGCGTGCGATGAGATTTGTGTACTTGAGAATAGCTTTGATTCTTAATACGTCTTATATTAATATATCTATGCATTAGCGTTATGTCCCATGACGTCAATCTCTCTTATGGTTTACTTCCAACTCTTTTCAGCTGTCCTGTCAATTACTTAATTTTCATATTGGCTTCTTGTGACCCAAAAATATATATCATACATATGCAAACTTTGTATCTATTGAGCACTCAATATTTCCATCTCCCTCGGATATTCTATCTCATTTTTACTCCATCCTCCAAAACCTCATCCCAAAAGACAAGGTCGTCCAAACAACCCCACCCCACCCCACTCACCATTTCCATTTCCATTTCCATTTCCATTTCCATTTCCACAGCTGAAAAACATGGATAAATCACATGACACCTATCTTTCCCCCCAAGATCTTTTAAAAACTTATCAACCCTCCGAAGTACCTTTCTCCATACCATCAGAAGAGGGCATCAGTGAGCAGGAAGGAGAAAACGATGTATTACTCGTTCCTATCGCTATCCCAGACCCATCTGGAAAATCGTATTCCGGGCCTTTGGATCCGGAAGAGGAGGCAATAATCGAGCAAGACGAAGAAGGAGGAAGAGGAGGAGGAGGAGAAGAAGAAGAAATCTCAATTATCCCTATCGGTATCCCAGAAACATCTTCATCTTCGATATCCTACTCAGCACCCCTGGAAGAAAACATAAACGAGGAGTCCAACGAAGTACAGAAAATCCGACTCAGCACCCCATCCCACACCCCCTACTCCATCCGCTACGAACTCCCCTCTCCCCGCTCCACAATCATCACTCAAAAAGGCATCGGATTTCTCTCCGACGCCGGAGTACGAGGTTCTGTATCTACTGTGTGTCATGGAACGTTTCACTCCCAGCCCGCGACACTCATTCTTTTTACATTTATTTTTCGTTCGGGAGATCATGGATTTCGATTTAAAAATGCGAGTGTGAAGATTGATTTTTCTTCTCTTTCTTCCTCTTTCTCATCCTCGTCCTCCCCAAAAACCAATCCCAACTCTAAAACTCAAAATAAAGAATCCTCCTGGACCCCTACAATCACCGTCCTCGCCCCCCGCAAAATCTACGGTCTCCCCAGCACCTCCCACCAAACCCGTACCTTCACGGGTGAGATCTCCCTACAAATTCCTCTCGGTCCCACGTCCCTCGGTCCCTCGACTTCCCTCTCACACTCCTCATCGTATTCGCTCTCGCATCGGTACTCCCTAACCGGAAACATATGGTCGCAAGCCCATTCCTCATCTTGGGATTCCGTGTACTGGGATCTCAGGGAGGATAAATTGACGAAGGGGGGTATTCCGGATAGGGTGGATGTGGGAGTGGTGGTTTGTAGAGAGGGGGCGGGGGTGAAGGGGGAGGTGAGGGTGGAGGTTGATACCCCGGTTATGAGAGGTGTGTGGGGGTGGCCGTGGGGGAAGGGGAGGCCGGTGAGGTTTGTGGAGGGGGTGGAGACTGGGGGGGAGAGGGTTAGGACGAGGAGGTTTGAGGAGTTGGGGGTGGGGGATTGGAGGGAGTTGGTGGGGGGGATGGGGGAGTGGGAGGAGGTGGTTGTTGGGGGGGTGGAGGGAGAGAGGGGGAGGGGGGAGGAAAAGAGAGACGAGAAGGTTTAGATCTGAGTGTGAGGTTTGGAGTTGGGAATTAGAGAGGGGAAAATCAGAACAGGGGAAGAAAAGAGCACAAAATCGATATACTCTATACTATATACTAGTATCCAAGTTCCAAGTTTCAAATCTCAACCATTTAATCCATTCCATCTTATTTCATTTCATCTACAATCCTACTTCCTCTCATTAAACTTCTATTAACTTATTAATTAAATTATTAATCAAACTATCTTCCTCTACCTCTCTCTATTTCTCTCTTCTTCTTATTTTTTTATATCTATCTCTCTTTATACATTTAATAAATATCAAATATTCATTAATAAGAAAATAAAATAATATAATAAAAATCATTCTTGAATTTAATTGAATTTAATTTAATTCAATTCAATTCAATTCAATTCAATTCAATTCAATTCAATTCAATGCAATTCAATTCAATTCAATCTAATTCATTTCAATATATTCTAATTCAACTCAATATATTCTAATATATTCTAATTCATTTCAACTCATTATATCTCATCTACAATTCTATTTATTTCTTTTATCAATTCATTTCATTTATTTATCTTCTTAACTTTCTAATTTACAATTTCATTTCATTTCATTACATATTTATCAATTTACAATTCACAATCCACAATTTACAATCCACAAAATCATAAAATTACAACTTATAAAATTACAACTTATAATTTAAAACTTATAATTTACAACTTACAATCCCATCCCATCTCATCTCATTATATATATATCAACTTACACCTTATACCTTATAAGAAAAAAAAACAAAAAAAAAACAATCTCCATTTCAAATTTAAAATCCCAAATCCCAACAATTTCAAGTCAAATAATATATACCTCACTCGCCCTGACATCTTTTCATTTTCACTATATAGAATCTTCTATTCCCTTTGTATATATATATATCCAGGTATCGAGACTAAGTACGATATCTATTCAACTATAATCCTTTAGTCGTATACTTACACACTCATATACACACGCACACTCTCACACAAAACGGACTCAAAAATATTCTCCTTTTTCATTTCCATTTTCATCATCATAATTACTATTTGTAGATGTCATACAAACCATCAAATCAAATCAAATCAAACCCCAAAATAAATCATCAGTATCCAAGTAAATCCACTTAAACCACGATATTGAAACCACTGATTCCACAAACCTCGGCGTCAATTATATCCATGACCTCCGGAGCCCAGAACGAGATTTTTGATTTTGGGGAAATACTATTATTGTGTTGTGTTAGTATCACTCTAAAACTCTAGCAAAAAGTTGATAAAGAAAGTAGAAACCGGATAGAAGATGAAACTCACCGGAGTACCAAAACCCGTCGCCGCATCCCAACCCTTCGTTGCCGGGAACCCATTAGTACCACATCCACTTGCTGATCCAATCGTCACATCCGTGAACGCTTTAAATCCCTTCTTATACAACCACGGATTTAACCAACCCAGGGTTGGTTTCCCCGCTGCAATCAACGCATCATTGATGAGCGCGAGAATAGCCGACGCGGTAGGAGTAGCCGCCGAAGTACCATCGAGATGAACCGTAGTGCCGTTCCAAACAGTGACGTATGCGTATCCTTGAGCTGCGATATCCGGGAAAGCACGACCGGTTGAGTTGAAGAAACTTGTGATATTTTTCGGGAGAGAGGCGAGATATGGTTTTACGGCTGCGTCTTGCCAGGAAGGACGAGGGAAGTAGCGGGAAAATCCGCCGCCGGAGACATAGCCATTGCGGGCATCGGTGGCGACAACTTCGGGGTTGATGAATTTGGTTCCGCCGACGGAGGTGACGTACGGACATGTAGATGGAAACATGGCGAGGAAGGTAGTGCTGTTGTCTACATTCGAGATACATGTACCATCTACTCCGACACCTTTATCTCCAGATCCGAAAAGAACGGATACACCTCTAGCTCCTAATTGAGCAAAACCTTTGCAGACGGAAACGGCGTATGAGTATGGGACAGATTGTTCAGTATCTTGATATGAGTTGCTTACTACTCCTGGGAGATTCTTTTGACTGAGCACATATTGTAACCATGCAAGATAAGGTTCATTAGTATCAGCAGGTGTTTGCTCGTCTGGAGTAAAAGGAGGGGAACCTCCAGTTGTGTAAGCAATCAATGGAGTTGGATAACCAATTCCTAACATAGTTTCCGAATCCAAATTTCCTTCAAGATCTTTGCCAGCTTTGAGTTCTGTGGCATTTGCTTGTCCTTGATCATTATTACCCCCAGCAATAACTTGAACCTCAAAACTGTATGCTGCTGATGCGGCTTCAGGTCTATATTGTTCAAGGAAAAGTTTGGTATCAGACCGATTATTAGATTCGCCGAGGTAATCTGTAAGAGCCATCTCGTTTTTCCCAGCGGCTTGAACCTTGTAGTCTACGGTACCGTAAAGAGTTCGAAGACAAAGTGGGGTTACAGATGAGACATTGCATACATCTGCCGCCGTTTGTCCAACGGTAGGAGGTTTGTAGTTTGATGGTGCCAATGCTTGATATTCTGCGGCTTCATTGATTTTCTTCATTGTCTTTGCTATAGCGCGTGGTTTGAAGAAAGAATTGGTAGGTTGAATTGTCTCGATGTGATCATGGAGATGAAGAGGTAAAGACCATTCTGGAGTGCGAACGATGTATTCTCCATCTTCATGTTGATATGTTGAATATTCGGTGTCGAGAAGAGTTTCAATATCCTCAATGGAGATGGTAACTTTAATCCAATCTTTAGCTGGACTGTATTCTAGAGAGGCCGGTTCAATGTTGTTGTCTTGAAGCCATTCATGAACGAGATTATGGGTTTCATCCGTAGGCTTCACAAGATCATTCACCTCATCAACGCTTAGATGTTTACCATAACGGTGATGATCAGGATCAGAGACTATGAGTTTATTAGTCAATTTTCAATCTCAATTGCTTACTTCCTTGGGGTTTCGAGGAAAAGTATTCATACCTTCATAAAGATGACGTTCCAATTCATCGAATTGACCTTGCTTCAAACCAATCTGAAGATTAATCATATGGTTTGAACGAGCAGGTCCCACTCTTTGCCATTGCGGTGGTGGATAATGAGTTTCCTTCACAGCATATGGAGTACGAGCTTTGATCGGAGAGCTCGATACCAATCCGACTGCAAGAAATGCCGCAAACGTGGCAATTGAAGTCACCATGATGGCTAATTGATTGATGCAGGTGAAGAGAGAAGTCTACCTCTTTCGAAGAGGAAGAGGAAGAGGGAATGAGAGGTGTACATATTTATTCCTAATGAATACTCGATCTAGCTTTTAGCTCTGTATTCACCAAGGTAGCTCAAGGGTAGTGGCTCATGTACAAAACAGGCAATACGAGTAATCTTTACCCCATGTCTCCAAGTCCTACCACACCTTATCAATGTTGCTCACGATCAACCTTCCTTTTGTGGTATCGTGTGAAGGTAAGGTACCGTGGATAAATAAAGTGGCGATGCAGTTCTCCATCTTTTTCAATCTTGATATGGAAGGTCGACAATTGTTGATGCGGTGTAAGCTATGATGCTTGGATGAAGTATAGTAAAGTATGAAGAGCTTCAGTTTCTATATGTCATACACATTTCGTACATTTGATACATTTCCACGCCCAAGGATTGGTGAATAAGATATTAATGTTCGATGTACAAATAAACCTGTCTATACGGGCACGGGCCATACGGGCGTCCCCTTTATACAGGTATAATTTTAGTTTTCAACCTCTTTTTTTTTAATATTATAAATTTAATCTAAATGAGTATACCTTTATAAAAGAGTTTATAATCTTCTTTATGATAATACTTTTATATATAAAAATTATTAATCTAATATGAAACTCTCTAAGAATATTAAAATTACCTCTATAACATTATTACTATTATTATTAACATTTAAAAGCCTATAAAACATTAAAAGTTGATTATAATATCTCTTAAATCTCTTATATAAATAAACAATACAAAGCTTTAAAAACTTAATAATAGAATTCTAACTATAATAAAAGGATTTAAGGAGATATTATTATATAATGAAAAACTATATATAATAGAAATTAAAATTTAAAACGATTATAGAACATTAATAAAGCTCATTATTAAGATATTTTAATAAAAAAGATTAAAGTTATTTGGAGTTGATATCTTATTGTCTAACCCCCTTATATAAGAAACCCCTTTATACAGGCATCTAGGCCTCGAAATTATTATACTCTTATATTCAGGTTCAGCTGTATTTAGATTGTATGTAATCAACATGGTGTCGCTAATGGTCAGTCAATGAAATCGGGATATTTCCGCTCCAGTAGATAAGAAAGAAGCTTTACACGGGTAATGTATGGAATTGCTCGGCCGGCTTGGGACAGAAGAATGGATTTTATAAAGAATGGACATGGTTACCATTGGACCAGCCATACCCCTTAGGGCTTTGGCGTCGAGCTTATAATACATTATATGCCTATTCAGGCTAGCACCTTCTTCTGGGACAACCTCACCCACTACCTACTAGTAAGTCCAAACTAATCATCATCGTCCTTGAATAATATATCTTCATATCCATTAAAGCTGTCCCATATCACTCAGACTACAATACGCCCCAGAGTTGAAAATATCTTTATCTCACGCGGCATCTTGGCGCTTACACCCGATTGAAAGCTTGATTGCTGCACAGCTTCTTGATTTGAACTTTATAGTTTAAACATTATTTGAATTAATATCGTAGATAACTAAATACTATCTAGGAATTCGAAACCTTCAGGAGAATCAATTCAACACCCCCAAAGCAAACGATTCCAGCTCCCCTCAAACCACTACCTCTCAACCCACTACCTCTCAAACAACCAATTCCAACCCCTCTCAACCCCAACAACCCACCCACCATGCCCCCCTCCCTCTCCTCGCCTCCCTCCTCACCATCCACAACGCCCGCAACATCTTCATAAACCTCTCCACGTACGCCGCCTCCTACCACCGGCATTACAAACCCCTCGGATAGATTGTGCTAGCGGTGAGTGGTGTTGCGGTTGTGGATGAGCGGGTGTGTTGGAGGGCTGGGGGGGGGCAGGCGGATCATCGGGGGTATGCGCCTGTGCATGCGGTGGTTGGTTTGGGGGTATTGAGGAGTGGGAGGGTTTGAGTTGAGGTGCTTTGTGAGTTTGGATTGTTTGTTCAATCTTTTGGGGATGTTCAAATGGTTTGATTGTTTCGAAAAGGTTGGATCTGTTGAATATTTCATGAATGGTTTTCAATCAATCAAGAATCTAGGGTCACGAAATTATCGCCATGTCGTTTTGAATTATCAAGTGTGAGTAAATATTCAGCTTGCATCTTTGGCTTTTTACACCGCAAAGGAAAACTGTCGCATTCAATCACATATGGAGTTGTCATTCTCTATGGAATCTTTCAGTTCAATCTACACTGACTTGTAGCGTAGGTCGATAGAGAAGTTACTCTAATGTTTAGCACATCTTTCTTTCTTTCCGGGACATGACAGTTTCCAAAGTTTGTGATTCTTTTTCAATACTTCCAAATCCACCAAGCTCCCCAGTAAGTTCACGATATCTGCCAACAAACAGAAAACCTCCATAGCTATCCTCATCCATTCTAGTATATCACTGCGCTCTTACCGCCACACTGGCTTCCACAACAAAATCAATAACCGTTCCGCTGCTGTTCATACTGACGCTTTCTCCTCGCTGGTCTTTTTCACCATATATTCAAAAATCCTAGAGCGTAGGGCTATCGAATCCATACAAAGAAGTCATTTTTAACATCCTTGTCATGACGGCAATGATGCAGCCCCTAGAGTATAGAGTTATATCCCAGAAAGCCATCTCTATCATCTAAAGAATGATGACAAAGAATGCAAATTCATTCAAGGAATATGATGAAGATCCAAAAATCATTTAGGGGAACTATTGTCAAGGCAGTATTGACAGCGGAATGAGACATCATTCGATAGTAAGTCCAAAGAGGTAGTGACTCAACATTTCGATCTTTTAGCAATTTTTAAAGCCATCGTTGCCTATGCTTTGTCAAACAGGTGTAAGATTTGACTGACGAGTGTCCTTCGAAAAAAAAAATCCTGGCGATAGGAATGAAAATCCTTCTTCTTTATCAATGCCCCGGAGGAGCAAGCTGCTTGACAAAAAATGGTCGGAATTTGGCTAGGTGGGAATAAAAAGAAGATAATTCTTATGAACTTCGAGTTTCGAATTTGAGTCTCTATATTCGCTGACTACATCAATAAATCAAGGCATCCTCTACACTCAAATCATGTTGAAGAGTCAGTCTTTCGCGTTCCCTTTCCTTTTCCAAACCCGTCTTATTTTTAAATTCTTGCAACAGCTTCATATCTCTAATCATAATATCCCGTGTTCTATTGCAGAGTTGAATATAATATTCTATATCTTGCGTTATTCCTGTTGTCTGATGAGGAGATAAATCTGTACTCCGAATCTCTTCCTTCTTTTCTTCTCGTGTCTCTTCTCTCTGCAAAGTTACATGCAAAGATGAAGATTCTCCAATCCGCAAAGTTGTATCTGTGGATAAAGGTATCGCGCTTCCAGTTTCTTCCTCTAATTGTTGTTCCAACGTTCGGATTTCGGCTTTTCTCTTCTCGATTAACCCCCTGATATATTGACGACGAGATGTCGAACCCATATTTTCAGGTAAATCATAAGGAGGAGGCCTTTCGTTCTTAACTTCTTTTCCCTTAATGGATGGTTTTTGTTGATCAGGAAGTCCCGAATTTGGGCGTGATGTTTGAGTAGGGAAGTAGGCTGGAAGATTATCACTTCTCGGATTTTTCTTGAGTAGATTGAGGAGACAACGACTTCTCTCTAGACTGTCGACGGATGTATCACGTTTTCCTGGAGACGGGTGTATATTTTTCTTCGCTTCGGTATTGCGATTGGATTGGATTTTCTTCTCGGCATCGTTGATCTTTTCATACAACGTATCTTCTTTATTCGGACTTAGGACTCGAGATAACTTGAATCGCAGCCTTGAAAACATGATGGCTTCTATGCTTTTGTTGTGCACGAGAGATTCCTCGAATGGATGAGATGTAAGATGGAAAAGGGTTAAATTGGACAAATGAGATGAAGTCTGGGACGATTGGTTGTAACGATGAATGAAACTCCGAGCATGGGAAGAACAGAAGGAAAAGGAAAAGGGAAGGAGAGAAAAGAAAAGAGGACAAAATCATCCTACTACTTACAATTGACTACTAGGTAACTAACCAGCACTAGCCCTTCGACTGACATCAAGACTTCTAGACTTCGTGGGGTACATGACCGATGATTTCCCCGTATCTGGCATCCGGTCGTCATCCTCCTATTTTCGAATCGACCTTTAAGATATCACAACCAGGAGAAGCATCACACTGTAGTTCAGGTCTTGAGACTATGATTTGTACTCAGGAGCGAGGCCTGAGGTTTATACACTGAACCATAGAACCTTATATATCATCTAGATATCGCCGAGTAAGAAATACTATTGTTACTATGTGTATAAAACCCCTATTAGTATAGGGTATAGAAGCCCTAGATGATCAGATCTAAGCTCTAAAATAGGTTCTGAATAACCTGGTTAGAGGTCAGGGTTAGGAAATACTATTGTTACTGTAACGAAGAATCTATACCAATTTTTAAGTCGTCCGAGTCCCTCAAAAAATATCCACGTAGAAAAACTCTAATGAATATAAGTAGTAGCTAACTTCTGATATGCTGTCAAATTACCCGGCCGTACATATTCAACCACATCAGGCGGACCCAAATCTTCCTTCAAAGGAGCAATGCGTCCTATTAGGCTCGGGAATCAGGTTCATTCGGGAAACCTTTTCCCATTTGGCTTACAAAGTGGTTCTATTGGTAAGCAAGGTGAGATCAAGAGGAGTTGCTGGTTCTGAAGATAGTTTCCCGACTTTTGGCCTAGACCGTTGCGTATAGGGAGGATAAGGGAATACTTCAAGGCTGAGCGTTGCAGATGGTAAGGTTTGGGGTTTGGACTCTTTTGGGGCTGGGATGAATGGTTGGATGGATATTGGGAAGCTAACATGGGTGGATCATTTCCAGTGAATGACGGTTGTGATCCCCGCATCAGATCCTATCTGTCTTCCCTTCTGGTTCTGTTTATGCGCTCTAGCAATTTCTTTTCTGCATCAAATTGGTCCGCAGGAGGTGGTTGCCGGGAGTCACTATTCATGGTTTGATATCTATCTGCCGATTGACGAAATTTAGCACCAGTCGCTCGAGACCGATTAACGGCCCATCTGAATGAGAACGTAGCCGACGAGCTTGACTGAGTATCTTGCGTTTCTGCATCTTTTTCGGAAGCCGCGAGACTCCTATTTATTTTCTGTGCTGCTGTGATGCACAGTGGGGTTTGAAGAACGGTATCTGTTAGGGCTTGATCATTACTTTGACTGTATCTTATGCAACTTCTTGTAATGACGGCGAACGTAGCAGAGTTGCTATCATCCTTGACAAAATAGGACTACCTAGGAACAAGTCTCCTGCCATCATTACGATTCAAAGAAGTAATATCCCATGCTTGTAAGTTTTTGTCGTCTCCAATCCCTGTGAATTTTAGTATCTTTGAAACTGAATATCAGAAGCTTCCTCTGGGTTACCGGCATCGTTGTCCAAATTGAGGATAACGAATCAACGGAAATTAATCCATCAAGCAACCTCACAATGTCCCCAGAATTCTCCAATGCATTATCGAAGTTCTAGTAGAGATACCCTCTAATAACAAGATCTTTGAGCAGTGCCCATAAGCTAATCCTTCGAGCATGATTAGAACAGCAACTAAAATGCAATACAGCAAGACAATCCATTAAATATGGATTAGGTGTATGTGATGCATCCGTTTTGCCAGCGTGGACCCAGTCTTCGAGTATCACGTCTTTCAAATTCCAGCCCGCATCAAACTTATATGTGACTCCTAAGGTAATTGTTAAATATTGACTATTGGAGGTTTGTGTAGTTCTTTTTATAATTTTTCAATTGGAAGGGCGAGTACCAAGTTCGAATTCGCGGTGGCGAGGCTGAGAGATATATTGGTCAGGACAATCACGCCAAGGTCTCTCGTCGAATCTGGGCGAGCTTAAACTTTCTCTAGCAGGTTGTGAAATATCTCTTACGCCAATCAAGAGGAGTTTTGTGGTATCAATGGGAGTTGTGTTTCCGAGTGAGTTCGTCTCCATCCAACTAGACCAATGACAGAGCACCTGTGACTCCAATGGTTGAATTGAAGATGTGTCATGCTCGGCACTCAGAAGTCTACCGCCATGAGTCTCAATCGACGAGGCAGTCGATGCCTCGGTACAATTAAGTTTCAGGGGACCCCATAGCTCCGCAAGATGATCTATAGATGAAGAGAGATATAATCTATCACATTCAACTTTTGATAACTTCGAACTTTTGGGAATAAAGCTCATTGCCCAAACGGGCTGCTTGAGGAGACCGTTTCAACACTTCAATCGTCGGGCTGCCAAGAACAATGCACCTCCAGGACACTCGATGTGCAACCCATCACTTAATGACCTGCTCGGTGTGTACCCAGAATTATCAAAATGCGGCCTGACAAGTGATAGTAATGCGACATGCACAACGCTTAGAATAGAGCTCAACAAATGGCAGATATCTTGTTGTCGTTCTAGATTGTGCTTATTCACAGCCAAAACGGTTTGAGGGATACCCAGGCTAAGACTCACAACCATGTGCAATAATATCTCTGCTACATCCTCTAAAACCGAGTCTCGTCGCTGATTGTCTTCTTGCCGAATGAATTCTTGCACCTCACGGAGAAGTTCGAGCAGTAGTGATAAGCTGGGCATACTAATCGGTCGAACATTGAGAACCTTTGGACGATCTTTATCTGCCACAATATTATTATACGTGGAGCTGTTACAGAACCATTCGTTCTGTAGCAATTGCGTTCCTTTTATTATTGAAGATAACGTCTCTATACTTACTGACGTCAGAGCCTGCATGTAGTCGTTTATTCTGAGCTGTTGATCAGAAGTTGCACTAAGAGGCGTGAAGGGTTCCGTTCCATAACCCAACTTTCGCAACGATAATACGTATCGCCTACTCTCGACATCTTCTTCTATTTTCTGGAAGGTGTTTTGTCCTAGCTGGAGGACTCTATGTTCAAGAAGGGTAATATCTTCAGAATAGGAAGTGGGGCCCTTTAGAAGAGGTCAAGTGCACATTCGGAGAATGTTGGTACATCCATAGGGCTTTGCAAATTCAGAGGGCCTTGCAAGTCCAAAGACTCTTGTTTGAGGCTGGAAATGCCACCTCCTTTAAAAATCCTCTCTTCCGCGTTGGAACTTTTAGCGCTTTTCTTAGTAGTGCCAACCATATTCAACTTATAATGATCAGTATCAAATTCTTTGACTTTACCCTCTTGCGGCTTAGATGCATCAGGATCTTGAGGGATCAAGCCCGGGTTTAACCCAGCCAAATCAGATATCTCAGCGTCCTGCAACAATGCCGTGTTGATGGCTGAATCGATCGTAGACTCTAGTACGACATCTGACTGCTGATTTTGACCGTCTTCATCTCCGTTTCCGCTTTCCCTCCCTCTGCTACTGCCTCTATCCCGGACTCTGGATCCTGCGGCTCTCGTAGACCTGGTATTTGAAGTCGAATGTGATGAAGACATGTAATGACGTTGTGGAGTTTCGATCCACTCAACATGGCAGTCGTTGCATCGTTGATGAGAGCATACGGGACAGCTGATGATCACCGTTGACATTCTAGCACCGCTATCGCCAGATGCACACAATTTCTGACATCGTGTCATAAAAGTGTCCACCGACTAATAAAAACTGCGTATGAATCAAAACGACTCAAGAAATAATTCGTTTTAGTTTCTCAGAATTCCATGTACCTCTATTATACCCATTCATCATGGCTGAGTCTGCTGACACATACGCCTTATTATACGCCTTGCCATCGTAGCGGGGTATGCAGACACATCAACCAGGTTCCCCAATGGTATGAGATTGAAGAATCCAACCACCCGCAGGAAGCAGCATACTCTGCTATCAAATCAGCTCTTTCAAGAAAGCAATACGTTTCGCCCTGCTAATGTAAGTAGATGCAGAGTGATGCTGTGAAGAAGTACTACATTCAAGCCGAGTTTTCGATTGTATAACAATTTGTTGTTGCTAAGAGGAAATCTGTTGCTCTATTAGTGTCAGCAGATGCAGAGTGAGGTTGTGAAGAAGCACCACAACCAGGCTGAATTCTCAAGCATGGTATGATTTGTCGTTGTTTGTTGAGATGCACTCTTTAATATCTGGATAGCGAATGGGAGAGTCTATGCTACAGTAATAACAAGAAGGATTATGTTGACAGTTGAGAATAAAATAAGAAGGTGCATTTGCGATTGATCAATGATATGTACCAATAGTCAAGTAGAAGAATCCATCTGCCATCCAATCAAGTGCACCTAAATAAATGCAAGATCTCACTATTTTCAGAATACTGGATTTGAATGATTATAGTATATGTTTGTTTTTGCGAGATTGATTGGAATGCAGAATACATCCCATAACACAAAGGTATCATAGATCGCTTGAAAAACATCACCCCTTAAAAAGTAAAACTAACAACTTCAATTATAATACAATCATAACACAATCATAACACAATCATAACACAATCATAACACAATCATAACACAATCATAACACAATCATAACACAATCATAACACAATCATAACACAATCATAACAATCCCTTCTCCCAAGAACCCTCAAAAAGTCACCAAGCATTTCTCCTCCCCCTTTCTCCCCTTCATCCTCATCTCTCTCATCTCTCAACCAAAAAAATCTTACATAACATCAAAAAGAAAACTCCAATCAAAAACTTAAAATGTTAAGAATCTTTCTATCCTAGATTCCCAATTAACTTCCTGACCTCAACTAATGAGATTAATGAGATCCATGAAATGAGGAATAACGTAATTTCTATGTATCATTGTTCATTTTCAAGAGTTGGAACTTATAAAGAGAGAAAGATAGATTGAACATAAGGAAAAAAGAGAAAAGAGAAAAGAGGGAGAAGTGAGGAGCGCAGGCCAAGAAGAAGCAGAGGGTAAAGGAGATAGGAACAACTAAAAACTAAAAAGAATCTATAGATGATTAAGAGAGATGAAGGATGAAGGAAAGAAAAGACAGTTTGATGACACTATGAGAATTTAGATTCTGATCTACTTGGTCTTTGATACTATCGAATAATCAACCATCAATCAACCGTTGGTACCCATTAGAACAACAGCGGAATTCTGTTGGATCATTAACCACAACCATAGCTTGCAAGTGGAGTTGAGATACATTCACAGTTCACATCTCACAGATCATATCAAAGAAAAGGTAATGTAAAGTATTATTGTATTTGAGTTTTAAAACAAGACAGCAACAGCAAGGGAGGGTACTAGTTGCAAATTACTCACCATATAATACAGTTGGTCTAGCGAGACATTTCGCAAAGATCCGGGTAATATTTGTCATAACCATTCCACCCAACCAAAGAAAGAACTTTTACACTATGTCCTCGGGAAGAAGCGACATGAAGTCCGGTCCCCTCTCAAGGTATCCAAAGATACAAGAAAGGATCATACCCAACCTCGTAATGTTCAAAGCCATAGACCACAATGTTTTTACCTAAACGCCCCAATGAACCGATCAAAAAGCCTAAAGGGACAGCCACAAGCCTACGACCACGTAAATCAAGCCCACAAGTTGTAAACTTTTCTTCCAAAGAAAGAATTCAGAGAAAGAAGAAGATATGTCTCAATAGCCACATTCTCCATGAGGAGTAGAGTCAAGAGCCCACAACCCACAAAGCCAACGACCCACATATCAATATGAAAGCATCTTCGAGAAGAATACTCAGCATATGACAAAGTACGGACAGACAATGGTAACCCTCATATCATATCATCAGCTTATTCGAAAGACATCTTCTTTCCCTTGAAGTCACCGAAGCCACCACGGTTAGTGCTGCCTCCACGTCCTCCACGGGCACCACCACGAGCACCACCACGTCCACCACGGTCACCAAAGCCACCACGTCCACCACCACGTCCGCCACCACGGCCTCCGCCACCACGGCCACCACCACGGCCACCGAAGCCACCACCCTCACTGCGCTCTGGACGAGGAGTAGCATAGTCAAGTCTGACTGGACGACCAGCAATATCAGCACCCATCATAGCATCATAGGCGGCAGTAGCATCCTCAACGGAACCGAAGGTAACATATCCGAAACCCTTGGGGTTGCCAGTCTCCCTAGTGATTATTAGTACATGTAGATGAGGATAGGATGAGGATTAACTTACTGATCAGTTGGGAGTCTGACGTTGACAACAGTGCCGTGTTCACCGAAAGCCTCACCAACAACGTTCTCATCGGCATCGAAGGAAAGGTTACCGAGGAAAAGAGTGTCAGAAGGTGGGTTCTTGGCATCACCGAATTGAGCAGCACGGTTGTTGGCACGCTCTCTTGGTGCAGTGGTGTCACGAGGAGTGGAGAAGTCAACGTTGGCCTCACGACCATCGATGAGAGCACCCTTCTTGGCAGCAAGAGCGGCAGCAGCATCACTGGACTTGACAAACTCGACGTATCCGAAACCCTTGGAGCGTCCAGTAGCCTTGTCACTGATGACACGAGCACCACTGATCTCACCGAACTCCTCAAACTCGCGGTAGAGCCACTCGTCATCAATGTTCCAGCTCAAGTTACCAACGAACAAGTTCTTGCTTCCGTTATCCTCAACAGTCTCCTCAGTCTTGGACTTCTTGGTGGAAGCCTCTGGCTCTTCCTCTGCCTTACGCTTCTTGGATGGTGCCTCGGCCTCAGCCTCGCTGGCAGACTCGCTGTCAGAATCGGAAGAGTCGGAGTCAGATCCAGATTCCTTCTTCTCTTCTTCCTCGGAGGAGTCAGAGCTATCGGAGTCATCAGAGTCCTCCTATAGATATATTAGTATGCAGTCCAAGTTATGCTAAGATTATTGGAAGGATTGATATTACTTACAGTAGCCTTGGCAACTACCTTAGCGGCACCGTTGACCTTTGCCTTACCGGCATCGACAACCTTTTGAACCTTCTTGGCAGCAGCGACAACTGGCTTAGCCTCCTCCTCGGATTCGGAGTCGCTTGAGTCGTCACTATCTTCGCTCTCAGAAGCAGCAGCCTTCTTGGCAGTCTTTGCGGTGGGTTTAGAGTCAGTCTCTGATTCAGATGATGAGGAATCATCTTCGGATTCAGACGAAGATGAGGAGTCAGAGGAGGATGATTCTACCTCTTTCTTCTCGACCTTAGCAGCCTTGCCGTTAGCCTTAGCCTTGGTGGCCTTTGGTGCTGGCTTCTCCTCTTCAGATTCAGAAGAATCCGAGTCGGAACCAGATTCGCTGTCGGAGGATGGGGTGGCAGCCTTCTTGACTGGCTTTGAAGCAGGCTTAGCGGCCTTGGTGGCAGTAGCCTTTGCGGTCTGTTTAGATTTAGCTTTTGTTGATTGGGATGGTTTAACAACTGCCGCATTCTTGACAGTTGAGAGTGGTAGTTTGACCTCAGTCTTCTTGGAAGCCTTAGCAACCTTGGTATCCTTGGTCTTAGCCATTGTGAAAGATTTACTTCTTGAGGAAGATGAAGTAATTGAGTGTTTTTTTGAAGAAGAATATGAAGAATTTGATATCTTTTAATCAAAAAACTGATGAATCGATACAAGTTATGAGTTGAAAAGGATGTATGATTGAAGGAGGAAAACTAAAAACTTGGGAGAGTGAAAAGTTTAAGTAGGTTTGAAGAAAAGCTCTTATCGAGAATTTTTTTCTTCAATTGCGCTAGAGTGATAAAAGGTTTTTATCTGGAGAGTGGATTCAGGGTCTCGAGGGAGTGGGTCTATCAGCTTGAGTGATTAGTTAAGCATTTCATACAGTGAAGGAGTCGAAGCAAGTTCGGCAAGTCTTGCTCATTCACTAAATTTCACCCGACCCATAATAAATCGTGACTTTCATCGTTGAGCTCAAACAATCAAAATAGCTTCATTACAAACACATTTGTGAGAGACATCGACCACCTCAACTCTACTATTGGATCTACAATACTCGATCGACCATATACCTATTGATCCTTTAACCCTCCTCATACCCATACTTTAAGTTCTGTACAATGGCACGAACTCCCGAATCTGCCGCATTTCTCGCGAAGAAACCTACTGTTCCTCCAACTTTCGATGGTGTCAATTATGATGATACAGCACGATTGAAGCAAGCACAAGATGCGATTATCAGGGAACAATGGGTTAAAAGCATGATGGCACGGTTGGTCAGAGAGGAATTGGGAAAATGTTATTATAAGGAGGGGGTTAATCATTTGGAAAAATGTGGTGCATTAAGAGGTGAGGATTGATATTATTATGTTGGGATAATCTACGGATTCTTTTGAAGTGGAATTAGTTCCTTCAACTATGCAAGAATGGCTGGCTTCCCACGAGGAACTTTCCATAGATCTTGAGGCTAATTCTTTCTCTCAGATCGTTATTTCGAGTTATTGAAGGAGTCCAAGATTAAAGGTTACCTGTTCGAGCAACAAAACCATTTCAGCAAGGCTTAATAGACATGTCATGAGGGCTTTATTGAGAGAGGCGAGGGGGGGTAAGTGGTGAGAACAGGGCGACAGTGGAATCGTGGCGGGTGAGGGTTATGCTTGAATGAGCTCAGTGCGGCTTAAGACAGGCAGGATATCTGGAGTCAAGCACTGAAGATATACCAAAATCCAGGAAGCTTCAGAGCATTTGTCCCAAAAATAGAGACCTGAGAAAGGTCTACTAAGAGGACTGTAAATATGAAACATTGTACAACCAGTGGATTTCCCTAAACTTGTGATTTTGATGTATGAGAATGACATAGCCAACATGAATTTTAACTCGGTATTGACTCTGAAAATATCACATCTAGTCTTACCCACCTCACAATATCATTCTAGTAATTGTTTAGATAATATTCAATAATTTACATGAACAATTCACCATGTGATTCTCAATCCCAATCATGGACACAGCAAAATAGATAATCCATTTCCATTACATATCCACGCAGCACCCAACACCCCCACCAAAGAATTTGATATCAGTAGCATACCCGGTCCATCCAGGTACCCGTAGCTGTTCCAAAAAAATAAATCTCCATACACACCAGCACAAGAAATGATCCAGCATATCACATCCACGTCCCATCCTCCCTCGAAATGATTTGTTCACGCTGTCTAACCCGTCGGTCCCTCCCTCTGACCCAACAAACCCGTCTCTTCTCCTACACCCCCCTCTTGAGCTCCACCCCCTCCTCTCCTCGCACCACCGGCCCTCCAACCGCAACCTCCACCGGCGCAGCCCAACCTTTCTCAACCCCTCTCCCCCCCTCCCCCGCCGCCCAAGGAATCTCCTCCCATCCTTCCCCTACCAAAAAACCAACTCCCCTACCTACATCCAGCATTCCCGCGGGCACCATCCTCCAAGGCCTCAATTTCCTCAAAGGAAGAGATGATCCCGTCGCGTTAAAAGAAGAGGAATATCCAGAATGGTTATGGCACTGTTTAGACGAGAAGAAAGCTGCTGATGGGGGTGCCGCGGCGGGAGGCGATGAGTTCTGTATGTTTTTCTAATCTATCCATTCTATTCCCATATCCTATCCTTTCACCCCTCTGCTCTTCTTGCCGAATTGATCTTAAATGGACTAACACCCTCCCTAGCAAAATCTAAAAAACTCCGTCGTGCCGCCGCCAAAGCCCGCAGGAAGGCAGAAGAACGCGCGCTCCTCTCAGGTGACACCTCTCTCCTCGAAGTAAAGGTTCCTCTGCAGCAACAATCGGTCGATTTGTCCAGTGAAGGCGAAGCCGCACTAGAACAACGAGGAGATTTGGTAAAGGCGATGAGGAAAGAGCGTCGCGCGAAGATCAAGGAGGGTAATTACTTGAAGGGAATGTAAATTTGAGGTTGTGGATGAGCGGCAAAATCGATGAACTCCTTTGGGGTAATGGGTTGCGAATTGGGCTCAATTCGTGGGGGATTATTTGAGAGCTTTGTGAGCTTTGATGTTGAAGCGCTGCTTAATGAGGAATCTTCATATAGGATGGCATGTGTTAAAAAGGATAAAGCAAAAGGGAGATGTGGAAGTCAAGAAAATATGCAATTGACACGGCTAGAGCCATGAAGATTGGGCACTACGGGACGAGGAAAGATGTAAAATTATATCACATCCGTGCAAGGATACTATAGACAAAAATCTGTATTATAAGGCATCTATCATCATGTCGATCAACATGTTTGTGGTATTCATGAGGCTATCCATTTGATAGTAGCTCGTCATTTTCCCCGACCTGAAATGCACCGTTGCAGCATGGCGCCATGCAATACTACCCAGCTCAAACTCCAAATTGAGACAATGCTTTGAGCTGTCCATCCATTCCAAGATTACCCAGCGCCAATTGCCCAACCCAAGCAGAGACAACCAGCCAGCGCCGAGTATTGTTTGGGTCCCACCCCATCTTCTGTGAAAACGCCTAAAGGTACATAAACCCAATATCTAGTGACCTCTTAAAATGTGTCTAATCATCCTCTGCCTCTCCAATCGAAGATTTCTTGATCTCCAACTCAGCCTTGAGTTTTCTCGACTTATCTTCGATTCTCCTGCGTAGAATTGGATTGTTCTGAGCTGCCAATTGTGCTTGAAGACCTTCAATCTGTTTCTCCAAATCCACAATATCTTCTTTGGCTTCTTGGAGCTGGGCCAGGCGTGCCTTTTCATCGTCATCAACATCATCCGCTTCACTTCCTTCATCCCCACTTTCCCCATCTTCAATTGATTCATCACCGCTGTCATCTTCTTCGTTAGGAGCCGGGGTGTCGCCTAACAACATAGGAGTGGCAGCGACACCTGACATAGACATAGGAGTAGCAGCAATATCTTCAAAGCCTGCTCCTGCTTCCAATTCGGCTTCCATTGCTGCTGCGAGATCAGCTTCGAGATCGCCGCCAATTTCATCCCCAGATGCGACACCATCGCCGTTGTTAACGTGAGAAAAGTAACCACCATCGTCGGCTTCTCCTTCAGCATCTTCATCTTCGGAATACTGGTCTTCTCCTTCGTCACCATAGCTCTCTGGACTAAACACTTGACTACTCTGTTCTCTTTCTGGCGAAATAACTTTATATTCTGAAGATACAGCTTTTCGATCGTCTTCAAAGAGTTTCTCAACAGCTTCCTCTACAGCCTCGATTGCAGTTCTGCTGATACGTTTTCTGAAACGCCGTTTTCGTGCTAAATGCATTGGAGCAGTGAGACCATGTGGATATTGGAAAGTTTGTGGATCAATGATTCCTGGCAATGGAGCAATTTTGGCCTCATCTTCATTCTCGACTCTTTGATAAATCCAAAGCATTTGACAAATATCCGCACTTTTATACCATCCTCTTTTATCCCAACTTTTCATTCCTTCAACAATACATGGCAAGTCGACAAGAGTAGCGGCATACACATTTCCACGGATAGTAACAGCAGCTCGTCTACCTTCGGCATGAAAAAACTTCATTTGCACATCTGCGCCTCCGACTTTTGGATTGAGACCCATTTTTTTCTCGGCGATGCATGTTCGTAAGTAGTCACAGTCGTCGCCGGGAACCATTCGGAAGATAAACGCTTCTTCGATGGAGGGATCTTTTTCCGTATCACTGGCTTCAGAGTCATAACCTTCTCCAAGAGGTCTTTTCGGTGGTTTGCCCTTGATTTTAGCCTTCATCATCAGCGGTGTCTTTGGAAGTCCATTATTGATACCAGCCATAGAAGGCGTTCTTGGCTTGATACTAATCTTGACTTTCTTCTTCGCAGGTTCATCGTGAAGGTTTGGTTTCCTTGGTATAACAGAGATAGTTTCATCGCCACTGTCATCTTCCTTCTTAACTCTCTTGCGTGAATCTGCGAGCTTTTGTGTGGGTTTGGGTGCTCGACCTGCTTTTGTAGGTTTTGGTTGCGATGAGCTAGACGCAGATGGAAGAGGGGGTGATCCCGCGGGTTTACTGCTGAGTTTTATCTTCGGTCTGGATCCGCCAGGTGTAAGAACTGATGGTGTGGTAGGTGTAGAAGGTCCCGGCGATGCGTTCGTTCCTCCATTTGTCTTGAGACTCAACTTTAACTTGTATGGGCCGCTCATAATGGCGGTTTATCCTCGTAGTTGTGCGCCCTTTTTAAGATAGTTTATTGGTGTCGCAAGATTTGTGGGAGTAGAATTTTATAAAACTCGCAAAACAAGACTTTGTTCGTTTTCTGCCGTAGTTCTGTGGAATCTAAAGAATTTAATAAGATGTTGAACTGATCGATTGGAATGGAAGGAGCTCCAGTTCAAAAATTGTACGGAAGCCCAATCGCACAATCGCGCAACCGCGTTTTCCATTTCACTTCACTTATGCGACAAATGGGAATTCGCATTCACCTTTTGCGCTTTACGGTGAAATACAAGAGACTTACTAATTACTCTTTAATCAACTACATAATTTCTGCGACATGCAATCATGATAATATCCAGTCTCTCCGCACCTTGATCCCGACCTTTCCGTCATTAAAATCGAAAAAACTTAAGATGGCAACACCTCAAGCTCTCCATCATGCCCTCCTTCGACCATGTATTTTACATATTCTCCGCGCAGCAGGCTATCACTCAACGCGATCCTCAGTACTTGATACCATAACCGATCTAGCTGCTCGTTATATGTACATACTCGCGCAATCAACAGCAGCGCATGCCGATTTAAATCATGCGGATCTCGACATAACAATTTCAGATGTACGAATGGCCATGCAAGATTGTGGAGCTCTTATGCCAGAGAAGGCAATAGAAGAACAGGAATTCTATGGCGAGGAAGATATGAGAGGTGTAGAAGGATTTATAGCCTGGGCCATGGGGGAAGGGAACAAAGAGATCAGGAGGATTGCGTTAGCAGATGGAGGAGAAGATTACCTTACTGGTATGTTTTACATCTTTCCTCGTTGATTTCATGTGTTTGTGAATAGGAACTAAATAATATAGCTCTCAAAAAGAAGCATAACACAACCGACGAGGATTCACGGTATCATGGGACATTATTAGGAAGACCTGCCGAACCTCGAATAGTGAAAGTCGAGGGAGGAGAGGTTACAAGTGTGAAAGAGTGGGCAGATCGGATGAAACCAATACCAAAGCAGATTGAAGAAACGCCTTCTACTAGAGAGGCATCTTCAGCTCTTAGTTCTGTTGGGGATCAAGTTATGGAAAATATGGAGTTTTGATATCATAAGGGAATGGTCGCTTTAAATTTCGGGCATGGCGACGGAGTTTGGGTCGTTTGACAGATATAATACACGACCATATGGCAAGGTAGGATTGTGAGATTGTGGGATCATGGCAAATCACATTTTGCACAAAGAGCGACGATAATTCTGAGTGGACACACCACGAAAATGATTAAAAGGATTGAATTTAGGTCTTCAATTCGCCTCAAACGGATCTCAACCCTTCGTTTTCGAGTCTTCCACCTGCTCCTCCATCTACATCGATGCCTTGCTCTCGTTGACTCTTGATCTTCTCTCTAGCCTCCTTCTGCTCTGCCTTCTGTCTAGCCTCCTTCTGCTCTGCCTTCTGTCTATCCAAATCACTTGTGTAACTACCCTCCTCTCCCCATCCAGCATTCTTCTTGTCGAATTGAGCAGCCATGACATCTCCTTCACCTGCGGCTCTCATTTGCTCTCCATCCAAATCCTCTTGTTGAGGTCCGACCTTGGAACTCGATAATTTGGCATTGCTGTCATCTGCATTATCCTTTGGATGATCGCCATGACCCATTGCTGTAGCCGATCCTACTGACATACCAGGAGTGGCTGTGGATGATGGTGCGCCCGAGTTGGGACCAAAAGTTGTACCGGCGGGGGTAGAGTTGAGTGAGGATTGATTCTGAGACGCAGACATGGTGAATGGCGTAGATAGAGAGGATTGAAGCTTGGATTTGATATGAGAAGAGTATTCAATGTGTTTTCGAGTACCGACGATTGTGGATTTGGTTTCAATTGTTCTTAAGGATGAAGAAATGAAGGAATGGAAATTTACCTACTCTTGGATCTCATTCCTTACTTTTACTTGGTGGTGGTCTATCCAGTCTAACAAGCAGCATTTTCTAGTAACAAAGATGACGTAGATGAAAATGAATTGATCGCATTTTATAAGGTTAAACTCCAATCAATAATACCTGCGGTGGGACAAAGGTAAGGTTAAGGTTAAATTGCTACGGTCATCTCATAATGCCACGAATGCATTCAATATCATTGCCCCGCCAAATTCAAAACAACGGTCCGACCATATATGAATGGCATTCTCACCACCACCCCTTCCTCCTTGACTTTCCAATTTATATCCTCATTCGTCTGATACAGATTGATGAAGCTAGGATAGTCGGCAATAACTACACGACTACCTACTATCCAACAACAACAACAACAAAGAGTCCCACCATTGACGAACGCGCATTATAAGTATCATAGAGTCACGTGCAGTGGTAGTATTCAACTTCACGCAGCGTCCAGAGGCATTCTACTGATTCGCATGAACATATTCAATCATGCCTTTCCCACTTGAGCTCCCCACAACATCTTCGTTTTCGTTCTCATCATATTTCACAAGCGACTCGCATCCCTCACTACCTTTGGCCGCAAGTACTTACAGAGGGGTTCTTCGTGATGTGCTGAAGAAGCACAAACGACTTACTCCTTCGCAGCAATCTTCAAATCTTTCATCTATTCTCCAAGCACTCAACAACTACATCCCATATCTCTTAGCCATCAATTCTGGCATTTCTTCTCAATTCGATCCCGGAGCAGAACATATAGATATCATCCTCACTTCAACACCAACTCTAGAATGGCGTCCAACTCTTTCAGATCCGCCAATACCAGGCAGAGAAATTCCAAGGTTAAAGATACAGAGTTTGGAATATGAAGTTTATTTCGTTCTTTCAACACTAGCCTACACTCATGTTCTTCTCTCAAGATCTTCATTACATCCACTCTATTCATCTGCGACAGCGTCACCATCGCCTGACCAAAGAACTTCATGTATCAAAGCTGCTACAGAGCAATTACTAGCAGCTGGTTCGATTCATAATTATCTGTTTTCTCGCTCAACAAGTCTTACTTCTCCACCCCCTTGTCCTGATATTTCAAACCCAGTTTTTCGTGCCCTCAGTAGCTTAGCATTGGCCGAAAGTACATTACTGGCGGTTTTGAAAGATGATCCATACCCAGCAGCAGTGCAAAAAGATCGTAACAAAAATGATAAAGAATGGATGATTAAAGCTCCTGAGATGCCCAAAGTTCGCGCTCATCTGTTTGCAAGATTGTGTCTTGCTGCCGCCGATCATGCGGGTAATGCTGTAGCCATGCTAGGTGGAATGGGCAATGGAGGAAAGGGAAAGGTCGATTCTGAGTTGTTGAAATACGTGGAAGACTTGCGAAGAGTAGGAAGAGGAAAAGCTTGCAGGTTCTTTGGAGTGGATGCGGAGTTAGGGGGAAAGACAGGTGATGGTATTGGATGGCTGAGAGCTGGCTTGAGTGAGCTGGGTATATTAGTGGGAGATGATGGAAAGAAATCCTCTGGAATGGGATTCGGGAGATTGAGGAAAGAATGGACAGAGAAAAGAGAGGACCGTAGAGTTGAAAAGGGGAAGGATTGGGGAAGTGATGCCGGGAAAGCGGAAGAGGGTAGAGTTCTAGAAATGCTGGAGAAGAAATGGGTGAAAATGAACGACACTGTAAGCTACATTCTTCTATTCTCTGTATTCCTGAATACTAATGACTAGCGTAGATTGGTACACAGCTCGTACCTTCTATTGGAACGCTCATCTCAGCACTACCATCTGGACGGGAAATGCATACACTAAAATCTTACAACCCTCCAAGTCTTGACAATCAAGTCCTTGAGAGCATGAGAGCGCCGCCAGATCGAGCAGATACATACGAAGAGGACAATAGTTCCGATGAGGATAACAATGGAGCACCAGTTGGTGCATTCCCAGGCACAAAAGGAGATTATGCTGGAAATGCAAATTATTTCTAAATCATACATCTCTGTCTCGCCATGCATGTTACACAAGCTCCACTAGAACCATTCATCCCCAATCAATCCGCATCACCACACCGCCAGTTCACTACCCTAGCGGGACAAGTTCATCCCATCACTCGGTGCAACAATGAGATGTGCAACAAATCAACTTTCTATTCATTCACATCTCTCTAGTGGTGAGATGGTATGATCATGGGTACATCACCGTCTTACATACTCGCGCCACGTATCCATTTGCACGTGATGTGTGGATGAGCTCTGTAGATAGGAGTGATGTGGCTTGCATTGAATGGTAAGTCAATTCACATAGTTTGTGATTGATGACCAGAATGACGGTTCTGGTAGTAAGCACTGTCTCACTGCTATATGGTGGCAATGTGGGGGAGATGGTAGATTTAATTCGAAATTTTAAACCCAATATACTCTTCCTATCAATTGCGTCTGTCTTGCTCCTCACAAGTACCGCTTGTGCATATTATATGCAATTTCATAACCACAAGTTTTCAAACGCCCCAGCTTCCTGATCTGCAAGCTAGCCGATGCGATTCTTCGTCGCTTGGCATGTCTACTACAACGAGATATAGAATTTTCAGAGGTATTTGTTAGCAGTCATTTTCTTGATACAAGAGGTTGAGTTAGGCAGTACTCACATTACCCAAAATCTTCTTAACTCCTTTAGTTATGATACCTGGTCCACCAAACCCTCCAGGCCTTCCACCTAGTCTATTCACTCCTCCTGTGTTATACAACTGCTGCTGCTGTTCATTGCCTCTACGCTCACGACCCAATCCGCCATCCGATTGTGCTCGTCTCCCGCCCGAGTAGGAACGCTCACCACCAAAAACAGTACCAAGTCCATCTAGTCTACCACACCTTCCACCAAAGCCCGCTCCTCCTATCCTAGCAGCCAAAAAGTCTTTTCCCATCGGTGGATTGAACTTTCCACCTATAACCAAACTCTATGGCTTTCCATTATTAGCTGGATGATTCGGAACCGCATACCGACTCGTAAATTTCTCCTTTGGCCCCGTTGATAAAATGCTATTAGGATTATGCGCCGCATATTGTGCTCGTGCTCTTCGATCCATGTAATCGGACACAAAATCTTCTTGCCTTTTCGATTTCTCTTTGAGTTTTGTATTATGTATGGAGTACGGAGTACGAGGTAGGTAACTCCAGCTTGCTGCGTGCGCAGTGAAGTGAAGATCAGTGATGCGACGATTATAGAGTGAGTGCCACTTATTTAGGTTGCAGATGTGCTAGGTATACAGTATACGGGGATTCGATTGGTAGTGCAGGCAGGAAGACGCTGAAGACGCTTTACTGTTACTATTACTATTTCGGTGAATGAATAAATGCGAGGGATATCATCATTTTATCTGGAGGGTAGGTTCTGGATAGTTGAGAGGTATTGAGGCTTCTCCTGGAGTAGAGTATAATTCTGCGGAACGTAAGATTACTATTTTAGGTTTGTTGCGCTGTTCTGTTGTATTTATTTTGAGTGAATGGATGGATAGATTCTGGACCTTCGATTTTTTTGTTGTTATGGGTGTGGAATCTTGGATTTGAGGATTAAGGATTTGAGGTAAGGTAAGGTTGAGGTTGTAATTTGTATTGATGATAAGGTATACAGTTGTAAGACAGTTGATGATTAAAGATGATCTTAATGATGGTATCTCACTTCTTTACTTCTTTGGGGACTTCTGCGCTATTCTGGAAAACTTTGGGGGGGTTTGGAGCGGCTGTTATGGGATTGGACATGGGATTATGGATTGATCTTACTCACTTCAGTTGGAAATGGTCTAGATGTGAAGGTTATATGAAGGAGATGATTTGAGGTTCTGTTGCTTGTTGATGGGATTAAAGGCTGAGAAATGTATACGGCGTATGAAGGATAGGTGAGGGAATGGGTTTCTCAAGGGGCTATATATATCATTTTTGAGCATAGGACTTTGCAGATTTCTTTGGGAGTTTTGGGTTGAGTTTTTGATTTGGGGGACGGTAGAGAGCGGGGATTGAAATGGTGTGATGAGGGCTATTGCATTTATTTATGATACTTCGGTGACTCTTTGTCTGGGGTTGAAAATGGACAGAGAAGATATACTGCAATCAGGGCAAGGTATTTTTGAATGAACATGATTGATAATGATTGTTGTGCTAATCACATTGAATTAAAAATTAGACACTATGTCTATCTATATCTAAACTATTTTGGTATGTATCGACTTCGTCATCATGAAATTATCGTCCATCTAGGAAATTCTCATTTCTTACCCCTTCGAAATGACAACTTCAGATTACCAAGTTGAGAGCAAACTCAATGTATATATTGAATTCGAAACAATGAAGCAACTCCACCGTTCGAAACGAGATCCAACATAAACAGCGAAATCTACAAACACCCCTCTCTAAAAGCCCTCTTATTCTTCTCCGGTTCCTCCCCCAACATATCCGGATACTTCCACCTAAACCCCCACTTCAACCACAGCGCCAACTTCTTGCCCGCACCCATCTCTTTCCACTGCGTCTTCAAGCGTTCCTGTTCCTCCACACTCTTCGCTTTATACGTGGGTCCCGTACAACAGAGAAAAAACATCGATATACAACACCAGGCATACGGGACTCCTCGTTTCCGATTCATCCCCAACATAATGCCTTTAAACGAAAGCCACGATTCCAAAAGTCCAACGAGGAGCCAGAGTACGACCCATCCGACGGGTACACAGATGGCGATGAGCATAATCGCGTTGTTGCCGCACCAATAGTAGTCGCAGGTGTACGAATCGTAGTATGAAGAGCTGCTGTCGCCGCTCGAGGAGTCGTAGCTGGGATATCGCCATGTGGGTGTACAGGTTACGGTTGAGAGGATGGTGGTACATGTTGTGGTGGGGGTGTAGCAGTAACTCATAGAGTAGGGTTCGTAGTTTGCGGAAGCGCTGGCTAACGTATCGGCAGCCACATCAGTGGGGTTGAGAATGGCGTTGATGTATGTTTTGACGCTCACGCTATCATCGTAGTATGTATATTTTGAAACCGAAGTGGTGAGGACCGAAGGCGCAATAACATTTGCGACGATCGTGGGGATGGAGATCGGAACGTTGGTTACATAAGTCCAGTTCTGAGCGGTGCCCACACAACTGGGATATGGAATGTAGGTTATCGGAACCACGAAGCTGGTTCGGACATCAGTGGTTGTCGCATAGTAATCGTAGGTAGAAGTTGGTCGGGAACCGCTACCGGGTGGAAGAACTACTTCGACAATGGTAACGTGTGCATAGGCGGATGTGTCAGTAACTGTTTCAATAGCATTTGTGACGGGAGTCGCATTTGGAACGACGCCATGGGTGAGTGTTTCGACTTTGGCGCTGTAGGTGGTGCTGAGAAGGGTTTCGGCTTCGACGTAGGTGTATACGGATACTTCGACGTAACTTGTGACGATGTAAGGTGCTGGTACTGCGAGGATGGGGGCCAGGAAAAGGCAGGAGATGAGGAGAGACCTCATATTTGTGCGTGGGTATGATATCAAATTCGAATTAACTTTTTATGTCGTGATTGCAAGCGACAAAAGCAATAGTGACAGTGACAACAACAACCGACGATGAAAATAAAAACGACGACAACAACAAAACCAAAAATAGAAATTGCGCGACAATAAGGATAAATATCAACTTATAGTACGTGAATCATCCATAACCTTAAATTAAGCATGAAATTAGTTATTGAATATCACTCTCGGCGCATCCACTCCTGCCTTACAAGATCCCCTGCTGTGCCTCTTTCTATCATAAGACGGGGTGATAAATCTTCCTCTCATACTTGGCAATGTGACTGAGTGAGATTATTCGCAGAGGAGGTAAATCTTGATTAATTGATTTCTCATAAGATGGCGGAGATATAAATATACTTATATTAATCCCTTCTCACGTCTCCATACATTCGAAAATAGAGTATCCACGATGCTCAACTCTAGATCGTGAGAACATGACATTTTTTCAGAGAGATTCTTTTCAGATGTCTGGAGAGTATGCAGAGGAAAGGAAGGAAGCCTAGAAAGAGAATCTGACAGCTTGTGTGTTCGGCTAGTCTGTCGGATATATATCCTAAAAGGGTGATCTGCCAATGCGATCTAGGCTTGTTTGTTTGCACGGCTGTGAAGATGGCCTTGGGGAATTTCTTTTCGACAGCCCACTTTTGGTGACTCGTTAAGAGGTAGATGGTTTTGCAGGGGGTTGTAGGGATTTGTATGGCAGGAGATTTAAGGAGAGAGAGGGAATCTGATACAATAGGAAAATTTGATACAACAGGAAGATGTAAATTATGAAGAATTTTGAGGTTGGAAGAGTCTTGGATGTGCGTTTCTTGAATATTAGATAGAGAGGCTTAGCCATTGATATTTCTCTTGGCAGTACATAAATGTGAGTAAATCTTGGAATTGTTGATTAGAATCGATATAATCTTCACCCCGCTGTTATGAGCGGATAAACCGATATTCGAATCTATTCGACGTCCATTTGAAAAATCGAGACGTGTCAAGTGGTATTGCGCATGCTCCTGGGGGTGCCGTGCTATCTCCACAGAAATTCTTACCGCATTGGAATGTTACTCCTGGAAACATACACATTGATCGGCATAGAGAAAACCCTTTCTCGAAGAATCTTATGGTGAATGATTGTTGTAATTTTGATCATTCTTCTCGATCTTGGAATTACTAGTCCGTAATCAATTGCATAATCTTACACTGCCAGATATTCCCTTGCAAGAAATTCCAACGACAAATTCCCGCCTTCAAATACCAAGGCTCCGAACTCCATAATACCCCAGAAAAAAGGTTCATAGAATGTGGTAGGTTGCCTTTGCTTCTTGCCCGCTCCATTCTTCTGTTTCGGTTCTCTGACTGATAATTCTACTCGAATTTTGCCCCTTGAAGATTCAAACTCACACGGCCATCCTCGTCCTCCTTTCATCTTTTGTCTCCTCACCAAAACCCATACAGGTGATAATATTGGCATCAATTTAGTGATTGAAAGTGTAAGTACTGAAGTGTTAGATAAATCAATCTACTCATCGATATCTTCAAAACTAAGGAAAGCTGGCACTATGGATATGTCCGCTGTCCCGACACTTAAGAGCCTCGGAATCGGTCATCTCGAACTCTGAAAGGTCCAAATCAGACATTGAAATATCCGTATCAGATTCTATATCAAAGTCTCCCGGAGAAAATTTGGCGTCCGGCTGAGACGAATCCGTCGACGTCTCAAGCGGTGGTTCCGGTGGTTTGAATTCGGATCGACGCGTCTTGATATAAAAAGCGAATGTGCTACCAGTTGCTTGAGGATCCGCATACCCAATACCAATTGCACCTCCCTGTAACTCCGCAAGCTCCCGACAGATGAACAATCCCAGACTAGAATCACCATACTGCGTATGCGTGCTTAAAGATGTTTGAGAGAATTTTTTGAAGAGTGTCTGCCTCTCCGCTTCACTCAGTCCTTTGCCGGTGTCGGTAATTGAGCAATGAAGGTATACTATCTCTCCTAATCCCGACGAATCTTTCAAAGTCGGGTCATTTCGTGCTGTGCGAAGAGGTATGTATTGTATTTCTCGCCCGATCTCTTTGTGATAAGGGGATCCAATTGTGGCTCCAAGACGTACCATTACATTTCGGGCTTTGGATGATTTTGTGTATTGGTTAGCATTTGTTAGGAGATTGAGGAGTAGTTGTAGAAATCTTGAAGGATCGAAGCAAAGCCATTGCGAATTCAAAGCTTCTATGGAGGGGTCCACCTCGAGTCGGATATTGATATCTAATTTGGATGTTTCTCCAGAGAGCATAGACATAGCTGTATCGACAACACGAATTGGCTCCGTTCGAGTCGGTGAAATTGAAAACATATTGATATCCGGTTTTGACATCATACGAGCATCCTCCATCACTTTTTGCTGATGTTCTCCACAAGCTAGAATGATTTTCGCAATTTCGATGTTGCGCTTCACACTCGTCTTAATCTCCCCATAACTCTTTGAATTGTCATCATGAAGGACGTTGTCGTGAGTATGAGAAAGAGCTTTATTGATCTCATCGAGACTGGAGATCATGGTTTGTGCTGCTTGGACGGCGGCCGATAGTGGGTTCATCAACTCATGACTTGTCATGTTCATGAATTCTTCTCGATCTCTCTTCTCCTTTAATGCTGCATTTACTCTCCTTTCCTGCATCCGAGCAGCCCATTTAGTGTGTGTGACATCACTAAGACACCCAACAACATGCTCCACCTCCCCCTTGTCATTGAGCCGTGGGACAGCACTACATTCGGCCCACGTGTAGTAAACTTCATCCTCTCCAAATAGGGCAGGCTCTGGGACTGTAGGTCTCCAAAGTGTTTTGCACCTTCCTTGAAAGTGAACAAAGCACTTTTCTTTTATAAGGGTTTGCCATTGTTCAGCGACATATTCCCTATCCTCGTCAATCAAACAATCGAGCCATCTTAGGTTTGAATGCTCTTCTACTGTTCCGCCTGTGATTCTTGTCCTTCATACAATCCATATTAGCTAACGATCTGAGGTCAAATGATTCGTCTCATCTGCAGATATGAGGAACTTTTAATGACTGGGCGGAACATACCAGGCCTCGTTCGCGAATAATAAGCTTCCGTCTTTTGCATCGATAATAAACATGGCTATAGGAGACAATTGGCTGAAGTTGGAGAGTAGACCCGTCATATCTAAGAGCTGTTCCGAGATGGAATCTACGGCTGTAGAAGACCAATCTTTGCTACAAAAGAACTTGGCCAATGGCGTTTCAAAGGATAGAGAGGGTGTAAAACTTGTTTGAGAAGCTACGGCTGAGTTATGTGAACCGGATGACCTCATAATGGAATGGCTGTTCTCGTAACGAGAATTCAGATTGTGATTGCAAGTTTCAGCTGGAGAAACCCTATTTTGTGCAGGTATCGATTGAACGTGCTTGCAGTCGTTGGCATCGGCATCTTGTATTGATTTCGAAAATGACATCTCATGCCCAGAAACCACACACCATCGATCTCCTAATAGAACCTTGGACCATCTTTGATTCCGGAACCAATATAGATTGACTGCCTTGCTGGGTCGAGTATGTATCCATTTGACAAATGCATTTCCACCCTGGCATGAATTTCCTGAAAGCCATGAGGTAATGTCTCTGAATTCGGCGTAAGTCTTGAAAGCATCGTTCGTAAAGACTACAGGAAGCTCATAAATTTCGTTTTCTATCGACATATTAACGATGAAGGAAGGCCTGCTGTCTTGCCGGAGTAAATCAACCGCCCCGAGCTCGGCCAGAGCCAAATCTGTGCCTGTTGTCTCTTCATTATTGCTGTGCCTCGTACTTCCCCCCACATGTTCAACAGCAAGAGAATGTCCTGACCCGCATTGAGTTGTCATCTCTTTTATATCCACACAATAGTGTTTGTTTTGATTATCTTTGTCGTAAAAGCCTTATTTTCAACCGTTTCGTCTCCCAGAAATCAAGCTTGCCCCGGAATGATGACCTGGCAACAGACTCCAGTAGACAATGCAGAAGAGTGATGGTTGATTCGACGCAGTGTAGGATTTCAGCTCTTAAATATCGTTTGATTGAAGATCCATGGGCACCTGAAACAGTGAAGAATAAAACTTACGGCTTTTGTGTAGAACAAATTGTAATGAATCAATTGACTGGGTACGAAGCTCAAGATCTGAAGGACCCTTTTTCAGGATTGCACACATACTTTCGATCATCGAATCAAATTTGGCCAAAAAAAAGAAGTCTGCAGTGCTACCGTTCTTTTTGGAATTGAAGAGTAATGAGAGGGGCATTTTAAAGTTTCTCGCGATGTAAGTTTGCGGAACAATGCTAAGTAGTCCCGAGCGGTTACTCATTGATCATTGACTGGCAAAGCTCCTAGGGGTTAACAGGGAGTTTTTATGGAGAACTTGATCCTCTAGCACAAGGTCTGAGAGTATGAGAGTCAAGAGAGTTTAAGAAAATATCGGTTTTTGGAGACGGGATATGCTATCGATATCTCCACTGAGGAATGTTACTGCCGCAGTAACGGTAAGCTAACCCTGTCTCGAGTTCGTATACCAATGGTGTACCGAGTAAGAACCATCACTTGAAGATCATTTCTTGGTAAGAGGGGCTTGCTTATTCGAACTGTACAATGTCGATGAGCAAGAAAAGCTTGTCAGTGGCGACTTGGGGGAAACTCACTCGAAATCTCCACATGGATGGATGGATGGATGGACGGATAGGACAATGCACAACTTTGGACCCTTGATACAGTAGGCATTAGGAAAGTGGCGGAGAGAATACCAGTGCACATGTGGTATATTTTCAGCAACTTATGTGCTCTTGTGGAAGTCCAAGTAGTCTCGAGGCAGTGAAAAGTTTGTTGAAGGCTTGAAGCATATATAAATATCCGGAAGCACCGACCGGTACATCGTAACGTCGTAACGTCGCATACACACCTAGAGAGGTAGGTAGAACAATCGTAGGTCAAAGTCTCTTGAGTCTTGACTAGCTTTAGTTGTTGGAGGATCCATAAAATCACGTGACGCTTTGCAATTCCCTATCCTTTCCCTCTGTTGTCTCGTGTTTTATCCAACACAACATTATCCTCACAAAAAACATCAACATCAACATCAACCATCACAATTTTGTGTCTCAAATCCTTCTCTATTATGGTATAGAAGATATCTAGGTATCTATTGATTATCTTACATCTTGTCCAATAATGTATACTCTTCGGGGTCACCGTTTTCAAAGCCGGGGAAGTGAGCAGATCTAAGCAGATTCAAGCAGAATACCTTCTTCTTAACAATAATCCTTCAGAGAATTGTGCAATTGAATCCTGTAAAGTATGTACAGTGTACAGAATATGGTGAATCGGTATGAATCGAGTCACCTAAGGCGGTCGTGATTCTAACTATGATTTCCATTTTAACTTGACCAATTTTGTTCGATTCAGTTATGGACACCCAGGATGCTGGATAATGGCGGACTGCGATTACTCACCAAGGTGGTCGTGATTATGGCTATTCCGATGATGTTATGAGTACAAATTCATCTGGTAGCCTCAGAAAGCTTGCCATGTCAAACCATCAATATGCGTGTACACCCGCGCAAGCCTCTCACATCTTTCAAAACTCCGATCAAACTTTTGTATTGTCCCAGGAGAGCGACTTTACTTCGTCAACAATCGATAGTTCCCCACGCGAATCTTTCCTCTCAAGAGGCGGCATTGTTGAAGCCAATGCCAAGCAGATAAGCCTAGGTATATCGGTCATCTATCTTATTTTTGGGTCAGACTATAAGTGTTGTGGCACGCGACCTATAGTGTTGGGGTGTGCGGCCATCTGAACGGCCTTCGAATCGAAGCTTTTGTAGGATCCCGTTGTATACCCGCGTTTGTGCGTGATCCGCTTCCTCAAACTCCACTGCTCCAAAGGATTACAAGCACATGATTATACAGACTTTAAAGCTCTTTGGTTGATAATGCCTTTACGGAAAGTCGACATGATATGCCTTTCATTCAATGCCTAATGAGATATTGAAATGATGGATTCACTTGGAGCAACCTACAACCTATCAGCTATTCGACCAAGCTTACGACCTTCTTTTGCCGTGTTTTCTGTTTCTTTCGCATCTGCAGCGCCAGATCATTCCCTAGTAGTCTTCTGTGATTTTATTTTTGGCGGCGAAAGGGTTTAGGCACAAGCCCATGCTTTTCAGCGTACTACAGCCGCCTCATACCGCGCTTGTGGTCTCTTTCACGGTCATCGGTGGTCGAGTATCTCCCCTCCCCGTGGACAACTTTTGTGTGAGCAAAGATTGTACTCAGGTCTTTTTTGCTGCTATGCCTTAATTGGTGTGAAAATTTCATAGAGCTTCTTATGAAAGCCTTGTTGGATGCTTGTTGCAAAGCGGGTAAGACTGAGCATGACTTGCATATAAGCTACCATTCCGAAAATTATCCTACGATCATCATCCAAACTCAAACACTCAACTCATAGCAATCCGATTGCACTCCAAAGTTTTGATTTTATCATCCCCATAATATTCTTTACTGTTCGCTTGAACAGTACCCACAAAGTTGGCGAGTAAATTGATGAGTAGTTTCTTGTATAGACGACGCAAATTGAAAATATGAAGCCCATCAAGCCATCCAACGTTTCCTCCTCTTCTTCTTCTACAAACTTTTTTTCATTCACTTCAGATCCACCATCTAATATCTCCATTCCTCCCGCAATATATACAAACAATGCATTAAATAACAGTAACTCTACTCCACCAACTCTCCCTAGCATTTCCACTATCCTCCAACAACCTCTTCTTCCATTACCAATAACAAGCACAAGAACCCACAACCCTATCACTCGTCTCTCAACCAGAAACCCCGCTTCCAGCGCCGCTGTAGTATCAAATACCTCTACTACCACTAGAGGTCTAGTCGCAACCCAAAGAACCAAAATCATCAAAACATTCGTCTCCCCCAAAGGCTGCACGAAAATCATCCTCATGATCACCATTACTACAATGCAAGAACCATTTTTCGACAAGGAAAAAAATTCATGGGTTATGCGACGCACGACTGAAATTCGAAAAGTGATGGTGAGAAAACGATTGCGACCAGATTCTAATGATAAGAAAAATGGTATCGTGAAACGTAATATAAGAAATGCGAAAGGGAAGGGAAGAAAGGGAAGAAAGGGGTCAAAGAAGGGTGACTTCGATTCAATGTGAATATTATCCGATATTACATTATCTTCGCTCCGCCGCGTAACGGAAGCGGCGATGATTGCACACACATAACGTGATCATGAGATACTTGTATATATGGGTGAGGGATCACAGGGTGGGATATGGGATGAGGGAATTAGGTATGGCATGGCATGTGGCGCACAAAAAGATGGGATGGGTGGATGCATTGGTAGGATAAGGGAAAGGGAAAGGGAAAGGGATATACCATGGCGTCGCATAGCATAGGATAGGTAGCATAACGTTGGAACTTGGGGATAAAAAAGGGATGGTGTTGGGGCGTAATTTTATCTTGATTTTTGTTCCATCGTTTGACTTGATGGGTTTGGATGCTTTATTAGTGTTGAAAAATACGCTTTTGGGTGTAGGATATTTTCAATGAAAGTATCTTGGTTGAAAACCTTAGACAGATCACAGTAAGAAAGCTAGACTTGACGTCGTAAGACACTTCACAACATCACTTTAACATTATTACTGAGATATCCGCCCGCCAGTCTCCTTCATTCAACCGCTAACATCCAATGTCCACTCAAACAACAACGACGCTAACCCTCCATCCACAAATGAAAAGTAGGAAAACAAAACTCTCAAATGAATGTCCATCCATATATCATTCCATGTATACCATTTCCCCATTATCTCTCTCCCCTATCCCATCCAATCCCGTCCCCTAAGCACCCCCATCAACCCATTCAATCACCAATTTCACCTCTTGACAATCTGTAGGTAATCCCTGCGTCCCATTAATATATGCACGAACTGGACTTCCTTCCAAAAACGCATCGGTTTGGCTTTGCGTTGCGTATGGGTTTGGTGATCCATAGGTTGGAGGAATTGGAGATGATATTTGAGCGCAGAAACGGGCTTGGTTATCTGAATTTGGGGAGGTGGTGTTAGTGTATATTATTTCCTCATTAAAAAGTTCATCCAATAACCCGAAAGAAAAAAGAAGATCAAAGATGCGAAAACTAATCTAAAAGAAGTGAAAAAGAAACATACCATTCCCAATAAACTCCCCATTTCTCAACTTCAACAAATTCCCATACGGATACTCACTCGTCGAGTCCACCACCAACGAGCCATTCAAATCCTTACCTCGCATATCCCTCAACGAATTCCGTGTCTGTAAAACCGTATATCCAGAATCCCACACGCGTGCGAATTCTTCTCCAAAATATCTCGTGTTTGTGTCGGGATTTCCGGAGTGAGAATGAGAAGATGACGATGAGGAACCGGAACAGGAAAGTAGGCCGGATGAGGAGATGGAGAATATGCATGCGGAGTCGCGAAAATTGGTTGTGAGACCACGAGCAGATATGAAGGGGGAGGGGGGTGAGAGATTGAAGTAGACGCGCATGATGTATGTGAGGAGGGAGTAGCGGGAGGGAAGGAGTGAGAGGCGGAAGGGGGCGGAGGTGGGATCGGTTGAGGATGTTGGGATGGCTGGGATGGAGGGTGAAGTGAATGTGGGTGATGAAGCGGGATTGTAGCCGTAATAGCCTCCGCTGGCTGGTGGCGGTGGTGGTGGTGGTGGAGCGGGATTGTTTGAATTGGAGGGTGTAGAAGAAGAGGGATCAGTTCCGGAGGGAGATCCGGAGGGGTCGTTTAGCCCGCTCGAGGCTGTGGGTGAAGATGGATCACTGTTGGTTGGACTTGGTGGGGAAGGATCTCCACCGGTTCTACTTGGGGAAGACGGATCCCCACTAGGAATAGTTGGCGAGGAAGGATCTCCAGCAGAAGTACTTGGACTCGAAGAATCACCCTCAGAAGTGGTAGACGCTCCAATCGACTGACTACTCGAAGAAATCGCCCCTGTGGCTGAAGAAGATGCCGAAACACCACCACTTCCCGATGGATCACTTGAATCACCTCCATTTCCAGTAGGCGTGGGTATGCTAGAAGGATAATAACTACCATATCCATATCCATATCCATAACTTGGTCCACCATTTCCACTTGGAGGAGTGCTCGAAGTTCCAGATGGGTCTGAAGGATACGTGCTAGAAGCTGCTCCGGGAGGATCTATGCCTCCTGATGGATCTGTAGGGGTTGAAGAACTGTCAGAAGGGAGCGAACTTGGGATAGTCGATGATGATCCAGAAGTCCCGGATGGGTCTGCGCTTGCGTTGGTTGAAGAGGCTAATCCTGGATCTACAGGAGTTGAACCGCCTGATGGAAGAAAACCACTGCTTGTTGGGGAGCTAGGATCAGTAGGTGTAGATCCTGGGTCGACAGGAGTTGAACCGCCTGATGGGAAAGAGCCACCATTTGCTGGAGAACTAGAATCAGTGGCTATAGATCCGGAACCTCCTGATGGGTCTGCAGTCACACTAGTTGAAGAAGCTGATCCTGGATCAGTAGGCGTGCTAGATATAATTCCCGATGGATCAGCACTGGCATTGGTCGAAGACGCTGACCCTGGATCTGTAGGTGTGCTAGACCCAGCTCCTGATGGGAAAGATCCACCACTTGTTGGAGAACTAGGATCAGTGGGTATAGATCCAGAACCTCCTGATGGATCCACACTGATATTAGTTGAAGAAGCCGAGCCCGGATCAGTCGGCGTGCTAGATGCAATTCCAGGTGGATCTCCAGCACCTGAAGTTGGTGATCCAGGAGGATTAATCGGGTTCGACAGTGTTGGATATCCATAGTATGATGGACCAGTTCCAACACTACCTGGATCCGTGGGTGCTGCTGAATAACCTGGAATAGGTGGCCCGCAAGGAGGTAGTGCTGTAGATATACCGGATGGGTTGCCGGTAAGACTTATTTGTGTTGGTCCGTTGGCTGTTACTGAGCCTGTGATTGATGACGATGAATTGTAGGGAGTCGTTAGTGCGGTACAGTTGTCAACTTGTGATCTATTGATTTCTATACCAGAATTAGCCTTCTCGTTTTGTGCTCTGAAGTATTCTAAGATTCCTTCTTCGCTAGTCGATAATGTTGACTGGAGGCATCCAAAATCTTATCACCAGATATGGAATCAAATATTCAAACCTCCTTCAGCATGGGTAGGTCCTTTCATGAAATATTGGAACATAGCTCCCGCCCTTTTTCCTCTACCTTAAAAGGAACACAACAATACTGGAACAAGAATAAGAAACTACCTACCAATAGCAACAGAATCCCCATTTTCTCCGCAATTTGCAGCTATACAATAAACAGTAGCAGCCTGAATAGTCTCCGCATTACTTTTCTCACATTGACAAGTAATGTTCGTGAGTCCACAAGGAGTGGATCCAATTGCATTCTGAATGCAACTATCCGCACAAGCAGGGATAATGAATGTGGCATTTGATGACGTATTTGGTACTGAGGAGGGAAGCGAGCCCGCAACTGATGAAGGAACAGCAAATGGGGGACTGGGATCAATGGGAGAAGTAGTAGGGACAGATGATGGAGCTGCCAATAGGCTAGTAGGAGCCGAAGTTGGGGCCGCGGATGTTATTGCTGAAGGGGCTGCCGAAGAAGAAGCCGCACCAGCATTTCCAGCTGCAAGCACAGAGGAACATTCTGCAGTAGCATCATCTAGGACCTCTGTATAGTATCAGTCTGAACTTTCCATTACATTCAATTCACATAAAAGAGAAATACTCACGAAGAGCTTCCTGGATTCCACAAGCCTGAAGTACACAGCCTGTGGCTACTCCTTGGATCAAACTAGCATTGCCAGGATCACACCGACATGCTAAATCCGTGGCACCACAACTCGTTTCGGCGGCTACTGCTGATGCAATGCATGGAATTGCACATGATGGGATTGAGGGGGCTGGAGCTATTACTGGGCTAGGATCATCGCGGTTAAGTAATTGAGCAGGAATCCTAAAGAATGTAGTATTAACGCACTGTTGAGCTGACTTGCAGAAGGGTAACGTACAATGCAGAGTTAACACATACGAATAAAGAAAGTAAGGTAACGAATGTCTGAACCATCATGGCTTACCTGGTAAGCTTAAGAAGGTCAAAGAAGAGAAGAAGAAAAATAGAAAAGAAAAGATAGTTGCTCTTATCACATCCTTGTTCAATGGGTATGGTAGTCATATATCCTCTTCCATAACACACACAATCTCTCAAAAAGGTCACCAAATCACAAACACAGATTTCCTCACAATCACTTAAAGACTTATGATCTTCTGTGATGCACTTGTTGTAGATTCGTCCGATCTCCCCACGAGGTTTGATGATGTATATGAATCAAGAAATATATGCAAAAAGAGATCAATCTCCGACGCCGTACTAGTTCCTGGCCAGCGGATCTTCGATAACGGATGAAATCCCTCCAGAACTCCCCTTATTGGCTCCCAATCCATGTTGCGAAGCCATGATATCACGTGCTGATCTCCGACATAAATGTTCCAGACACAAATGTGTGACGGAACAATAGGACAAACTTCTATCACCCCGCACAGGTAATGATATATGATGATGTTTATATCGATGTCATACCTCCATCGTACAAATAATTATAAAAGCTAAAATGCTCTGCCTCTTTCAGACTCCGCTGTGGCCATTGTATACTGCTCATTCTCTAGAGTTTGTAACACATGTTCTCGCTCAGCAATGACAGCGTCAAACCATCGGACCTCGGCGACCTTATTTCTTGCCCACTCTCTCCACTCATCTCGCATTTTCTGCTTGAATTCGGCATCCTCCAAAATTTGGGAACTCGTCAGAGATGTCCTTCTTGACTCGAAATTCTTGGTGCACTCATGTAGAGCGATTTTCCTGTTGTAGTCCCAGTTTCTGAACGCTAAAATATAACCTTCCTTGTGTGAATCCTTCGCAGCTCCAATATTGTATACTGCATCCGGTTTGTCTTTCCAGAATGCTTCGAGCTTTTCCGTATTTTCCTGCACAGCACGGATTTCCTCTTTCCGACGCTGATCGTATTCGTTTCGGAAACGAAGCTCTTGGTTCGTGTATTCTGTTTCGTATTCCTTCTTTAACTGGTCATGTTGGCTTGAATGGCGACGTAGTAGCTTGTAGAACCCATCTTCTCGTTCTTGTAACATTTTAAATTCCTCCTGCGAGCGAGTGGCAAGACGTGATTTTTGTGAACGATGTAACACATTCAGCTCCTCTCTTATTTCGATGAAGTTGGAAGCTATTTCTGCAATTCTTGTATCGTCTCGGCGACGCAGAATGGCTTCTTCCAATTGAAAAACACGTTCGGCTTCTCCTCCTACTTCTTCGGCCTCTCGTCGCTCAAAATCCTCGACCATTTGAATAGCAATGCGTTCTTCTTCAGCCACTTTCCTGATTCTTACAGCCTCCCGCCTGATTCTTTCTTCTTCTTGCCTAGTTATTAATTCCTGTAACTGCGTTTCTCGAGTAGCAGCTTCTTGTCTCAATTGCAAGTTTAGTACTAACCTATCAAGTTCAAATTCTGTACATTCACAGGTCTTCCATTTGGCAGAACAAACGTAACACCATTCGGCTCTACAATGGCATTTCATATGCCTACAGCCTTTGACAAATTCGATGAAAATCCTACAATTATAACATTGCTTCCACCCTCGCTCATCTGCTAACCTGACTGTAGCTTGAAAATCTTTGTCCTGAGGACACTCCATCTTTTCGTGCCATGGACCTCTGCAAGTGATACACAGTTTTGTTTTGCAAGAAGGACAAGATGCGCATTTGAGGCCTTTGTTGATCCAATTGTTGGGAATCCACTGTTCACACCTTGGCTTAACACAATAGATCCGGTCGCCTGCAGCGATCTCTCGCTCCGAAACCTTCAGTTGAAATGTTTTTGCTAGGTCTGGTTTGATATTTTTTAGAATGACCGTATGTGGTATATCGTTGAGACAGCACTTAACAGGCCACATCGACTCTATTTCTATGGCAGTACTGTATTTTGTTAGATGATTCACGATGCGTATCTCGGAAACGACTTACACGACTAGTCTCTCGAAACAATCTTTGCAATAGTCGTGGCACTGCACATGAACCATGTCACTCACTGGAAAATCATCCAAACATGAGACACATTCTCTTTTTGATCGATTAGCAAGATTTCTTTCTGATTTCGAGGTTCATACCTTATAGGCTCTGCAACTACTGATTTGCCCTTATCCTGTCTCTTCTTAAGCATTTTTACAAACCTAGCAAGAGGGGCAAATTTGCTATATCCCCGACGAGAAAGCCTTGAACCTGACTCTGAGTGAGATCTGTCTACAGCAGAAATATACCCCGAATCAGATGTCGTACTAGTCTCCGTTGATAGTTGACTGTTTACTCGAGACGGCCGTTTTCCCTCAATACTTGAAGTGTCTTTGTCTGTTGCAACTGTCTGCATGTTCTGGTAAATGACATGCTTCAACCCGATAAACCAAGTTACTTACTGGAGGCTTTGGTCTTGATGACGGACCTGCTACGGTGACATTGGATGAACTGGAAACTTGGGGACTTTTGCCGGGAGCTGATATACTAGTCGACTCGTTTGATTGAGATGCAGCTTCGAGAAGTCCCAACGTTTTGCGGGACACAGCTTCACTTATAGATCTCGTGATTATTGTAGAGACTTTCGGCATACCCCATTTGGAGCCATTGAAATCTCCAATCCCAGATAGGATTTCTGCTGGTGGGCTAAAGTCTTGCCAATCGACACCGTGCATTAGAATATTAGATGTAAAAGTCAGAGGTTCATTGAACTTAGATTGTAAGGCTTCGTGGAAGTGGCGTAACTCCGCTTCATATAAAATGCCGTAAGGATTTCCGTTCGAGGCAGGTAGTTCTCGTATACTAACCTGCATTTTGTTGATCACTATTTGCAGCTTTGGCACTGGCACGTTTTCCATATTTGCTTGAGGGTTTCCGAACAACATATTTAGGTGCCCTGTAGGTGTCTTAACAGCTTGATGGCAGAAGCTGAGTGTAGTGAATGAAACTGATCATATTCTTCTTGGGGAATGATATTGATGACGATAAATCAATAGAAGATTGATGCTTAGAATGAATTGAACTGGCGCGGTATAAGGTATTTAAGTACAGAACCCATACAGCGACGATTTGTTCTATTCCTTCCCCATACTCATAGGATGCACCAAGAGGCTGCTAGAGTGAGATCAGAATCTATCCATAGAGGAAACAGAATCATAGTTACTGTAGCTCATTGATCCATCAAATGCCAAGACCCAATATAAGTCATGAACCATGCGCTAGAAAATTGGGCAAGGCCAATCAAAGTACTTTTTAGCAATGCCTTCAAAATTTAAGTTTTGATGTACAGCGCCCTTAGTTTGCGGCCAGGCTTTCCTCACTTCATGGCAAGGCGCATGAATATGTGGATATGCAATTGGCTGCGAAATCTTGTGTTTGCCTACTCTAAGGCTGCTCAGCCTCCCACAATGAAACATATATTTCAATTGTGAGAGGCTTCACCAATAGTGAGGTAAATTGGCATACTGGAACGCACTGCAAAGCTTTCAGTAATGTAGGAAGAGGCGGATTATAAAAGTACCAATGTATCAAAGCTAGGCAGTTCAGAAACTTCAGTGTGCTGTTGTGACTTTGAGTTGAGACTAGAAGAACTAAGTGGAATGATGACGTGCGTTGGTGGAATCCTGGGGTAATCCATCGCCTTTCATATGATAAAGTTGGCCAGTACTCCCAGGAAAACATCATCTGCACATGAAAATATCTAGTATGCACAGAGATAAGATATCTGTAGTAGTAATGGTTTCTCGCCTATCTTTTCCGGGTTAGATTTTACTCGCCGGATGCTTTCCATTAGACCTCAAAGTCATAAGCAAAGAAGACCCATCAAACATGCCAACATTCACCTTGTGGATTTATGACGATCAATATTTTCACATGTGCAAGTCTCGTGAGGAATAGGTGATTGACCATATTAGTATATTTTACTCTGGATAGTATCGCCTTCTCGAGTCCCTGGGCATATTCAAAGTCGAGGGGTAGAAGTAACGACTAGGTCATCAATCTTATAAGAGATACTGTATTTAGTTCTCCGAACTGAAACTTGAGATCTTGATCTCCTTGGGCATCAAGATCACGATTTCTCCGTCAGCGTCTTTCCAGCATGCATCGCCGTATTTCAGCTTATTTTCACTAGCACAAAAAAGCATGAGGTATATTTCTTTGACAACCCCACCCCAACAATAAACCCTTACAGTATTCCAATCATTGGTACGTTCAGCTGATATGCCCCACCCTAAATCGCCTTTCGGAATGACTCGAAGAAGGTAAGACCAAAGCCTTTTCTTGAGAAGATCCCCGAGATCTTCTGTGTGAATAAGCCAATATCCGCGCTCCAAAGGGCGACAGGGCCGAGTCTGAAAAGTAGGATTAAAATGTCTCTTTTGCAATCCATTAAAATTCCCGCGGTTTGCTTTGATCTTTTTCAATGAAGGCGTAAAAATATCGGTCTCCTTGAAATCACCGGCAGAAGTGGGGGGCGTGAAAGATGGAATTGTGCATGTTTTCAGGGATGCTGCAGATGGCAAGCTCGACATTGGAGGTACGGAGCTTGAAGGAACGGAGCTTGGAACACCAGAAGCTTTCGGTGCCTCAGGAGCTGTAGATGTGGGAGGTCTTTGAGGTGCGGGAAGAGACGCCGACGAAGTTTCAGCTGTGGTATCTGAAATCACCAATTTCAGCCTCTTGGGACTCTTGTCCAATGACGATGGAAAATCGAGTCGCTGACGCTTCCCGTACACATGTTGGGGCAGCGCGCTAGATGATTCTGGAATCTCCGGTGTATTGGATGTTGAACCCTTCTTTGAAACTTCACTCGGATTCATTTCTTCAGGCGTAGAATCTGCTGCCTCTTCCGTCCCTGTAGCTTGACTTGCACGTCGACTTGAAGTATTCGCAGCCTGCCCTGAAGCCTGCATATTATTGAAGCTGTCAAAATTCATCATGTCAAGATCATCTGCATCGGAAGTCGCAATTGGAAGTGCGTTGATATGCTGATATCCAGCCTTATGCCGTCGACATGGGGGAGAAATCGTTTGGGGACGCCGGGGTGGTAGCGAGATGGCGGCGTCAAAATTGGGATCAACATTACCATTACGAGAGCTAGTGATTGGTATTGCTAGTGGCACCTCAAGACTCAAGCTACTCTCATCCGTAAACTGTGATATCTCATTCGCATCAAGACTGTCTTGTGTGCTCTCCTCTTGTTGTTGATGTAACTCTGAAATCCTCCTCGGAGATGAAAATTGCGCAAGTATTTTATCATTCTCAAGCATGGAATCCTCGATTAAACTAGATGCTCTCTTTGATGGTGACGATGAACCCGTAAATTGATCCCGCCCCGACGTTTTATCTCCAGAATTTATTCCCAATTCAGGGCGACTTTGCTCTGGTGTTTCGCTTCCAGACTGTACTCGCAAACCCATCAAAGTCCTGCTTCGAGTTCGAAACATTGGAGAATTTCGATTATCCAAAACACTTCGAAAAGAAAGTTGCGGCGAATACATCAGGTCAGATAACTCCTCCTGAGGAATTTCACAGTATGCCCCCGGGTTCGTCTCTGGTTCTTGGGTTGGTGGGCAATAAGAGGCATTTTCATCGTATTCCTGCGTCAAACCTTGCGCATCTTCAATTAGACCATCCATTTCTCCTCCATTTCCAGCAGCGTCTTGTGGATCGTCTCGTAGTTGTAGGCTTGTTGCTGATTCGAAATTTAAATAGGCTGTTGCAAATGCCCGGTATCTAGTATCATCTTGGCCTCGACTTGGTGCTGATGTGTGAACCAAGATCTCTACGCTTTCTCTTGATGTGCGAGCCATTGTAACCGTAAGTTTGTATCTTGTGCATTTTCCTTGATCGTAGACCTGTAGGTCTTAGGAAGTGACGTGAGAGACTGAGATGGGACTTTAGATTTAACATTTCCTAAAATCATTGATGGTATGGCAGACAGACGCTCCGACCACCTAGCGTAGTAGGATGTAGCCTGAGGCTGGAACTACTTGGAACTCTGAACCCAATGGAATTCCAGACCCTTTCGAACAAAACAACACCACAAATTCATTTCATTGCAAATGCACCAGCATCAAAGGATGTCATCATTGTTACACTTCTAGATGAATTGATAGTTCCTGTTATTGTTTGAACTCCCTTGGTACACAAGTTACTCAAAAAAGTTTGTTGGAGGTTCACCAGGTTTTGGCAGTGCTTACACAAGGCCTTTTATGTTGATGCAAGCAGTACTGGTACTGTCATTTGAAATGAGTTGCTGCTTTTCATTCATTCCTCAATCTTGGAGTTTGTCATGGATTTGATTTATCTGATCGTTTTTGCTTATATACCTAGTGATTTGCAACCAAAGTCCAAAGTCTAAAAAAGTCTAAAGAACTCACACTTGCTAGGGACAATCTGTAGCGAAAGCTACCCCTAATCATATGGCCGGTAGCTTTCCTTCATCATTTGGTCCATCATAACATGTACAACTTTCTGATCGGGCAAAAAGACTGAATGATACCAAGTGGCTTCCTATTTGAACAGCAGAAAAGTGCTAGTAATTAACATTCTCCAGCAATCAATCCTAGTCAGACATTGAATATATGCAGTGAGATCAAACTGTCAGTCAAGTGCCCGTTGGTGCCTCTAAACAAAGAACAATGATATGTCTTCATGAAACTACCTTTCACTTTCAATGAACACTGAAACTTAGGGATTGATTTCTACGACTTCTGGATTTTACAATCATACAACTTCTGTTCTTGGGCTGATAAGTTACAAGTAACTTGGATCACATATACCATAAGGTAATCGCCACACAATTCTAAGTCACAAAGATATTGAAGAGAAACTAACCAAACAAATTTACTAACTTCACTCCATTACAATAAACCAACAGTATGCCTCCCTTAATACAAAGTGCTTTTCAGACCCGCAAACCAGGCCTTAGTCCTGCTGAATTCAATACCTACTACGAAACCATTTATCTGCCTCTGCTCGTCTCCTTACAAGGCTCCTCCTTCCTCAAAAGCCACACCCGTAGCTACGTTATCCGCACTGCATGCGATGCTTCATCCTTCGATACATCAAACTCGAACTATCGAGCCAGTGTATATTATGGCACAGATCATCAAGATATCGATTACGATATATATAGTGAGATGATTTTTGAAGATGAGAAAGCATTCAAGGCTTTTGAGAAGGTGATGTTGGAAGATCAACAAAATTTTCAAGGGCCGGGAGGTCTTAAGGTCGTGGGTCTTGAGGTTTTAGAAGCTACGTTGAGACCTTCCAAATAGCTACATATGAGCCTTGAGCAAATGGCTAGGCTGGTTGAAATATAGGGGGTAGAACGCATTTGATTTATGACACCTTTCATTACTTTGATCTGATTGCCAAGTAGATGGATGAAGACTAGTCATTTAACTTGGTTGGCAGTCTATGATGAACATGTACCTAGTGCGTATCTGGAGTGTGAAGGTATGAAAGTCATTAGATGAGGAATTCAGAATGTCTTCCCTAGATATGACTTTCTAAATCTGACTTTGGCTGTAAAGATTGAAGAACATATGATTCAGTCAACCTTGTGAATAAAATTGTATATTGGATCATATCAAACTTGAAAGGAGTATTGATGAATTAGTTCAATGAGAACAGACCTTAGTAAAGGGGCTCTGACTAGATCAAACGAGAGTCACCAGTAGTCTTTTTCATCAGGCCGTCACGTGTAAGGTAAACACAAGTTTTGGACTTAAATTCCAGGTATCACCTGCTATCGCGAACTTTTGCCCCGCTAAGATTTTCCTCCACAAATCGAAAATATTCAACGAATTCATAGTTGGAGATCTGAACGTTTCCTCCCTTCCCGCATATCTCAACGTCAATCTTTTGCCGCAATCATGGCACCTATTTCACTCTCAGATATCATCTCTGCGCTCCCATCAGAGGATTCATGGGGACCATCGACCACATCAGAAACCACATTAGATGGAGTTCCTTACGCCCCATACTCAAAAGGAGATAAATTAGGTCGCATGGCAGATTGGACTGCCGAAGGAAAAGATGGAAGAGATGGCAGAGGTGGTAGACAGCAGTACAATCGAAACTACAGAGGTGCGATTTTACCTCGAATTTATTTGCTATTTATTTGCGATTTTCTTTACACGCACTGGAGAAAGTTACGTATGATATGATTTTTTTGTGCTAATATATTCTTGTGCATCAGATCAACAAGTTTACGGCGCTGGAACTTCCTCATTATTCGCAGTCCAACTCGCAGAGGATGAATCTACCTTCTCTGTTGTCAGCAACACTCGCGATTCTACCAAGACCCGCTTTGGACGTGGAGGACTCGCTCGAGGACGTGGACAGCGTGGCGGAAGAGGTGATACCCGTGGTGGTAGAGGTCAATTCCAGAGAGTTGGAGGACGAGGCGGGCAACAAGGCTACAATAGTTACGATACCCGCGGTGGAAGAGGTGGTGCTCGAGGTGGAAGAAAATTTGGCTGGAAGGATTACGACAAGCCACAAAGAAATCGCGATGCCTCTGTTAACATTAAGCCTGACTGGAAAATGTTGGAGGAGATTGATTTCAACCGTCTGGCTAAGCTCAATCTTGATACTGATGATGGAGAAGATATTGACAGCTATGGTTTCCTTTACTACTACGATCGATCATTCGACAAGCAACCTGTCAAGGCCGCCGAGAGAAAGCTCAACGTGGTCGATCGCGCTTCATACAACGTTACTACATCTTCAGATCCCGTCATTCAAGAACTCGCCGAGAAGGATGAGGCCACAATTTTCGCAACCGACAGCATTCTTTCCATGCTTATGTGCTCCCCTCGTTCAGTTTATCCTTGGGATATCGTCATCGTTCGACAAGGCAACAAAGTGTTCCTCGACAAGAGAGACAATGCCACACTCGATATGGTTACCGTTAATGAGAATGCTGCTGACGCTCCAATGGATGCTTCAGAAGGCAGCAAGGACGCTATTAACCAGCCAAGTGCTTTGGCTGAGGAAGCTACATACATCAACCACAACTTCGCAAACCAAGTCATGAAGGAGAGCGACAGCCAAAAGGTAGAGATGGAGAACGAGAACCCATTCTATAATTCCGCCGAAGAGACCGACCCACCTGCCAGCAAGGCATACAAATACCGTAAATTTGATCTTTCTTTGAACGACGAAGATCCAGTTCACTTGGTTGTAAGAACCGAGCTTGACGCTGTTTCAAAGAATGCCATCAGTGGAGAAGATCAATTCTTGACTGTCAAGGCTCTTAACGAATTCGATTCCAAGGCACAGGGAAGTGGAGGTGCATTAGACTGGAGGACGAAGTTGGTCAGTCAACGTGGTGCTGTTGTTGCAACTGAAATGAAGAACAACAGTTGCAAGCTTGCAAGATGGACAGTTCAAAGTATTATCGCTAAGGCTGATGTCATGAAACTCGGGTATGTATTTTTAACGCCTGTGGTCACTGACTTATACTAATTTTTGATAGATTTGTTTCCCGTGCCAACCCAAAGCTCAACGATCGTCATGTAGTTCTCGGCGTTATTGGCTGGAAGCCACGTGATTTTGCTTCGCAAATGAACTTGTCCCTATCCAATGGATGGGGTATTGTCCGTACCATTGTTGATATGTGCTTGAAGCGTGAAGAGGGCAAATACGTACTTGTCAAAGATCCTAACAAGCCAATCTTGAGACTGTACCAAGTTCCAGCTGGTAGTTTTGAGGATGACGGAGAACATGATATAATTCAGGAGAATGTCGAGGAGGATGATTAGATTATATGTGGTTGCACAAAAAAGTATCCAGCGTTCAATGGTTCTGGGTTGGGCTGGGCTGGGCCTCATGGAGTTATGATAATGCGCATATATCGTAAATAACCGATATCACATATGCTATATTTGATGAGTTCGAGAGAACCTTTTACCTTACACCCTTCTTTTCATAGATTGCAATCTGATCAATTCGCTCGAGACAAGGTTGACTAAATTTGCGAGTAAACGATTACAAAGAGTGTTATGCTGATATCCTGGTCAATTCCCCTTTGTTACGCGGTGCGGTTAGACTAAACCTATTACAGTCATTGGTATAGTCAATTAGATGAAGATTGATTTCCAAGCTTGATTCCCAATGCCTTGAATATCAATCTCACTTCATAAGTCAACTGCTCTATTTTCTGACCACCCCCTAGTTTGGGCTACCTTTCATTGTCAAACCCCTTGAAAATCAAGATGATGGAGTCAATACAGTAGTAGTAAATTCATAATCGATTCAGTTCAATTCGTCAATATAGTACTGTGATTTTACACTGTAATATCACTTGAGGGTCTGGAAGCTAATAAGACTACGAAGCTATGTTTTGTAGTACCGAGGTGTTAGCGCAAGTACGGTCACATGATTATGATCCTGACAGGCTTTTCTGCGGAAGCGTTGAAATTTAAGGTTTAGAATAGACGTTGTGAATCGAGGGTAGTGGATCAATATACACTTTCGACACGTTTCATGAACTCTCGAGTGCAGAATATCGTCCTTTTGATCTGATTATCCTCCAATTCAAATTGCTATAGTGGATGTTGGTTGGTTAGTGGTCAATGATCAGTGAACAATCGCAGCCGAGGACATAAGAAGCAGGTCCAATGTCGTTACGTTGCTTTATAAGAATTCGGCGATTGCTTTGTCAGATGTCTGAAAGAGGAATTGAATGATATTGGGGATATTGCTGAGTTGGCAATGGGTGTAGATTCCGAGAATGGATTATTAATGCAGATTCTGGGATCCACGGTGGTGAGTATATAATACTTGACGGGTTCCTTCATTTTCATTTCTTTTGATATCTACTTTCATATTCAAACCCACTTGCATTTGACTTAGCTCTGTTACAAAGAACAACATTTTCCCCTCTTCTGGAGAATTCATACTCAAGCACAACCACATCCATTGCTCAATAAAGCTTCAACTCTTGCACGAAAATCAGACACATGATCTACTCAGTTATCCTCCTTTGTCCAAACGCATACCAAAATTGAAAATGAGTGAAACACCAGATCCTGAAGCGTATACCACGCCTTTCGCTATCACTAAATCTATTCATCGTAATCCTTATTGGGCTATCGATTCTAAAAATCCAGCGAATAACCAATCTGGTAAAATTATTATTATCACGGGAGCTAGTGCTGGTATTGGAGCTGTAAGCACTGTTACATATTCTCTGTCATACAATCTTGATTTTCTATTCTAACAATATCTCAAATTAGGCAGCGGCAAAAGTTTGGGCTGAAGCACATGCATCTGGTATAGTGCTCGCAGCTCGTCGAGTCCAACCTATAGACTCTCTTATCGAGAAGCTTCAGCCTATTAGTCCTGAAACCAAGTTTCTTAGTGTGAAAGTCGATATTGCAAATGAAGAAGATGTTAAGAAACTTTATGAGACGGTACAGAAGGAATTTGGTAGACATGCTGATGTACTATTGAATAACGCTGGATTTATGTCAAAGGGTATGATTGGAGAGGAGGAACCAAGTGCTTGGTGGAAGGGATTTGTGAGTTTTTTACGTCGATATCAATGTCCATCTCAACTCGTTGAGATGAGAAAATTGGAAAGACGAAACTAACATTTGATGAAACTAGGAAATTAATCTCAAAGGTCTCTATAATATGACCCACCACTACATCCGATCCCAACCTTCCCCTAAAACGCCGACTGGCACAATCATTACCCTTTCCTCCGGACGCGCTGGTCTCACAGGACCTGGTGGTTCCGCATACAATATCTCTAAAATTGCCGAACAACGTTTCGTCGAACATCTTCACCTCGAATATCCTTCCCTCCGTGTTTTCACTACGATGCCAGGAATCGTATTGACTGATATGGTGTCAGACAGCTTCAAACCATATGCACTTGATCATGCTGATTTGACCGGTATGTTGGCATTGTATCTAGCTCAGGAGAGAGCAGACTACTTGAGGGGGGGAATGGTTGGAGTTAACTGGGATGTTGAGGAAATGGAGGAGTATAGAAAGGAGATTGCGGAGAAGAAGGCGTTGCAGACTACTTGGATTTCTATCCTGCCTATCAATGGTGGAAAGGGACTAGCCGGGTTGAGGGATTAGCTCCAGGAATTTAGCGGAGTGATAATTATAGGAGTGGAAATATTCAGAAGTGGTCTGAAATATTGATTTAAAGTTTAACGTTAAAAATAAGGAGGTTAAGCGAAGCAAAATCCCTCCTTTTTAGGGGAAGAAAGGTGAATGTTTAGTATTGGCGAGTGATACAATGGATCTTCGCTCAATCACCCTCATGAATCGTGTTTTATCCTTGCCTTCCCAAAATTGAATCTCATTCGCTACTTAAATGCCATTTGGTCACTTTCTACCCCGCGTTTTCATCAGCCGCCCCTACTAACATAGGTTATACGACTGTCAGATCTCCAGACAGAGAGCCAATCACATCGCACAAGCGAATACGAATGCCATGCTGTTAACCATCATGAGAAAATCTTACAATCCTTATTGTTATTATAGTTATCTATTAAACTATTTCCTACTCCTTCATTCTATCTTTCAAGCTTAAATCAAAAGATTTATATACATATGAGATCAATATCAAAATGAACGATCCTCCTCCCCCGTATACATCACGTCCGCCCTCATACACAGAAAGAACACCTCTTCTACATCTCCATCTGCCAACTGAACCTCGTCCTTACCAAACTCCAGCTCTTAGATCGGACGATGCGTCGAGGTTTAGAGCAGCTACTTGGATGTCGATTTTTGTTATCTCGTTGGTGGGCGCATTTTATATTGTGCTTATTATGGTGGTGGGATTCAGTATTTTTTGGCCCAAGGAGGGGGATTGATGAATACTGAAAAGTAAAATGGGATGTGGAATCGATGGAATTTAGTGAGTAAGGAGGTATACTGGGGATGAAGGTATTCAAGACTTTTGGAACGGGACGCACATATTCACGTTGATTTGGAAGGATGTTGAGTGGATCACGATACCCATTCACAATATCGATGATTTCGAGCTCGTTTGCCGTCTGAAAAATACCCAATTAATGAACGATCATTCAAATGATAATCACCCTGTAAGTATGCCTTACATGCGACAATACCTGCATCACAAAAAGCCTATCATGATAGCAACCCGTGGCGGCGTCCAATCCTATGAGATATATTTAGACCCTGTTTTATGCAGGCGGCCGCATTGCGACCGTCACACGGAGGCGCAATATATTTGATGACCATCACCTCACTTCATGTATCAAGATTCAGGCTGTGATTTTCAGCTCTATATGATGGATTAAATTCTCGAGATCGAAATCTCGACTTGATTGTGTGAATGATTAGCGCATGTGTTGATACCAGGCAGATATGAGAAGCAAGATGCATAAGGCTGGCCCACCACCACCATATTCGCCTGAAAGTCCTCCGAAATACTCACACTCGGAATCGACACCTCTTCTTCCAAAAGCAAACGAGGATGCTCTCTCAGAATCGGCGAATTCGAATAACAGAAAGAGCAGGAAATTCTCCACACTATTGCTCACTGTCATCGGCGCATTCTTGACTGCACTTATAATTCTGAGTTCGGGAATTTCCTTCTGGTCTATCATCCAAAATGGGAAACCAGCAGCAAAGATCGTGAATTTCAAGGTTGGAATTATTGGTTCTGGACCCGCGGGGATTGGTGCAGTTCAAGGTGTGAGAGATGGGATTTCACGACTTGGCCAGGAGTTCAAAGATCAAAATGTTGATGTACAAGTGGAGATTGTAGTTTTTGAAGAAAAGGCAAGAGTTGGTGGGAGGATGGTGGTGGAGGGTGCAACTGGTATGCAGCTTGAGGTTGAAGATGTTGCGAGTGGAGCATTGGATGGAAAGCTATTGAGTATCATAGGCGGGATGGATGATGTGCAGGAGACAAAAGATATGCCTACTGAGAGTGACGATCTTGGAATGGGAAAAGTTGGATAGTAAGTTCACATTACTTTATCTCAAATATTTTCGAATCATGATTTCACAACTGATACTCGCAGCTTCAATGGAAATAATTTCGTCATCGAAACATACCGTCCTTATGCTACCACTCCTTGGAAGCATTACATATATATCCTCTTCAAATATGGACCCTCTGTTTGGCGTGCTCCAAGAATTCCAACGGGGACTATGAAATCCTTCCATAACTTCCTCCCTAAACTCAACACTATATGCGTATCCTCCATCAGAGATCTGGCCTACATAATGTCCAACAGGTTTGGATACACTCCTTTCAGCCTCCCCGCAACCGATAGACTAAAGAAAAACGGAATCGGAGGAGACTACATACGAGATATACTAGCCCCGCAAGTTCGACGTCATACTGGACAGTTAATTGAGCAGATAAGTGATCTAACACTAAGTATTGCGCTTGAGCAAGAGGAATCCGGGTCTTCGAAGGCTGTAAATCATGGATTTTATCAAATGGCAATGGAGAAATCATTGAGAGAGAATAAAGCAAAAGTACATCTCGGTGCAAAAGTCACACAACCTCGCTGGGAAGAAGTCATCGGAGATGATGCAAAGTGGGTGATACGATGGGAAAACGCAGCACATGACGAAGACGTTCTAGATTCTGAAGAATTCGATAAAATCATCATCACCGCACCATTCAACTACACGGAACTCCTAGGAATAACACATGATGGTAAATCACTCTATCCTCTCGATGATAATACCCAGGATATCGAATATCAATCCCTATATATCACTTTCTTCACCACAACCTCACTCCTCACTTCTTCTCTTCATAATACACCATCACCTCTACCCGCACAACTCCTTCCTATCTTCGATGCCAACCAACCATCTACTTCCCCCTACAACTCTCTTGTCGAAATTTCTCTTCTCCGTACCATTTTTCCTGCTTTTCAAGCACCAGATTTCAATCCCCATCCTCCCAACCCTCCAAAACGTCTCTACCTCTACCGTCTCCTCTCCTCCCACCCTATCTCCCCCACTTTCCTCTCTAGCATCCTTCATCTCCCCAACACAACAATATTAGAAACTTGGAATCAGCAAGAAATTCTACACGCATATCCAATTACACCAACCTTCCCCTCAGGTTCAGCCTCAAATCCAGATTCAAAAGAAGAAAAAGGAAATCTAAAATTAGGAGACAACATATGGACAACACGGGGAATAGAGAAGGTATTGGGGAGTGAAGTGTGGGGAGCGTGGTATATGGGGAGGATGGTGGGAGGGAATCTGGCGGGGGAGATTGGGGAGGAGGTGAGGGGTGGGTTTGAAGTAAAGTGATAGAAAGGAGATTGGAGTGTGGGATTGGGATTTAGTGTTTTGGGAAATAGGGATGCACTGTAATGATAGACATGATACGAAGCTGACCAAGCGATTATATGTCTATTCGTTTATTCATTTATTACTTACTCAATTCTCAGACTCTCTAGCTAGTAGTATTTACTTACATTCCATATATAGCCATACATTCACGTACACATATACACGCAACCCCAAGTCCCCGAATCCTCCATAAACCCCACATACTAGCAAACCAACATCACCGTTACTGGATTCTACTATAATCCCCTTTTTATTATCAATTCTCAAACTCGCTAGCGGTATCTATATCTATTCCATATATAAAAACACACATGCGAATTTATGCATATACATATACATATACATATACATCTCACCCCTTCAAACCCTCAAACCCCATGAATGACCAACAAATCAATGTCAACATCAACATCACTACTCCCACCCCAATCCCCCAATTTCTCTCTAGATTTCAAGTTTAATATCAGACTGCATAAGTTATACGAAACGTACGAAATATAGAAAAAATGCAAGCATCAGAATGGATTATCGATTCTCGATTCTCGATTATTGAAGATACAGATTTACAAATGAATAGAGAATAGGATTAGATATCGAGAGGTTGAAAGATTGAAAGATGAAAAGATGATTATTACAGAGAAAAGATAAATCGTAAAGAAGAAGATAATAAAAGTCAAAGTATCAGAATTGAGATAGCCATAAGTAATACGGAAAATAATAAAGTGTGAGAGGTGACAGGTGGCGAAACTATAATCGAGAACTTGTTGTAGTTATAATAAATGTAGTGAGATGATGGGGGCGGGCGGGTCAATGACTAAGGCATTTTGTATAAAATGCGCGTGTGATATATAATAAGTTGAAGATTGCAATGATTTTAGTCGGAATACTTTGTGTGAATTAAGTTTCACAGTGTAAAAAGCTCCTCTGAAGGGTACCTGAGTAAGTAACCTCTCTACCTATTCACTGTTCATGCATCTGAAGAACAAAAGCGATATAAAAAAGAAATCAGATATTGAGATCTTTTAGACATTAATTCATCTATCATAGTAAATTGTCATATACACCAGATCAACTGGTTAATATATATACTCCAGAACTCCTCTTAATCTTTCGATATCCCATTCCGTCCTATTCCGCCCCATACCAATCTATCCCAATCCAATCCATTCCATGCAATCCCGCCTTCTGTTTTCGGCAACGAAACTATACTCCACCCCATTTTAACCTTTAAACCACTAAGCCACTAAACCTCCAACTCCCTAATTCTATAAACCCCCTCCTCCGCCCTCCTCCTGCTTCCAACATCACCCCCCTTAATACTCCCTCCCACCACCCACAAACCCACCACGACCGCCACCCCCCCCTACAAACCCAAAAATTCCCACTCCCAACCCCGTATCCTTCAGACCCATCACTCCTCCCATCTCCTCCCCCATCCCCTGCTCAATCCAACTTGGCATCGCCACGATCAAAAACCCCGTAAACAAATTTTGCAAAACCGCATTCGCCCTATCCAAACCCCCTCTTCCTCTCTGACCCTCCTCCTTCCCACTCTCATCCACACCCTGCTGAATCGCCAAATATCTCTCGACCGCAAATCCTAAGATCGCGGCTCCTGCCACCAGAACCCCGAAGATTAAACTGATAACTTTGAGACTACATTCCATACCTGGACTTGAAACGACGAAGACAGTGGCGCTGACTTTTGTCGCTTGGGGGATGAGAGTCGTAGATACGTATTGAGAGAAGGCGATAGTGCCAGTGGTGAAGAGAATGAGACCAGGGATTGCGATGCGGAGAGCGCTGGTTGGGGTTCCGCCTAGGACTTTTTCGGAAGAAGGGAGAATGGGTTTTCCGGGGGAGACGAGGGATAAGAGACCGTAGGATAGGAGGGAGAGAACGAGGGGTCCGATGAAGATATATCCTACTTGGCTTGGGAAGATGAATAGGGGTGAAGCGGAGAGGAAACCCGAGAGACTTAGGGCAAATGCGTATGCGGATGCTATTGGCAATGAAGCCAAGACAAACGTAAGAAGTGTGATTGGAGAGGCGAGTCTCTTGAGTGGTCTCAATAAATCTTCTCTGGATGGGTTGCCCCAATATGGCTTAAGATGTAATGTTTTCCACCAGGATTTGAAGGATATGGTTGGAGGAGATGTAGGAGGGGTAGGATGAGAAGTACGATAGAAAGATGTTTCCGGAAAGGCGACAATCAAAAGGAATATCGCGATGGCTTGGATGATGTTGATTACCATGATTTGATTTCCGTACCCATCGATTGTCTGGCTTAGATATCCACCGATAATGGGGGTTCCCCACGTGAAGAAGACGTCGACTGTTGAGAGGATTGTTAGGCGAATGGGAAGTTGTGATTCCTATTTTTGTTAGTATATTTCTTTACGTTTGAATGACTTCCCTGATTTCCGAGCCTTTCTCGCTTCCGAAACCAGCGATCAACAGAAAAGAACAGAGGGTAATACTCACGAAGTACATTTCCGCCATGGCACCCCTGATCAACGCTTCAAAAGCTCCCCAACCTAGTCCCTGCACCATTCTCCCACCCAGAAATTGACCATAAGTCTCAACATGCATATTCCACAAACCACCGACCAACATCAAAGCCGCCGCGAAGATGAAAATTCCTCTCTTTCCCACTTTCATATTCAATATTTCCCAAAATGGACTACTGATCGCAGAGAAAATGAACGCAATTCCTGTTAACAATGCGGTTTGAGTAGATGAGATCGAGAACTGTGCTGTGATGACTGCATTTACGGAAACGAACATTAGGCGTTGCATGCCTACTATTGAGAAGGCAAGACATAGGGTGAAGAATGCGAGATTTTTGCGATGAGGACACCAGTTCTGTAGTATGTTAGTATCACTTTCTTCGACGAACTTGTAATACGTTTTATTTAATGCAAGAATGGCAAATAATAATAGAATACATACCAAAGGATCCATACTCGAATCATGACTGGAATTCTCATCGTCCCACTCTCCCATGTCTTTTTCGAAATCATAAGGCGTAACTTTTTCCACAAATGTTTTTAAAGTTCCTTCATCCATCTTTGGAAACCCTTCAACTTTCTTTTCCTTCGCATTCGCATTACTTCCGGCCGAAAACTTTAGTTTTCCACTGATAGTATCCCTCCTCAATTTTCCTTTCATCCCATTGTCAATTCCACCTTCGTCATCCCCTTTCCTTGAATATTCCGATTTCTGAAGGACAGGTTGTGGTTCAGTTATAGTTGCCATGATTTCCGTTCGCTGCTAAGTGTTCTCGCAATTCGTTTGATCAGTTTGATGCCAATTAAGTGCCTCTTAGGATCATCTATCTTTGATGTCTTTCCCTTCATGTATTCTTGATTCGATTCGCTCGAATAGTCGTCGAATCGTGTAAAATAATTCGATGTAATTTTCCTTTTCTTCTCCTTTTCTCTCAATGTCAAATTTCTAAATGAATGTCGCGCGATCTCTCAAAAACCGTCTGCAAAAAATAAAGTAAAGGAATGACTTTGAAAATAGAAAGAAAACTACACAAGAAACAGAACTAGAAACCCTATTGACCGTCTGGCAGTCTTTAAGAATAGATGTCAATATAGAAAAGATAAGAAAAAAATCAAATCAAAGGCATAAATGTCATCAGAAGTATCCGAAAGACCAAGAGAAATTCGTAAACAATGCGTACAAGTTAACTGAACTCGAACTCATGACGAACAATCACTTCATACACCCAACTGCGCCCCAGCGCATAAGGACTCCGATTCGAATCCGCATCACATACAATCTCATACGTTCCGGATCCCCTATAACTCCCATTGACGTGAATATGAGCCAATTTTCTGATATTCTGTAAGGCTTAAATTCATGCACTTGCATTTCAGACGAGTTAGCTTCCCAAGATTCCCGAAATATACCATTTGTATCCAATCGTAACCCCTGTAGCGACCAAACTCTAGCTCGAGGTCTAAAGTCTAATACTAAAAGGGGAATTTTCAATTCTGATCAAACCCAAACCGTGGCAGCCGCGTTTGGAACGATCTACACGTTTCGTCTTGAATGTGCCGCACTGGCGCGGTAGCTGCTCGGACTTGGATATTTTGATGAGGGATATGGTTGAATTGAAGCGAGCAATTACCAATAAACCACTTTGCTCACCTCGATACTAAATAGCGGGATATGCACCCGGACATTTTGATGTTTGGCGGCTAGGAATTAGATAGTACTGGCACCGGTATGAGTGTAAAGAAAATTAACCTTAGGAAGACGATCAGTGCGGGCTGACCTCCACTATTTCATAGATTGGCCAATAGAGTATATAAGTGATATCTCCCAGTTCATTGATCCACCTACCTTGTTTCCAAATCCATTGACTTTCTATAAGGCCAGCTTGAGATATGTCAACCAGACTTGCAGATTTCGCTCTTCTTTTCTTCCTCAGTTAACATTGGCCTTGCATTAGACCCTTTGATGATCTAAATCTACCTCTTTCAGGCCCAGTGAGGTAGTTGAGGTATAGATTATTATTGAAATTTCGGTCTTAACATGATAACCGTAGCTGATATGTATGGTGAGATTTTGAAGATATATCACCCCTAATATCCTTTTGAGAATCCAAAGATGTTTTTGCCATGTTTGGCTTCGCTCTTGGACACATGGAGTGTGTTTATTAACAGGTGTGGATGAAAACCTCGTATTAAATTTCGCATGATGAAGTCGGAGAATTCTGAGGAATATCATATCATTGAAGAATTTCTACAATGATTGATATCTTGAATAGATGAACATGTTGTCGTCTCGAAAACATTGAAGTTGAAGTTGACCTGACAGATTGTAGATCCAAATCAAGCCCGTGCACTTCTTCCTTCCTATCATAGCCGAGGCATGAGCGACAACCTTTTCCTCATGGAGTTTCATCGAATTGTGATATCAATGGTGTCAATCAACATGGGACCCGAGTTTCCTTCTTATCAATAAGCTTCCATACATAAACAATTAATCATTGTCCTTTGATACCTTTCTTATACTTTTCTACAAGACAGCTAAATAGAAGAAGAATCATCTTAATGCTAAGGAAAATGGCAACAGAAGCAGCTGCTCGTACTTTCTTCTCGTCTCCTTACTTCGCTGTAGTTGGCGCCTCTGCAGACCCTGCAAAGTTTGGACATAAAAGTAAATCCCCAAAGTTTCTTTCACCATCCCTGAAGACAAGTGTTCATCTCCATTTCTGAAACTTTGAGCTAACACTTCCTTCCTTAGTATTCGCATGGTATACGGCCCACGGTCTTCCAGCAACGCCCATCAACCCCTCCTCCCCCTCCATCAAAGTCGGTTCCACCGATTACTCCACTCTCCCCTCAATCTCCGCTCTTCCCCATCCAACTGAGACGGGTGTCTCGATTATCACTCCTCCAAAGATCACAAAGAAAGTCTTGGAGGAGGCAAGAGCTCTGGGGATTAAGAGTGTGTGGTTGCAGCCGGGAACATATGATGATGAGATTCTAGGATTTGCTTTGAAAGAGTTTGAGGGTGGGGTTGGTGGTGAAGAGGGTGGAACTGTGGGGGGGGAAGGCTGGTGTGTTTTGGTTGATGGAGAGAGAGCTGCTAAGGCTGCTGGTAGAAACTTGAAGCTGTAAGGAGGGTTGTTGACTCGGACTATAATGAGGGTGATATCCAATACACATACTGTATTTATTCTCACATACCGTCCTTTATCTGAAACGTAGATGGTTTCAAAATCAGGGAGAGCTTTGAGAGACACCAGGGATAAGTCTCATCTTGAGTAACTATAATTTTGGCCTGATATATTGCGACGCTTCAGAATCATATATGGCAAGCCATCACTATAGTTTTCTACCATATACCTCAACTCGTGAGTTTCTGCTTCGATAACAATTGGATCCTGCTACAAGTCAACAAAGATGGACATGAAAAGCTTCATTCGTCTAGTCCTTCAAGAAAATCAAGGAGAGTCTCTCAATTGAAGTGTATCCGTCTTGACTATAATCCATAAGACATTCGGATCTCAACCTACAAACTCGTAAGTGTACAGACCTTCAATAGCACGGTCTTGTTGCAAAATTTCTGGATCAAGATAGCTTTTCGGTCATACCTGACCTTGAGAATGAAAGCTTCAGCAATTTAAAGCAATTCACATTCCATCTTCTCCTCATCTATAATCACTCTGCTAGAAGCAAGATGAAGATCAATCATATTTCATTTCCCTATCGTAACTTTCATGAGAAAGGTACTAAATCAAACGACAGATGTTGTCTACATATATCATCCTAATGAGCGGAGTCTGTTCCTGAATACAGCTTTAGCAACGCAGTGTCACCGTTGCCCTTCAAAGACCCCACGAAGTTGACCGCAGCAGCTGAATATACACATGAAGCTTATCACCCATCGAACTGTATATTCAAGGCTCTCCGTGGTAAATGAGTAAGTAGTACAGAAGAACGACAATTTCGATTGAAAATTGTATTCTGTACTGCATTGTACTTCGTATCCCCATAAACACCGAATCAACAACCGAATCGAGCACACAGCCACCTAGATCTCGCCATCAAATCATCTGAACAAGTGTACAATTTGTTAATTTAATGTCTTTGCTACAAATTAGATGTATTGGATCTCCTTATTCTTCATAATTCATCAAAGGTAGAGAAAAAAAAGCAATCATGAAGTCTCCTCTCGAGTGTTATGAATCTCAAGGATCTAATAGATTTTGTAATACGAATCATCTTCCTCTTCGGTTAATTCTGCCCAAATATGATATATGTGTGGCCAATTGTTTATTTTCTTCTTTTATCATGAAATATGCTTCCGTCCCGCGATGGAAATAACCCGATATCGATGCGAAGATTCATTGATTGGGTAAAGTCAACATTAAGCTGTGAAATGGATTTTGCTTTCTTCACTAGTTCTCTCTTTTATTTTTGGCATTGTCACTTTCGATAGACTTCAAAAGATCATTTCCAACTAAGAATCATCAGCTTCGGTTCGCTTTTGGTTCTGAATTCTTTCCCTCTTTGGCTTCTACCCACACGTTCTTTTTCGCTTTCGAGGAATAGCTACAAAACTACAAGCCGCAGTGCAATTAATTCAAGTCTTTACATCTATTATATCTCCTTCATTCCATTGGCGGCTTCAACCCGAATCTTATCATGTCGAGAAATGTGCCAGCCGAGTCTAGCGATCTAGGTAGTGGCGATGATGTTCCTACTGCAATTGCTCCACCTTCTCGACCACTTTCCCCAATAGATACTACATATCGAGGCGCATCTGATGCTGAACTGGGCACTGCTACAACCACCATTGATCGAGTCGATGAAAATCTTACTCAGCAATTGAGAGGTCCAGAGCCATCTAATATTGTCTCTTGGGATGGCGATACCGATCCATTGAATCCTATGAATTGGTCTAATACGAAGAGGTGGGCTAATACCGGAGTTATCTCTGTCATGACTTTCTCTACGTAAGTAAATTCCCTCCTTATTTCACTCACATCCACTAATTCTCCACAGTCCTCTCGCATCCACCATGTTTGCACCTGGAGTTCCTCTCGTGATGGAAGAATTCCACTCTACGAATATGATTCTCCAAACTCTCGTCGTCTCGATCTTCGTCCTCGGGTTTGCTGCGGGTCCCATTATCGCCGCGCCCATGTCAGAATTGTATGGTCGCAAACCAGTCTATCTAACTGCCAACTTCTTGTTCATGTTATTCACACTTGGTTGCGGTCTCTCAACTGATCTCAACATGCTCATCATTTTTCGATTCCTAGCAGGATGTGCAGGAGGAGCACCCACCGCACTCGGCGGCGCAAGTATCGGCGATATGTTCCATCGAGAACAACGCGGACTCGCAATGGCGCTTTGGGGAATGGGTCCATTAATGGGACCAATAGTGGGACCTATCATAGGAGGTGACCTTGCTGCAAATGCGGGATGGCGATGGGCGTTTTGGTTGGAAGCTATTATTGCCGTTGTGACATTGATTGGAGGATTTTTTCTCCTGCAGGAAACATATCCGGTGGTGATTCTGGAGAGAAAAACGAGACGCATTATTAAGGAAACGGGAAATACAGCGAAAGTATCGGCGCTTCATCATGCGGATACGCCAATGGTGCATTTTACTAATGCTATCGTTCGACCTTTGAAAACATTGTTTCGCTCACCAATTGTCTTTCTACTCTCGGTATACTACGCTGTTCTTTTCGGATACCTGTATCTCTTCATCACGACCTTTCCATTTACTTTTTCCAATCAATATCATTTTTCCGTTCCGCTTACCGGGCTCTCATACCTGGGTCTTGGATGCGGAATTGCCATTGGACTTTTCGTGTCGGGAAAAGTATCAGATCCGATTTTCAAGAGGTTGACGGAAAAAAATGGAGGGATTGCGGAACCGGAATATCGATTACCTACGCTGGTGCTGACGAGTCCGTTGATTGCCATTTCGCTGTTTGTTTATGGATGGACGGCCCAGGCGAAAGTTCATTGGATTGTGCCGATTATTGGGACGAGTTTCTTTGGGATTGGAATGATTCCCGCTTTTGTATGTTTCTTCTGTCATTCCCTCTCTCGCTCTCTCTCTCTCTCCCTTCTACTTCCCCTATTACTCCATTCCTCATCATCCCAAAAAGTAAACAAACATATACTAACAACTCACCCAGCTCTCAATAAACATGTACCTAGTCGATAGTTTCCCCACCTACGCCGCCTCAGCAATTGCCGCCACGAAAGTTTTTCAATCGATTGGAGGAGCTTTTCTACCACTAGCAGGTCAGCCTTTATATTCGGCGCTGGGATTGGGTTGGGGAAATAGTGTGTTGGGATTCATTGCACTGGCGTTCTTTCCGGTGCCGATCTTGTTTTTTAGGTATGGGAAGTGGTTGAGGGAGAGGGGGGTGGTGAAACTTTGAGGGGTGGGGTGGGTGTAGAGACTGGAGGGAGTGGAGAGAGGATTAGGAGGGGGAGTGTGTGGATTAGGTGGAGATTTGTTTCTGGGTGTGTGAGGAGTGGAGATGATAATATATGGAAATAGGGGAGGAGGTAATATTGTAGTTCATTGAAACAGTATATCTGTTTACAGATTAAAAGCTGGTAGCTAAAAACTAAATGTAGAAACCCCGAAGAAGGAAAGTCAATTAATACTTAATACTTATTTATATATCCCCTGCATCTATATCTACATCTACATCTCTCACTACTGAATATACATTTTAGGGGTAACTATATCACTTAGTAAATACCTAGTATATATCTACTCAAAAATTCCAACAATCCCAAGAGACTCTCACATTTTTGAGAGTGGAGATGATGAATATGATAGGAGTGAAAGATGAAGATATTTAGTGACGATATAAGGTTAAGTATACTGTGATATTAAGATACTTGAATTCTTTGATTTCGGGTTTGGGGTTTGGTTTGAGAGGTGAAATGGAATGATTGGAGGTTTACCTCCTTGATAGTCTTGCTGTCCGCGAGGACCATAGTACTGTATACACAAAAAAAAAAAGGAAACTCTCGCTTGGTGAGACCCAATTCAAGCGATCTGATTGATCAGAATGAATTTTAACTTTATTAGCATTGTGGTATAGTGTAACATCTCAAAATATTGATTGTCTTTTTCAATGAAACTAATTTAATTGAATTAAATAAAGAATTAAAAAAAGTGATAATCATATAATTGTTACGGGAGCTGCCTCTAGGGTCACGTGGAAGTGTCTAGAGATCTCTCGAGGTGGTTTAGACTAGACTTCAAGTAGGAATTCAATAAGGTTGTAACTGGTTGCAATTCTCGTAACTATAGTATGAAACTAATGATTGATCTTGAGCACGAAGCTCTATATTGTAATGAAATCCCATTCCCTTATATAGACCTTCGTTCTCTGTTGTCCCACTGCTTCCCACTGTGTCCCACTGGGCCTTACTCAGTGGGACTCAGTGGGACACCTTGGTCAGGTGATATTTTAATCAATCTAGTCATGTGACGACCTCGGTCGTAACAATAATATAGATTAAGAGCTTTTAAATAATAACGTAACGTATGGGGAACTCGGACATATGGGGAACTCGGACACTTTTTCAATTATTCTACACGCGATCTTGTTCTACGAGCCACACAATCCTCCAATTCCAATTCCGAATCACTTGAACTATTCTCTAGCTCTTCTTCTTCAATCTCTTCTTCTGATTCTTCAATTGGGCGTTTGCGTGGCCGTCCTCGTGGCTTTTTCTCCTTCGGTTTTTCCTCCGCCTCACGTACCATTTTCAATACTTCCTTAGTACTAAAGACAAATTGACCTTGTAATTTGACTCTTTTGCCTTTAGTTCTTTTCTTTCGAGTCTCAATTACCTCCTGAGCATCAGAGAGCTGTTTCCGAAGTAGGGCTATCTCAGCATTTTGAGATTCTACAAGCCTAGTCATTCTCTTGGCATATCGACGAGTTGGCGATGCAGGAGAACCACTGCTTGCTAGAGCTGTATTAAAGATCTGATTTGCTTGCCTTAGTTCTGTTCCATCTGGAGGAGAACTCCTGAGTATAGACAAGTCTAGGTCTTGATTGGGGGTTCTCATTTGTGGAGTAGAAGGTTGCTGGGAGGAGTTAAATGGTAATGAATCGAGTACTTTTCGTGGGGCAAAAGGTACTAAACCAGCTCCTCTCCAGCCAGCTTTAATATTAGAAGAATTCAATGCTTTTTTTCTAATATTTTGAAAGAGTTCTACCCATTCAGCTCTTTGGATTCGCTTTACACCAGCTCGAGAATATCGATCGACCTCTAAAGCATGATATCGTTTCATTGGCCCATACACCGCAATATCAAGTGGCTGAAGCAAGTGAGAGCAATGAGGAGGTAATATAAGTAAATCAATATCATTATCTATACAGAAAGCAATAAAGCTACCTGTAATATGGCTTGAATGGCCATCCATGATCAAAAGTCGAGGTCGGTCACCTGACACTTTCTTGGATTCTGGTTCGAAAACCCTTTTTAACCATTCTAATCCATGGCTATTTGAGGTCCATCCATTTGTACTAGTAGAGAACTGCCAGCTTTGAGGTGTGTCCTTTGGAATCCATGCAGAATTCGTATTCTGAGCCTTGAAAATGACCATAGGTGATAGAGCATTTCCAGCTGCATTGACACATTCAAATGCAGTTATCCATTCTTGCTTGCCAGCTGTAACTTTCCAATTCGATTTCTGAGTAGAATCGACTATAATGCGCGTACTTTGAGTACTTCCAACTCCAAATCCGGTTTCATCCATATTATACATATCATCTAATTCATACTTTCGCTCAATGAGACGCGTGCGAAACGCGTCAAACCAAGCCTGAATATTCTCCGGAGTTGCTTCTTTAGCCCGATTAGACTCTAATTGACGTGAATAGCATGTTTTAAGTTCTGGATGTCGTTTTTGGAATCTATAGATCCATTCGTGGCCTATAGGTGGAATTTCTGTCGAGGTAGGATTTCGAGATGACGCGACCCGAACGCGTCGAAGACGAATTTCGTCGGCCATTTCCTTCACCAACATAGGTGTAGCAGGGAATCCAGTGATGGTAAGTCGTGAAATCCATCGTACAAGAGTATTTTCTTCTGCGTTTGAAAGAATTTGAGCCATTTCGTGGGTTTGGGAACGTGTTTTCTTCCCAGCCAGCCTATCAGCTAGGGTAGACTTAGGGACTTCAAAATGCTCTGCAGCCTTTCTAATTGATTTAAATTCTTTCAATTGAAGTGAAATTATAGCCTTTTGAAGCTTCTCTTCAATTTGAGCAGATGTAGAAGGTGATTGGGTATGCATAATAAAAGTTATTGCGGTTTCAAGTTGGTGATGGGCTAAAAGTGTCCGAGTTCCCCATATGTCCGAGTTCCCCATACGTTACGTTATAATTTTTATAATTCTAACTTTAACTATAAAGTCTATATGAGGGATTAAATTTTATATATGATATTTTTAAAGCGAATTAAAAACTTATTGATTTCCTTAGTATTATTAATAATATATAATATGTTTTATTAGTAAGCGAGTTATATTAGTAAGTAGGTTATTTCATTTTATATATAAAATCTATCTATATGTAACTATATACTTTCTTTATTGAATGATATAATTTAAAAAAAAATTGAAAAAATTGAAATTTAGTTATATAAATATTATGAAAATTTAATTATTTATTAAAAATTCGAATTATTATAGTGGTTATTATAGAATAACTTTTTTATAACGAAAATCGTAACAATTTCTATTATTTTTTTAGAAAATAATAGAAATATCTATATAAAAACTAGATTTCTAAGAAATCTAGATTTTACTTATTATTTCATAACTTTCATTTAAAAATAATAATAATTAATTATTAAAACAAAAATATTTTAAGCAGCTTGATTAAGATGATTTTCGAAATGACTTAAGTCGAGCACTCTACTTTCGGGCCATCCCCCTTTTGAGCTACTTTTTATACCAAAAATGGAATTTTTAACTTTCTTATTTATGAATAGAATTTATTGAAAATTTATATATATATATAATTTAGATCATTTTTAATTTACCTTGAAAATTTAAATTTTTTAGGAATTTTCTATATTGAGATCTAAAGCTTTAAAATATCGATTTTTAAATTTGTATAGAAATTATATATAAATTTAAAACTTTTATAAAATCTTTAATAACTTTTTAATAAAAATTATTAAAAATATATTATAAATTTTTAATATGTTTATTTTGAAGGATTTAGAAAAAAAAGAAAATTTCCTATAAATAGATATTTGAAAGAATACCCTCAAAATTACAGAGATTATTTATATTATTTTAAACTCATTGTATACTATATCTCTATATCTATTAATTTTTTCTATTTTTTTTTTAACTTTTATATAAATTTAAGTTCAAAACTTTCAAAAAGATATACAGTTTTCTTTTAATAATTGTTATTAAAAAGTTATTAAAGATTTTATAAAAGTTTTAAATTTATATGTAATTCTTATACAAATTAAGAAATCGATATTTTAAAGCTCTAGATCTCAATACAGAAAATTCCTAAAAGTTTAAAAATTTCAGAATGAGCTTAAAATAGCTTAAATTATATATATTCAAATTTTTATTAAATTAGATTATATATTAATAGAGATGTTAATAGGTTAAAAAAGCGATTTTTGGTGTAAAAGAGTAATTCAAAACAGAGGTGGCCCGAAAGTAGGATGGTCGATTTGTATATTAATATTTATTTATTTATTGTTTATTTATTTTATTAATTTACATTCGAAGGACAAGCCATAAGGGTTCACCACAGCCTCCCAGGGAGTATTAAAGATGGATTAAACTAACAATTCTATATACATATAATTATTAACTTAATCAAATGTTTTGTTCTTTTATAACTATAATACTAACAGAAAACAAACAGTATTACAAATACTACTCATTGATTTTACTAGCAAGTTCAAATTGTCCAATTTATTTTATATTAAAAAGTTCAAGGATTGTTTGAAATCTTTATAAAAAGGTAAAGATTATGAACTGATAAAGACCAAAGTAATCAAACTATTAAAAACCAAAGTGATTGTAGATAATCACAAGCAGATGATTAATATTATTAAGAAAGAAAAATATATTATAATTATTCGAATATAAATAAAACCATTTTTTATAAAAATAAGAAAATAAAGTAATAATAAAGTAAAGGTTTTTTCATATTAAAACTAAAGGATTAGAAAGAAAGTATAACATTTTTCTTTAATTATATATAAATAATAAACTATAAATTCATAAATGATTAGGTTTCGAAAAGACAAATATTAATTAGAATATAGTTCTAAATAGAAATAAGCATGAATCACTTTATCATTAAGCCAACCACTCTTTGCGGAGAATAATAGTCTTTTTGTTATTATATATTAATATAATCTATTCACT